TTACTATTTATTTATATTATTGGGTGTTCCAACCTTAGGTGTATACAGAATTATAATAATTATATCTTCTTGTTAAATTGATTCCTTAATCATTATATAATGACTTTTTTATCTCATCTTACATTATTTGCCTTAAAATGTATTTTTTAGACATAAATATCACTATTGCTCACTTTAGAGTTCTATTTCCTTAGAATATAATTTTCTACCCTTTATTAATCAGTCTTTCAGTATGCCTTTACTACTGAATTGAGTTTCTTGTAGGTAGTATATTGTTGGGTGTTTTTTTGATTTCCACTCAGCCAGTCTATAACTTTTAATTGGAGAATGTGGTCCATTTAAATTCTAGGCTAAGAGGTGGCCTCCTAAGAAAGCAGCTTTTTCCTGATGATTAATTTTGGAGGTATGATTTGTTGATTTTATTTCAAGATGAGCATCACAGTGCAGTCTCCCTGTAGCTTCTTGGCTGTGAATAGTAAATTAGGGCCTTCTGTGTTACAACACCCATCCCCTGTACTACTTGACCAAGTTTGGTTTCTGTGGTAGCTACCCTCTAAACTAGTGTGGTAGAATGTCAGTGAAGTTACAGAAATGAGATTATGCAGAGGTTTTTGACTCTCAAGAAACCCTAACTTAGACAATAGGTCCCTTAACAGGATAATTCCTGGTGGAGGCACACAGGAAGTTTGCTGAAAATATGTGAAGTCTTCCAGAGCAAAGCTAATGTGCAGATTTCAGGTTATTTATGTAGGTACAATCCAAGTTAGTAGCTAGGACTATTAGTATATGAACTAATAAAGTTTTCTGGTACTCTCTCTTCCACTCTTACACCTGTAGAGGGGTGAGTTCCCTTCTCCAGCAGCATAACCAAGTGGGAGATGCCAGGGTTTCTTATTTTTCTTACTATGCTGTTCTCTTAGGTCTCTGAATTCTTCCAGGTGTTAGTTTCTCTCTTGCCATTTCCCAGTATTCTCCAATAGTCCCTCACCTCAAAATGCTATTGCATACCTATTACACTAGTTCTTCCTTGTAGATGAGAAGGTGAGTTCTGGATGTCTCCAGGCATTTTAATCTTGAGAACATACTGTTTTTTAAAGATTCACTATTGAAGTTCAGCTCAGTTGTTTCTAGCTTGAGGATATTATGAAAAAAATAAAGCTACTATAAAAATTATGTAGAAGTTTCTGAGTGAGCATGTTTTCCCTGCTTTCACCCTCTGTGATTAAAAACCTAGGAGTGCAATTATAGAAAGCAAATTAAGAAGGCAAACTTTTAAAGAAATTGTCAAACCATTTTGGAGTGTCTATACCATTTTACATTCCCACAAGCAGTGAACGAGTAATGCAACTACTGCACATCCTTGCTAACATTTTATATTACCACTATTTTTTATTTCTTGTAGGTATGTAGTACCATCTTACTGTAGTTTTCATTTGCATTTTCCTAATTGCTGATGATGTTGAATAGGGTTTACCTGACATCTGTGTGTCACTTTTTGTGTAAATGTGTTCATGTCTTTTGTTCTCAGTGTGATTGTACTGTTTATTTTTTCTCCTTGTTGAGTTTTGAGACCCCTTTACATGTTCTAGATACTGGTGCCAGCGTTTGGTGTGCAAATGTTTTTAATTTTTAGGACATCCACTTTATCAACTTTTTCTGTTGTGGAATGTACTTTTGGTATCAAGTCTCAGAATTTTGTCTACCTTAAATCATGAGAATTTTCTTCTTTGTACTTGCTCTGCATTTTATAGCTTTACATTTTTGTATTAAGTACAGGATTGCAGTGGATGTCTGTTGGTGTTGCTGTTTTTTGCTTTGTTTTAGGTTTTATGTTTGCTTGTTTCATTTTTACTGATAAAAAGTCAATTACTCCAGCACTAATTGCTGAAAATCTTTTGTACAATATCATATTATTTTCACCCGTTAAAATTACCTGTGTAGTCCTGTTTTCTTTATTTTAATAGTAAGATATTTAGATTATAACCAGATGGGTGTTATTCAAACTGCATCACGAGAAAGTCTCAAAAGCAGCAGAGACCACAGTAGGAACAGGTGCAGATCTTGTGCCTTTCTGACTTCCTCTGGTGCTGCTTTTACACGTTATGCATTTGAGGAACTGACAGGTAAGGGGATACAAGTTTCTTACTGCTAAAACAAGTTTTGAGACCAGTGTATTTGATAATATCTGAAGTCTCTTTTTGCAGCAATTTGCCGTGATTCTAAGTTGTCCAGGTCAGAATTCACTTTTCCCATTATACATCAGTCTCTGAGCTCTGCCCTTAGTTTCTAGAGAGACTACTCATGTAAAATGTTTCCCTTGTTCTCCTATCATCTTTTTTTGTAAATATGATAAGCTTTGTGCAATCAATTAACTTACACTTCATATGTCGATTGATGACTATATATCAGAAATTGAAACTGTGGTAAATATAAGATTTTGCAGTGGAGCTATCTCTTTCCTGAAGCTCTCATGATAGGAAAAAGAGGATAAGGAAGCAAAATCACACATAAGCCATGCATCAACCTCAAGCTTAACAGATAACCAGCTTTCTCTCACCAGCACCTGTCTGGCTTTACTAGTTCTCACAAAGCATTTGCATCAACTTTTACACAGATTACAAAGGATTACTTTTAACAGCTTTTTGAGATATCAAATAACCCTGTATTTTTATGCCTATCTTCAAAATAAGAGACCTGTGCACAGGTATAGCACTAATAAGTATCAAGTAAAAAAGAAAAGCCCACATAATGCCTGGCCTAGTTATTTTCCATCTCTATTTTATAATACGAAGGCCTGAGAGTGTATTTTCTAGACATACCATAGCTTTTTATCTGTGAAATGAGAGAATAACAGAAACTCAAAAAGTGGTGGGAGTCTATTTCTTTAGTTAAATAGGGTTAACGGAGATAGTGCATTTTGAAAAAACAATACATTTCTAAGTGTTTCCTCTTCATAGGTTGGTTATTTTTATATGTGTGCCTACAATAGCACTCAAATTCCAGTAGACAGCTGTGTGTGCTTGTTGATTCCAATTCATGGGAAATGTGTTTGTTTATATCACAGTGTATCATCTATTTTTCCTTTAGTACTCATGTGGCCAAATTGCGAACTGCCATATTAGTATGACTCAGACATCTTTGAGAGGGTAGTTAGAGTTACTGCTTTCCATCAAGTTGTTTTAATAGTTATTTTTCGACAGATGGACAGCTTACATTTGGCCACGTTTCTGTGGCAGTGTGATGATTGAAGTTTTTCAACAGATGGCATACAAATACTTGGGAAAACACCCTTCCATTATAAAATGCTGCAAAAAAGACTTTAGAGTGCCAGAAAAATAAAAGTCTGTATTCCCAAGTCCTTAGCCTATGCTATTATAATCATAATTTAGATAATTTGAAAGATTCCATCCCTGGCTCTTGGATTTATTTTGTAAATGAGCATGCATATCTGCATTAGAGTGAGATGATGAGGAATACCCTGCTGTCAATTAGAGATTCGGCAAGCATATAACATTAAATCTCCCTTTGATTGTGGGTAGATGTATATAAATTTCTCTAGTTGAACTATTCTACTTCTATTCCATATGCAGAAAGTGTAACCTCATAAAAAAATCAACTGTTGAAGGCTTATTATATGTCCTTTCTGAACAATGTTGACTTAGGAGGGAAAAAAAAATCTCACCAGCTTAGAACGTTCCAACATACTCATCCATAGGATAAACTCCCCCAACTTCCAAGCTTTCCTGCTTCTACCGGTGACGCTCTTGCAATATTTCTCGAATCAGAAAATGAGGAATCAAAAAATAAATGAGGCAGAAAGGAAAACAGTGGAAGTCTAAGGTGGTGTTTGTGATTGTCACCATGACAAAGGGGATCTACTGACGTTTAGTGGATGGAAGGCAGTAAACTTAGACATGCTACAATACACAGCACATTTCTGAAAAAATGGGAATTGTCCCATATCTTACAGTTGCCTGAATGTCTGGCTGGACATCCATCTGCACTTGGAACCTGTCCCTGTTTAACACTAAATCACAAAGTAGTTTTATAATACAAAGTACTTGCTTGAAAAATCTGAAGGATATAGCATCTATCCACACCTCTACTCCTTGATTTTGCTAAGTAGCATACAAAATGCCAAAAGACTTCTAAGTTTATGTTTTTGAATCCTGATATTTTTATACTAATTAAGTGTAAGCATGAAAGACACATTATAATATCTTAGTAAGGCATGTACTGAGCATTTACATAATAAAACAGAGATATCTTGTACATCTATTTCCCTTTCATTATCTCTCTATTATAAACAGGACATATTGTGATATTTAATCTTTTTTGAAAATTTATGAATAAGTTATATTAACCATGAATTTGGGGATTTAAATAATTATTAAATGCTTGACCTACTGAAAATGACCAGGATAAGAAAAGCACTTCCACAGAAAATTAATCAACAGCAAATAAATTTATTCTAGATTTGTCTATTTTGAATCATTCAAAGAAAAGAAAAGTGGCATGAGTCTTAAGTATTGAATATGGAAGGTGGTCTCAATCAAGTCTATAACCCTGTATAAGGCTCTGTATAAGTGAACTATCAGACACACGAGCTTTAATATCACATGCTTTCCTTTATAGGAGAAATCAAAATTATAAAGAGCAAAACAAAAGACAGATAATAGGAAACAGGGAGGTAGATCTTTCTCAAAAGGGAAAGGAATCAAGAGATGGAGGAAATGAGGAAGAAGGAGAGGAAAAGAGGATGAAAAAGGAATTAGATGTGTACGTGTACCAGCCACATGCAGGAATGTAAAAACATGTAGTAATAAAATGAACTGAAAAAAAAACTGATTTTCTTGGGGGCTGGGAATTTAGCTTAGCAGCACAGTGCCTGCCTGGCAAGTGAAGGTCATGAGTTCGATTCTCAGTACCAGAAAAAAAAAAAACTGATTTTCTTATGGTCAGTTGTATCTGCTAGTTGATTTTTGTGTCTGTCATTGCAGATGGCATTTAATGAGTGCTTCAGTTTGACCTACCCTGGAAACCCCCACCCAGGGGACTTGATTGAAGTGTTCCGTCCTGGCTATCAGCACTGGGCCTTGTACTTGGGTGATGGTTATGTTATCAACATAGCTCCTACAGGTAAGGCTTGTGGCCAGTTGCTCCTGGAAGCTTCTAGTGTACTCAAAATAAGAAGAAATAATGAACAAAATAAAACAAAAGCAAAATATGGTGAGTAGAGAGATCCAGCAAATCTAGGTTTAGGAAAGGACATAAGACTGCAGTGCCACAGCAGACATCGTGGTGCACGCCTGTAATCCCAGCACTCAGGAGGCTGAGGCAGGAGGATCGTTGTCAGTTCAAAACCAGCCTGGGCTACAAAGTGAGCTCAAGACCAGCCTGAACTTGATGGAAAGACCATGTCTCAAAAAGACAAAAAAAAAAAAAACTGGTGTCATTGAAGATATCAAAAAGGTCAACCAATTTAAAATCTCTAGATTTAAAAAAAAGCACAATTAAAATTAAACATAACATCCAACTGGAGAAGATATTTGCTACAGACATGACTAAGTTTGATATCCTGATAGATCATACAAATAGATCATTAATTCATTCAACCCCTATAGATAGATTACTTAGGATGTACTGAAGGCTATTCTAGGGCTAGGGATTAATAGAAATTTCCACGCATAGTGCAGCTTATATTTTAGTATAGAGAGAGAACCAAGAACAAATTATCAAAGTGAATGCTAAAAGGGAAAAAAGCAATGTGGGAAAAAAAGAAATCACCATATCCTTCTGCTGTGATGTTCTTGCCCGGTAGCCAGCCAGCTATGGAGTGCACCCTTCAAAACTGTGGGCCATATCAAACCTTTCTTCCTTTAAATGGTGGGTATCTGGTATTTTGTCTAGTAGAAAGAAAGCTGACTAGTACAGAAAATCGGTACTAGACAAGTTGATATGACTACAGCTAACTCTGTGTTCACAAACCTTTGGAACTGGCTTGTGGGAAAAGTTAGAGAATAGCCTAGGGAAAGCTTAGAAGGTTGTATGCAGAGCTTCATAGGACTGTCCTTGAAATTAAGTGCTCAGTAAAAATTCAAAGGAAAGTAACATTTGAGAAAAACACTTCTGCATCTACATTAACTCTGCAGTTTTCACATCTGGAAAATAGTGCTGTCTTCCTAGTTTCGGCTGTGCAACTTCATGTTAATACTTCCATCCTAGACCCTATATGAGTGTGGTGCAAGTTCTGAGCTTCAGTCCTACAGGTTGAAATTCAATTCCACTGTGCTATTTTTCAAACCAGTTTACCCCTCTGTAGTCAATTCTTCCCTTTTCCATTGAGTTTTTAAAAAAAATTTTATAAGGCTTAGCAATTTAACTAGGGTAGATATGCTTGAAATGTATAAGAACTTTTCATGTGTAATGTTAACTAGAAAATGCTGCTCCATTGAGAAAGATGATAGGCAAAGGAATAACAGAAACACTTGCTTTTAATCATTACTGTTAGGGTTTAGAGCTGGAGTGTCCCCTGTAAGCTTCTTGTGTTTGGAAGGTTATTGGATCATGGGGCACTACCCTCATCAGTGGGTTAGCCTACTGATGAATTGATAGCTGAAGGTCAGGAGGTTGGGCATGCTTGGAGGCAGATCACTGGGGTGTGACCAAGTTTAGCAATTTAACTCCCCCTCCCATTAAAGCGTTGCTCTCCCTCTCTCATCCCTGTTTCCTGACCTCCATGACACGAACAGCTTTCTTCGGCACAGGCTTTGCACCACACTGTGTCTGCCGAAGAGTCAACCTACTGTGGACTGAACAGATGAGCCCCAAATAAACCTCCCCTTTAAGTTGTGGCTGGTGGGTCCTGTGCCCCATGGACAAGAAAGTGGCTGAAATAGTTTCTAAAAGAAAGATATTTTGAAATGCTGACTATTAGTGACTTTTCCTCTCATGAGTCACCTGACCATGAGAGGCTGTTCACATGCATCGTTGTCAGATGCTGAGAAAGAACTGCACCATAGAAAAAGAGGGCAGTAGTCCGATCTGTACTGTGCTAGAAACACATACGAGATCTCTAATAATCACACCGATTTATAGACAACTTGTTTCCCAAGAACAAGTAAGGGGCTCTCACCCAATTTATTCTATGAAAAGATCACAAACTCTTAGAATTTTTCCTTATTCACATTCATACATTGTTAGTAGTACTGATAATTTCCAGAATGAGGGCTTATGGATGTTGAGGTTAAGTAGAATTGTTTTGAGGATACATAAAGATCAGAGCTAGACCTAAGCATCCCAGCATCTTGGGCAACTTTTATTGGCAATGGAGCCCACTGGGCTGGGACACTAACTCTCGCTGACCAGAATTCTCCTCACAGATGGCATCCCTTCGACATTCACAAGTGCTAAGTCTGTGTTCAGCACAAAGGCCCTGGTGAAGATGCAGCTGTTGAAAGATGTTGTGGGAAATGACACGTACAGAATAAACAATAAATACGATGACACGTACACCCCCCTCCCAGTGGAGGAAGTCATTCAGCGGTCAGAGTTTGTCATAGGACAGGAGGTGACGTATGACATCCTGGACAACAACTGTGAGCATTTTGTGACCTTGCTTCGCTATGGAGAAGGAGTCTCAGAGCAGGTGAGTTAGCTTTAGTGGACACAGGAGTCCCCTACCTTGAGGACACCGTACCTGTTAGCTACGGTAAGTTTCCCAGGATTCCAACAAAATGAAAGTAATAAGAAAGTATGAAAAACTGGAGGACAGGAAAGGAAACGGACTTGTTCAAGGTTGTGCAGCAAGTGACTAGCTGGTGTGGATACAATGAGTTTGGGGCTAGAAATTCACCCTGGGAATTTGAAATAGAATCAAGGCACAGGTTTCTGGCAGTTTTATTGCCATCAATCCAATTCTATTATTGATGTTTTAAACTGAAGATTTATTAAAGTGATATAAGAGAATGAATATATAAGACTACTACCAGGGGAAATCTCCTTCATCTAAAATACAAAGAAAATGTTAATTTTTAAAATTAAAATATCAAAAGTGATTTTATAGCTAAAAAATTTAATTGAATTGTTAATCTATAAAAACTTTTTTGAAAGATTAAAAATTAGGAGAATAATACCTTGAAAATTTTAATATTTTTAAAACACAAATTTATTTAAACTTGGCATGGTGGTGCATGCCTGTAATCCCAGCACTCAGGAGGCTGAGGCAGGAGAATCATTGTGAGTTTGAAGTCAGCCTGGGCTACAAAGTGAGCTCAACCCCAGCCTGAACTGCATAGTGAGACCCTGTCCCAAAAAGACAAAAAAAAATATATTAGTTAAGACTTTCCATATTTTCAAATGTGGACCTACTGTTGCTTTGGTTACTTCTCTCTCATTGCTGAGACAAAATATCTGATGCCCAAAATTAAGGAAGGAAAGGTTTATTTAGCTCACAATTTGTGGAGATTTCAGTCCATACTAAACTGGCTCCAAGGTAGGGTGGCACATAGCAGAGGGCAACAGTTCATGGTAGCAGAAAACAGCAAAAGCAGCAAGAGCGAAAGAGGAGGAGGGGTGGCAAGCAGTCTCTTTCCCTCCATTATGTTCTATGCAAACTACCTGCCCTGGGGCAGGTGCAGCACTCACACCCATGAATCAATCAAAAACTCTAGAAGCCTGCCCCATGGCTGCATGAGGCTTCAAGGGGACATCCAGACACAAACCATAACAAGTATAAAAACTTTTAGTCTCACAAATGAGGTTCAGTGCTTCTCAAAAAAGCTTGGGAAAGTGGAAACTAAAACATCATGAAAGAAATGATGCATTTGTTACCATTAGGAGATAATTTCACTGGAAACTCATTGTCATTAAGAAACACATTAACATGATGAATGTTTTATTCACACATATCAATAAGTTGCTTCTGAGCTAGAACACAGAGGCCACACACAAACTCTTAACTCTTCCACTGAAAACTAGCGGGACACGGGCACTGTCCCATTTCTTTTTTACATGATAAAATTGTTCACTGCACCCAGCAGTGATGTATTATTTATTTATTTCAGGATTATAAAATGGAGAGATATTGGTCAAAACGTAAAAACTTTGGTGATACAAGATAAATCAGTTTGGAGACGTAGCACTTTAACAATACTGTGGAACATACTTTAAATTTTGATACAAGAATAGATGTTAGGTGAAGTGTTCTTAACACAAAAGAAAAAAGGAAGAAAGCACAGAAAACAAGACTACTGCAAAAACCAACAAAAGTGATGGGAGAAAACTTTCGGGTGTTGCAAATAGGTTTTTGAACATTTATTGTTATGGTGACTGTACGGGCGTATGCCTAGCTCCAAACACACCAAGTTGTATACATTAAAGATTTATAGCCTTTTGCATGCTAATCAGACTTCAGTGAAGTAAGGATGTGCTAAATCAAAATGGATTAAAATTATCTTTTCGCTTTGATGCTAACTTGCAATTATCTTCAACGTATGTAACCAGACATAAGACCCATGAAAAGACAATTATCCTCGACACAAGGCAGAACTTGTCTCCAACAGCTTCTGATGATGATGATGTCATGGCAGCCTTAAGAACCTACCGAAGCTCTAGCATTTGGTTGACATAGTGGCCACACTTTAACTACTTACCAGCTGAGTGACCTTGGGCACATTATTTATCTGGGCACACTGAGATTTTTTAAAGGACTTAGAAGATATTCAAGGTCTTCTTTAGCATTTTGTATTAGAATATCTTTATTTTCATATGTAAGCATGCCTACAATGGACACTATTTTCATTTACAGTATTTTAGGAATTTTATGAGTCTTTTTTAGACTCAATAAAAAAGAAACAAAGAAAGAACCAGGGTTATTTACCAGTAAATGAATGTATTACTACTAATTAATAGCCAATATCGAATTCATTCATTTTTGGGGTCCCCTTATGGCTTTGGGAAATTAGGTGTGAAAATCTTTCCCTGAGAAATGTCTGCATACTTCTCTAATTTAAAAAGTTTTAAATACAAAATAATAAATAAATAAAGATAAACAGTTATAAATACATAGAAATGATTAGCAGGATGGAAGGATTTGGTCCCATCTTTTAATTTCTCAGTGCTTTTTAAAATAGTTTTAGAAGTTAAAAGACAACTTTTAGAGCAAGTCTTAGGATCACAGCAAAATTAACAAACAGTGCAAAGTTTTCTCCCTTCAAATAAACATGTAATATCTTGTACAATCACTATTACTTTAGTGTTTCATACGTCTTAAAATTGATGAGCCAATTTGTACAAAGCATGGTCAAAGTCCATGGTTTTAGATTATGATTCCCTCTGTATGTTGTCCATTCTGTGAGTTTGGACACATTTAAAACGATGTACATTCACCGTTATAGTATCATAGTTCCCATGTACTGAAATGTTAGGCTCTGCCTGTTCATCCTTTCCTCACCTCACACCCTGGCACCATCAAATTCTTTTTGGTTACCTCTATAGTTTAGCCTTTTCTAGAATGTCGTGTGGTTGGAATCAGGAAGTATGTAGCCTTTTGGATGCCATAACATTATGCCTTCCCACAGGTAACCAATGAGAGTTCTTATTGGTCCACATACTCTTGTTGTGGGCATTTTGGATATACACTATTTTGATATGCATATTGGAATATCTTATTGCTTTAGTTTGCAATTACTTAGTTACATGTGCTATTGGGCTTCTTCTCAAATGCTTATTTGTCCTCTGCATATCATCTTTAGTGATGTTGTTTGCTTTTTTTTCTATAACACTTTACATTTTCCTGTTGAGTTTTTCAGAGTTCTTTGTATCTTGCAGATAGCAGCCCTTTATCAGATTTATCTTCTGCAAATGTTTTCTCCCAGGTGTGGCTTAATCTTCTCTGTACTTTTCCAGATACATAAAAACAGTATTTTCTTGTGGTTGAAGTACAAACAAGTTATTAAAATGTGTCTAGGTTTGTATAAGATGGTAACAACTTTGAATATGCCTGAACAAGCCAGCACATGAATACACCCTGCCTTTGCTTCAGTGCACCACTGCAGCCTTCAGTCTCAGGAAAGAGATTTTGACAAACCCTGCAAGTGTCGGTACACAGCCTGTCCAGATTCATCTAATATTTCACTGGGCATGAACAGAACAGAGCCTCGGGATGAAGCCTTTATTATGCTGTATGGACAGAAAGGCTTGCAAAAGTTAAAGACTACAGAATCAGAGCTGGTGACATTAAAATCTTAAGTAAGTCATCAAGTAAAAGCTCTTGTGTATGCCAGCTCACCAAGGACATCCTGGCATGTCACAGTCCTGTAGGTCAGATTTCACTACATGGGACTTGGGGAGACTGTCCCAGTTACATGGGATTGTGTGATCTGGAATGACACCTGAATTAAATGAGTAGCTGGCATTTGGGGAAATGCAACGATCCACTGGAGTGGTGTCTTTCTGCAATCTCAAGTAATTTTGGCTTAGGATCAAGTTGCCCACCCCCTCTTCCCAAGCCTCTTCTATTTATAATATTTCTCTAACATCCTATCTTTCTAGAGGCTGAAAAATACCTAGACAGCCTGGCATCTACCTGGGCCCATCCTACCCACACCATCTGAAAATTCCCCTATGGCTGTACCTTGCTGGCATTTGACGCTTCTGTTTAAAGACTCCTATTGAATTTCAGGTTTTTCATTACCTGCCTCATTTCCCTATATCAGACCACTTGTGGATCTCAGTGTCTGCCTGGAATTGTATTAGGGTTTGGCTTGGTTTAGAGTCTTGGGCCCTACTAATTATCGACCTGGCCCCCTCTTTGGAATCTTGTCCCACATCCTGCATATCTATATGTCTTTTTGTCTTCCCAATATACTTTGTCAGTAGCTCCATGCTGCCTCAAATTCTGATTCTCTCCTGGGGAATAAGTTAGGTAGTGGATTAATTAAAATGAATAAATTAATTAAATACAAAATTAAAATTATGAAGTAAAGTAGGATTTCTCAGGGCTGAGGCCAGGTTGTTTGGCAATACCATTTCCCCCAGCAAATAGTGCTTGGAGCAGAGGCAGGTAGTCACAGTTTAGATTTTTTCCCTGCAGATTTCAGGATGGTGTAAGGCAGTGAATACAGGCTGCGGAGACAGAGAGCAAATACTTCTCCCATGTATCTGTTTCCCGACCCTGGTTTTTCCTGTCTTTACCCACCGGGCAAGCAGCAGGTAGGGCAGCAGCACTGCTCTGCAGTCACATGCGGGTAGCAGGCCCTAGGGTAGAAGTCTGGCGTAGACAGAGGGCGTGCTCAGATGTGAAGTGGGTCAGGTCACCAGCTGTTGGACTGGTCCCTAGTCATTTGAGGAAAATGTTTCACTGTATTTGAAAGCCCTGATCCTTGAATCCCAGAGAAGCAATGTTCTTTTCAGAATACCTGATGATTCCAAAATGTCTGAGTGTGACCTTTGGGTCATAAAACTGCACTCAAACCCATGTGGTGGGAGGCAATATTAGTTGAGTGCCGTGAAAACCATGAATATTCATTAGATCCCTCATCATGGTGATTAATCCCCTTCAAGCTATAAATGTCTGAACTCCTTTATGGACAATTGGGCTTGAGAGTGGTTTATTTTATGATGTCTATATGAGAAATTAATTTGACATGATAGTTAACACCAGTATTGACTTTTTGTAAAGTTTGTTTACCAGAATAGCAATTGTGTCTACCATGTAAGAGCTTATGGGTATTAAGGTCAGATCCCCTCCCTGAACTATTTTACTTCTTTAATAAAACACACACATATACAAACACGTTCACAATGATCACCCTGGTATAGACGCAACCAAAGTGCACATTCAGAGACCAGGGGATACACAAAGGCCCAATATGGGTTTGAGAAGACTCAATGCTAGAGACCCTACTCATAAGTGAAATAAACCAGACCTCCATGTATAAGCAACGTATTGTCTCAAGAGTGTAAGAACCTGAAAGAGTGAATAAAAATTAGGAGGTATGATAGACATTGTGAAACAAAATGAAAATGCTCAAAAGTAAAGAGCAATTGGGATGAGGGAAAAGAAAAAAGAGAGAATGGGAAATTATGTATGTATGTATATACAGGAAAGCTAACATAGATGTACTACTGACTTTTATCGCTTTACTGAAAGGAACAGTTAATGATTACTTGTTTGATCAGTCTTTCATGTCTCTGTTTTCCTGAGAAACCACTCTGAAGAGATCAATATTTAATACAACAACCATTGTTAATTTCCTACCACTTTGTCTGTAAGTCAGTATTGCTTGTATTGTTCTTATGCTGTTTTGTAAGTGGATGTCTGTTTGTTAATATGTTTTCCTTCTTTTATTTTTAAAATAATAAAAAAAAGATTCAATCCATCTCTAATCATGTTGCTGGAATACTCACCAGCAAATCCCTTCTAACCTTCAAGTTTTACAAAGCAAGAGTTATGCTGCCTCTCTCACTGATATCCTGTGATAATTAAGGACTACATAGCTATCAGGTGCTTTAAAAATAGGAGGAATAGAAGCCTATGTGTATTTATCTGTATCGTTCATATAATTATAAAAATTATAATTTAATTTCTTCATCTTCATACAAAGTTACAATTTGGTATTGAACTTTAAATAGTGAATATAGTAAGATAGGCCTTCAGTTTAAGAAAAAAATTACACTTCATTTAAGACACTGGAATGTATTAAGAATAAGATTTTTTTTCTGCTTCTTGTTTCCTTCTAGGCTAACCGAGCAGTAAGTACTATTGGATTGGTGACAGCTGTTGTTAGTACCTTCTCATTCCTGGGCTTGTTTCCAAAAAAGCAAAGAACAAATTACCATTAACAATTTATCGAAGAGATATTGGAACTGAAGGAATTTGAAAGGAGGAAAAAACAGAAAACCTGAAATGAATACTTATTTTCAAAGCATCATTATTGCCCCATATTCTAATGATGGATGGCATGCTCTTTAATAAATTGCTTACTGTCATTCTCTTATCACTGAGCCAAGGAAATTTTTTCCCTTATTTACACAGATTTTCTGTGGCAGCTTGACCAGAAAAAAACCAGTAGCCTTTTAAGTGAGCCAGCAGAGAATCTTAACAAAATCGCATCACATTCTATCTTCTACTATAAATATTGTTTTCCTTCTCCCTAAGGGTGATTATTTTATCGCAGGAGTGGAGAACCATTCATATATGGTTTTGAAAGGAATGTTAAGAGCTCTGAATTGCTGGAGCTGACATCTAAATTCACATTCTTTTACTTGTCAAAAAAGACACTGAAATAGAGTGTTTGATTAGACAGCTTGAAGAACTCTGAGTTGCAGACCATGAGAGGGGTACCCCATCTTCCTGAACCTGCATAGATGTAAGATGGCAGGGGAGGGAAAGAGGGACTTTGTGCTCCAGGGTTGCAGGGTCACTGATTTCCCTGCATCTACTCGCTTGTCAAGAGTAGATAAGAGGCCATGAAGGACATGGGCTGTTATTTCTACAGAGTTCTGTTTTTGCTTTTAGATTTTGAAGTATTTCTGAATGGGACCTTTTAACCTTGGCAAGAGATCATTAAATGTTGGTTGAAAGTGCACATTTAGATAATAATATCCCATCCCACTTTTTAAGCCTTTTTATGCTGTCAGGAAGCATCATAATTTTATACTTGAGTTTTACTGATTATGTGTTAAAATAAATGATTTTTAGTACCATTCCAGCGTAATTCTTGGTGGAAGCTGGTAAAGAAGAGTGCAGCTCAGCTCTTTTTACTCCAAGATCACATGGGACACTGTGACATTACCCTGTGGACCACACTACTGGCCAGTGGCACCCTTCTTGCTCCACTAACAAGCACATGGTGTGAAATAAAAGAAACATCCAGGAAATCTGGGGCAGACTGTGATAAGAGTGAACGAGAGTAATGGTAGACAAAGTAACAGAAGATTCAGTGAAAGTCTTAGACCTATTCAACTGATTTAAATTTTACCCAGGGCCTGGAATATTCTACAAGGTAATTGCAGGGTTAAGCATAATACAACAGCAGGGATTGTGTGCCATAGTCCCAGCTAATAGAGACCCTGTCTCTCTTCCCTCCTTTTTTCTAAATAATCTCCCCCCTTCCTTATGACACCTGGATACTCCCCAAATTCTCTCTGCTTTCACTGGTCTTCTAGGAAGGAGTGAGTGTCTCCTACCATGTACTGAGATTCACAATTCCCCTTTTGTTTTTATTCTAAATTCATACCCTCACTGTCCCTTTTTACCCAGTCCCTAAGTAATAATCACCCCAAAGAGCAGTTTCCTAAAACTGTCAAATTAAGGTAGAACCAACAGGAGCTTAATGTGTTACCTGTCTCCAGGTGCGCTTTTACTAAAACAAGTTTTACTATTAACACATATTAATTGGTGTACTTACTTTTCAATAAAGGATGCCTTAATTCTTAAATATTAATCCTTAAATCTTAATCCCAACCAGGAGAACTGGCTGTGGCCAATGATAGCACTGGCCAGTGGGAGACATAAGTGGAAGTAGGAACAAGAAACCTGAGGGCCCCAACCTTTAAGACAACTCTGGACGCTCCCACTCCAGAAGATAGTCACAGATGTGTGGGATAATGGCGCAAGTGTGCACACTCCATAATCTGCTAAAAATCTGTTAAATTAGCAAAATTAGATGCACTATTCTAAGAAAACCAGTAGGAACAAATTTACTCTAAGTTCACAGTGAGGAAGCAGGTAGATTAAAGGTAACAGGGGATAGGATGTATTTGTAAAGGACGACACTTTCTATGCTCTTAATACATGTCTAAGATGATTTGGATACTTACCTCAAAGTTTTCTAGTAGCCTGGAATTGGCATTGCTGTAGACCCAACCATTATGGATCCCTTCCCTAGCATTTTTTAAAAAAAGATGAACAATATTCAGTTCTGGCCAGTTTTTAGAGTTAGAAGATTTTCATGTGTCAATAATAAAAAGTAAATTTGGAAAGCCATACTTTTGAAAGTAAAAAGCATATTTTAATAGCTTATTTCATTACCTTTGTGAATTACTCTGGATTTTTTACTCACAACGTGCTTTGGGAAATGTCAACCTTTGGTGTAGTCTGCAAGATATTAGCTATGCCCGTGCCAGGATTATTTGCAACTAACACAAACTTCTCTCATTCTCCAGCTCCACAAAACTCTGCCTCACAGTATAGATAAGATTCAATTTCCTGAAGTACATGTTTTCCTTGTTTGTGTCGTAGAACCCTACCACAGCCGGAAATGTTCTTCTCAAGTGTGTGTAAAATTTGAGGAAAGGTGTGGCTTTTGATATACTGGTAAAATTCAAAGGCCAAATGTTTCCTTGATTTTCCTTGTTCCCACTGATGTCCATCCTTCTAATTCCATCACCACGACAGCTATGCATTTTACACAATAAAATATAAAGTTTATTAAAAATGATAGTCCAAGAGATGCACATTTTCTTTCGATAGTAAAAGATAGAATCAAAGTAGATAAATCCAAGGTCCTCTGCTGCAAGCTTCACTACGCTGAGAAGTGTGCTTTTGGATGCTCAGATGGAAAAAGAAGAGGTAAGGGTATGCTAGTCCCTCCTCTCCACAATATTCTAATTTGGAGGCAAGCAGATGCTGCTGCTAACACAGGCAGCAACAGTTCTGATTACAGTCTTGTCCAAAAATGCTGTTCTGTGGCTTGGCCTCCCAGTTGGAGTTTTTCTTTTGGGATCTGTTCAGGGCTTTCATAGCCTCTGTTGATGTAGAAGCCATTGTTGCTTTCACCTGAATACATTGTCCTGTTTGTGGGAGGCCAGGTAGCATCTTCTGCCAGCTTTCTTTGCCATTTCCTGTATGAACTTTTAGAGTACAGTCCAAATTCTTTCTTGATCAAGAGCCAGAGCTCTCGGTTTTGAAGAATGGCATCCTGGAAAATCAGATGGGAAACCATCAAACCCTCCTGTAGGTCCCTCTGCAGCCAGGTGGCTCACAGCAGCCTGTGTCCCCGGGATTCCTCTGAGATATGCTCATTGCTACAGATGCTGCAGCTACCGTACTCCTCCCTGATGTCTCTTAATTCTTCCCTTAAGAAGCCAGAGGCTACGTCTGTTCACAAAATTCTGCCCCAAACTTCCAGCTTTTCATCTCTACAGATTTCCTGGTTAAATCCTGGCTAGTGATTTACTTAGAATGCTTTTCCTGCCAGACTGAAATGATAGCTATAATGTACTCAATGGAAAGAAAAGGAAAAAAAAATACAAATCTGCTACTTGCCACCTGCCATGTACAAGATGTCAAATAAATGTTTCTGGAATGAATGGATGGACTCTAACAAGCAAAGGCTTTGGTTTTCAATGTTGGAGTCTCCTTTTGTCTGTGTTCATGTGCTTATGTAATCCTTACACATTTATAATTATACATCTAATTTTGTGTTTCACTTTTGTGTATATTACACTTTGTGCGACACACAATTTTTATATACCTAGGATACTTTTTAAAGTTTTGTTGTGGTCACAGTTACAGTCTTAGTGATAATCATCTCAAAGACTGAATAGCATTTTTTTTTCTAGTACCAGGAATCGAACTCACGACCTTGCGCTTGCCAGGCAGGTGCTGTGCCACTGAGCTAAATTGAACAGCATTGTTTAGTTGCTATATATTTCAGTACAGTGCTTACATTGAGTATTTTACTTTGCTGCCATTTACAACACCATGATGAATATCTTCCTACTCATAGAGTATTTTTTCCTGTCTCCTTTGGGTTATTTGCTTTAAATACAGTCTCAAAAATGGAATTCGTAAATTAAAGAATATAATACACTGTATGTGTATTGTCTATGAGATATTTTAGATTGATGTGTTAAAGTTAGATTACTGCCTTTTCTTTGTGGACTTATATGTGAGTCTTTGATTCTTTTTTACCTATTCCTTTAAAATGGAGCACCTGAACCACTCACTGAGTGGGTGGAATCTTTCATTGACCCCAAGTAGAATGGGAATGATGCCTTAGCAGACACACGGTAGGAACTGGGGCATGAGCAGAAGTTTCTTCTCTCATAATTGGGGAGGCTCCTGGGGATTGCTTGTCACTCTGAAAGGTCTATTGAATTTCCTAGTTGCAAAGTCACCTGGTCTCACCTCTCTTAGACTAGTGAAAATACTAGAGAAGTACAATACAATGTCTTCATGGAAGCCTAAACTAGAGTGAATCTGATGTTATGCAGAAGATAACAGGAACATTTCAAAGCAGGCCTCAAAAAATTTTTCAATGCATTTCCAGGTAATTTTCCCTGAAGAGAACATGCAGTTTTTAAAAATCTTTCATAAATGACAACTGAGAGGAATCAAAACAGTTGCTCTAAAAAGTGAGCATCTGTGGAGAATGAGAATTTGTATTGTTTTATCTCCCCAGAAAAATAATACCCATACAAAAATCACTTACCTCTACAAAGAAGGCCACACAGAAATGGACAAGGGATATCACCAGAATCAAAGCCCTCCACGATGTAATGGTTGGGATGAACTGTGGAGGGAGAAATGCCACCATTACACTTTGTGTGTCTTCCACTGGCACACATTGATTATCTTATGTAACATATATTAGTACTAACTCCCGGAGTCTGGAGCATGGGCCTTACTTTTTCCACTTTACAGATGAGAAAACTAAAAGTCAGGGCCTTACCCAATTTCTGATCAAAGCCAATAAATAAATGGCAGAGCCAGAACCCTAATAAGAATGGATCCCTGCTGGCCTGTGCTCCCTCCACAACCTGCCAGTGTTTGTAGGGAGTGTGTCCTGGAAGGCACGTGAGACAGAGGACACTTAGGCGCTGTGGTTCACCATTCATTTTATCCTCTAAACATAGGGGAGGCTTAAGATCAAACAGTTCATCACTAATTTTATGGCCTCTACTTCTCCCAAAACAATCAACTTGGAATTCATTTCATTTTTCAGAAAAATTGAGAGCTGGGTAAAATCCAAGAGGTAAAGAAGTACATGTTAATTTTCCCTGACAGTAGGTATATACATTTTGCTCCAGCCTAACTTATCAGCTGTACCCTAATGTGGATTATAACAAGTTAATATTAGACTATTTTCCCCAAGTGGAGAGACCTTTTTTAGATTTGTAAAATACAGCACCCTACATGGAAGGTTATCGGAGAAGGTAGACCAGATCCAAGTAGAGATCATCGTGCTTTAAGATGTCACCGCTGCCACCGCACCAGAGGCAAACTTTGGCCTGAAAGATGCACCACTAGCATCACTTACTTTCACACTGGTCTCCTCCCTTAGCTTCTGAACTACTTGAAAGCAGTGATCACATTGTACTCATCTTTGTAACCCGGGTACCAAGGATGCTGTGGAACTCCATGAGGTTTGGCAAATGAGTGAAGATTTGCGTTTTCATTTCTAAGCTGCTTATGGCTCTGTGGCCCCTCGCTCTCCCACATAGCCTTGCTGTCAGCACCTAATTGATCCATCTTAAATGCCCTTCTGAAAAACTGCAATGATTTCCTGAGGCCCCCAGCACAAAGTCCAGACTTCCGGCTGCCTTGGTCCTTCCGTACCTTCCTTTATTTGTCCTTCCTGGTCCTCATACTCCATAGCCCATTGTCTCAATTTTAGTGAATCTTCTAGCCCCTCTGTGAAGCAGCCTTGCTTTGGATTTTTATTCCTGCCACCTTGTTATAGTTTGTGTCTGTGTGTCCCCCCAAAGCCTCATGCGGTCATGGGGCAGGCTTTTAGAGATTGATTGGTTATGGGTGTGACAGCTACACCTGCCCTGGGGTGGATAGTTTGCATATGTAAGGGAGAGGAAGAGGTTGCTTGCGGCCATTCCTCCCTTTTGGTGCTTGTTGCTTTGGCTGTGTTCTGCCGCCATGAGCTGTAGCCCTCTGCCATGTGCCACTCTGCCTGGTAACCTGCCAAGTATGGACTGAAAACACCACAAACTGTAAGCGAAATAAACCTTTCCTTCCTTAATTTTGGGTGTCAGATATTTTGCCCCAGCAACGAGAGAAAAGTAACCAAGACACACCTATACTTTTTACACTGGGAAGATGGAGACCTTCTCTTTGCCCCTCTCTGCTTGTGCTGAAGTTGTCCTCTTGGTCGGCAGCAGCCCCACCTCCTACCCAGCAAAATCCAACCCATGCTTTTGGACCATGAACAAAGTGCATTCTATCCCTGAAGCCCCATGCAGGCACAGTCCCTAATGACAACTCCTGCCCAAGTTCCTCCTACTTCTAGCTTTACACTGTCTTCAAGAATGGATGACGTCAAGTGGCCAAGGCATGGTTTCACTTCACTACAACTCGTCTTCACAACAGAAGTATAGCTAGAAATTCAGGAGCCAATCCTTCCTTTTATATCTCTCACAATACTGGGTACAAGAATGGGATCAATAACTTCTTTATGAATTTAATTTTAATCCTGTATACCCTGGATCAAATGATGTTCACTGACTTTAAATTCCACATACTCAAAGTCTGGCAAAATATGATTGGTTTATAAGTCTACTTTCTCTTTCCTCCTCAGCTACATTATTACAAGACTTCTACTGTATGCTTTTAAAAGTTAAACTTGATAACTATTGTGTTCATACATTAACTTTATGGTATTAACATAACATGTCAGAATAAGGTATTTAAACACAGTATTTCAGATGTCAACAGGCCAAATGCATCTAAATAATGATAGTAATAATGTGAAGCCATATGTAAGACTCATAAATGTTATTTGCTTTTCTAGTTAATAGAAATCTATTTAGTGGTCAGACATAATGCTAAGTGAAATAAATCAGACACAAGAGGTTAATTACCACATGGTTTCTCTAATGCCAGAGACCCAAAATACAAATAGTTTAAAGACAGTATAAAAGTGAGACGGTAGCAAACAGGAAGGTGGACTGTGGAGGTGGGAAGCCGACCTGGGAAAACTGGGAAAGAGGAAGGGAGGGAACAGAAGGAAAATGATCAAGATGTGACATATACAGTATATGTACCAGCTTTCCAAGGTGAATGTGATTATTACATATCACAAACATATGCTGATAAAAAAATAACAGAGCTAAAAAACAAAATAAAATAAATCTTGAAAAACATTTAGTTGAGAAAGATTTAGTGATAATTCAGCAAAAATATTCAGTGATCAGGGGATTATCATAATAATGGACTTATAAATTATAATAGGAATATGATCCACAGCACATCAAATCACAGCAGAGGTGCAAACAAATAACACTTACCTCCATCCCTTGGTATATATCTTCAAAATCAGAAAACAGAATGAAAATTGTGAGGCCCAAAGCAGATATCAGCAGAAATGAAAATATATCTGAAGAAACATCAAATATTATTTTTAGATGCTAAGAGAATGTTTCATATGATTTGGCTCACATTGCAGAATCAATTATCTTTGTTGGGCAAATATTGGGTATAACTTCAGATGTTTTAATGTATCTTCATATGTTTTAAAATATGTTCTAATGCTTAGAAAATGAAGGTGATGTCTTAAAATCTTTCCACATGAGACTGACTGTAGAAGTCTGTTCAAGAAATGTCTTGTAGTAAGGGAATTACCTCCCTGAGGATTCCAGGGGCTGGGACATCCTGTGGTGACTGCCTGACCAGTCACCAGAAAGATCTCAGTGCATTATCGCCACCTATCTAGCGCTTTGTGCATGGATGGGACAGTCAATCTTCTGCATCTCATTCATTGTTGTAAGGGGAATGAAGTCCAAGAATCCTTCATTGACACTCCAACCCTTCCACAATCTGGTCCTTTCTAAACTCTTCTGTAAATATTCTCCCTCTGTGCATCTGGAAAGTTAAACCACCATACCCATCATTCCCACAGAGACCCAGTTCTCCAGAGTCTGTACCTTTGCTCTCAAAACATTCTGAGTAGACACTGTGTCTCCTGCCCAATTTTGCCCCACTTAATGAACCCAGTCCAAATAATCATTTTGTTTTCAAAGACTCCCTAGTCCATCTTTACAAAGTTTATTTCATATGGTATATATCATATTCACTTTGCGTGATTTTAATTTGTCTACCAACTAGGCTGTGACCACTTGAAAACGGCTTTGTATTTGGGTCTCAGGGACTCTGATTTGAAACAGTAAGTGAGATTCCGTCCTGTCCATTTGCGAAGTTCCTTCTTTCCAAACCGTCCGCAGCACTTTACCGTGGGGAGGTAGACCTCCTAGTGTGCGCTGTGCCACAGATGCTGCTCATCCCCCCAAGTCCTCCCACTTCTCTGTCAGAGCTTGTAGCAGAGCACTTTGTAAATAGTGTACTAGAAATATTTTTGATAAGATTATCACCTTCAGGCCAAAACACTGGAATTTAATCATCGTGACTGTGATGTGGATGATTCCTACGCTCCTCCTAAGTTACAAAGTAAAACAGTCAACCACTAGGTTTTCTCTGCTTTTTTTTCAACCTCTTTTATTCCAGTGTCGGTGATCTACCAGTGTTTTCTCTGCCCCAATTTTACATCGGTACCAACCAGGAATCAAAGGCCTCTGCAGCAGGCTCTAGTTTCTGAAGCCCTGAGAGTTTTGTTTCCACCTTGGGCACCTGGCCCATCCTCAAGGTGCATCCACGCCTCACTCCGTGAACAGAGCTTGGTGCAGCACCCGTCAGAGGAATGAATGGCCAGGCATGCCTGGAACAGATATGAGGCAGAGAGGGAAAAGATGGGAAGTGCAGCTCCTAAAATAAAGCAATCTGACCAGCAGGGCACAAAGAAAGTCCCACCGGATGGCTGTGTGGCTTTTTCACTGACTTCATTGTTTGAGGGTCCCAGGGACCCAGACACTGGGAAGAAGAGGGCTACTCAAAAGTGCATCCACTTAAGCTCTGGCCCTCACCAGCAACTGGCCTGAGTGCTTTGTGTAGCACTCTGTCTGTATTCCGGGGATCTGTGAAGCTGGCTCCGTTCTTTCTATCACTGTTGGTGGAAAATGCGATGGAGAATTGAAGTGGATGTTCCCCCTCCCTGAATAGGTCCTGCCAATAAGGAAACCAGGAAGAGTGGGCTCTCCTCATGCAGTGAACTTGAGAAGACTTGTGAAAACCATTAGGGTCTTTTGTCAAATGAGGAAAGGGCCTGTGATCATTCATACTTGCTTCCGTAGAAAAAAATTAAATCTGTGTCTTTTCTACATCTTGTCAGCATAAGGTTGAGCTTCTGTCAAAGGCTGATAAGAAGGATGAAGATTTTTTTCTGCTATTTCAAAATAAAATGGCTTGTGTACTATATCTTAGAAGTTCTAAAAATTTTTGACTTACGATCCTGAGAATATATGAACTGTTAGGTAACACTTGTTAGAATATTTGCTTGTAAACCTTTTCTCACTTAGGATTCTCAGATATGTTTCGTATAAGGATTCAGTTTCCTTTCAGTCTTGGAGTCCCTAGGATGCAACTACCCTAATTTGCTCAGTGTATGCAAGAGTACTTGCAACTACTATGAAAGTACTGGCTAGTGACATCACACAAAGTACATCTTCAATTTAAAATAGGGGCTAAGACATTAACTCTAAAATATAAGTCAAAATCTTAGTTTGTTTTGACAAGAACCAAGGGTGTTTTCAAACATATCAACATTTAGGAAAATGGTGAGAAATTTGGGATGTTTCTAAGAAAACTAGAAGGAGACTTAACATGCTTTCAAGTCCTTCAACAAAACACCAAAATAATTAAACAAGAACAGAAAAAGTTGAATAATGTAGTTGGTGAAACTGATTTACCAGAAAAAATGTACATTTCTAACTTAAAAATAGAGGCCTACTTTTCTAAGTCTATGACTTCTTTTTTGCTTGTTTGTTTTTGAGATAGTGTCCTGCTGTGTACTTTAGGGTAGCATTAAACTCACTGTGTAGCCCAGGCTGGCCTCAAACTTGTGGTGAGCCTCCTGCGTCAGCCTCCCAAGTCCTGGGATTACAAACGTGCACCACCAGGCCTGACTAGTGTATGACTTCTTTACAAAATTGGGGTTCAAAATTGATGCCATGAGCCTGGCATGATGGCACATGCCTGTAATCCCAACCCTTAGGAGACAGAGGCAGGAGGATCATTGTGAGTTCAAGGCCAGCCTGAGCTACACAGTGAGACCCTATCTCAAGCAAACAAACAAAAAGACAAACAAAAAAAGAAATTGATGCCATAAGTGTAAAAAAATGCAAAGCAGAAATTTCAAAGGCTAGATTGTCTAATCACGACAATAAAAACAGATATCATTGGATAAGTTTAAAAGAAAAATCCCTCCCAATATAGAAGTAAAGAAACTCCTAAAATCTGTTGAGTCAAAAAGAAAATCAAACATGTATATATCGGCTATTAAGAAAAATAGTTCCCCAAAATGCCTTTGTTCTTTCCATGTACCCTTGCTGTGTGACCCATTTCCTTACTAGATCAATATTAGCTGACCATCTATACTTGTAATTTTATTGGTTGATTCTAGTTTGACCTAAGTTGCAGCCACCTCATGATTTTGTACCCACCTCATGAGTTTGCTCTATAAAACATTCTTGGAAAAGTGGTTTCCTTGGCAACCCACTTTCTCGACCCCTCCTGACTCTGAGGAGCTATCTCTCCATGTATCTTTCCTACTGTTAACCTCCATCGTTCCTTGGAATTCATTCTTCAATCTCAGAGGACACGACCTGGGTACATCTGACACCTAGCAGGCTGGGAGTTACATTTCTCCTATGTCAGTATTATGTTCAGTTGGCAATAAATGAATGAAAGGGATGTTAAATACTCAATAGCCAAAACACATCTCAGAAAAACTGGTCGATAAACAAATTTGACCCCTGCCACAAACTACACCATGAACTATTTCTAAAAGCATTAAAATAAAAATTTAAACCTAAATAAGCAGTAATCTATTCTATTTTGTAATTAGGAAAAACTTTCTGTGCATAAGGGCAAAGGAAATAAAACCACAAAAGAATAATAAACAGCTCAAATAAATAAGGCAAACAAGTGAATAAGTAAAAAGTAGATTTAAAATGTACCTGGATAATTCACAAAAGGACAAATAATATAAAAATATGCAGGGGCTGGGGATATAGCTCAGTGGCACAGGGCCTGCCTAGCAAGCGTGAGGTCATGAGTTTGATCCCCAGTACCACAAAAAGAAAGAAAAAAAGGAAAAAAAGGAAAAAAAATATGCTTATCCTCACTGAAGATGAAAATCAAAAAATACAAATAAAAACTGAATGTGATATGATTTTTAAAAAGTCTCATCAGATCAACAAAATTTTTCTTTATTTTATTTTATGACAGTTTGCTTGATTGATTACAGTACTGGGGATCAAAACCAGGTACATTCTGCTACATAGCTACATCCCCAGACCTTGTATTTTTACTTATTTATTTTTTAAACTTTTTATTTATTTACTTATTTTCTTTTTGAGACAGAGTCTTGCTACGCTGCCCATTCTGGGCTTGAATCTGTGATCCTCCTACTTCAGCCTCCCAAGTAGCTGCAAAGAGAGGCATCTGCCACCACCCCTGGCATTAGGATAATTTTTTTTACATCTCATATGTGGTATGTTGTTATGAAGCAAACCTTCTCCAAAACAGCAGATAGGAATGACAGTTGGTATGAAGTTTGGGAGAGAAATTTCAATTGTAAATCAAAAGCTATAACATATTCACATGCTTTCACCCAATGATTGACCTTAGTTACTCTATGGAAATCAAAGATTATGTCACGGTGATTTATGTAGCCAAGTAATTTTTTTTCACAGCATTGTTTATAATCCTCAAGTACTGGAGATGAATGCATGGAGCACAGAGTGACCATGTCCTAGTTTGCCCAACATTCTTTCTTTAATCCTGGCGTAAGCATTAATGGCGTATCGCTCCACTCTCAAATCACCACAGTCTTTGGTAACAGGACACATTCTCTGGCTTTCCTGCCTCTGGTCCTTTCTCCTTATTTGAGCAAATCTTCCTAAACATCCTATAATCCATATAGCGCTAAAAAGTGAAACCCTTACTCATCAGGCTTACCAGAAGAGCATCCATTCCAGTGTGAACTTTCCTTTCTGGTTTTTTCTCACTCCTCCCCTGCTCCTTACACTCCTAACACTGGAGGAGGGGTCGCCGCTTCAAAGAGTTTTTGCTTTGGTTTTGTAGTTTGTTACTGCTTGGTTTTGTTCTTATTTCACCTAAGTGAGTATACTGAGGAGGTAAATAAGAATTCTTGAGCACACATTATAAGTGCAGGCTCCCCTGTATACAGGCCATTTATGTAAAATACCTGCTTCATTTTCCTCATGGGCCTGAAGGTTGTGCTACTCTTCTATTTGAGGAAATAGGGGCTCAGAAGCGTTAAGGTAACTTTCTCAATGTTGTAGAGCTACAAAGAGGTTCATTTGCATTTGGATTGACCAGAAACATTTTACAAAATAGCCTGAACTATATGTCTGTGTTTAGAATGATGTGCTGTCTCAGTAGTGCAGGACTCACTATTGAGGAACACAATGTTGGTGCCTATTAAAAATAAGCAAGTTTCTTTCCCTGGATTCTAACACTGGTGACCAAGTTCAAAAGAATCCTGCTGGAGTAATGCAATTGTTCCTTTCTTCACTGGTGAGTTGCAACTCTGGGGATGGTGGAGGAACAGAAAAATATTTTAAAAAGAAAAAATTAAACTCCATATACTTACAGTTTGTATAGATAGGTTTCCGAAAAGGCTTGCCCTTAGAGAAGATAAGCGCTATCGTGATACAGTTCATGGTGGTGATGGGCCACAGTGTGGTACCCTCGAAACTTAAAACCGAGCCAGGAACCAGGGTTGCATTCCCAGTCCAGTTTCTTCCCAAACTCACACTCGTTGAGAAATTACTTTGGCTGGTCAGAAAGCACTCACTACAAGAGAATTGCCGGCATTTATCAGGTATTTTATTCCATTTCTGTCCATTATAGGCAAAAACAATAAGTTTAATCACTACCATGAGATTTCAGCTTTATACCTGTTCCAGTCGGTAGTGACTAAGATCTACTTTGTTCACTTTTTGGCATGATGACGCCCAAATAAAATTCAGCAGAAGTCAAGTCTTTAGCACTTCATGTAGAGCAAGTAATCTATTGTGAAGGGTCTTGAATGAGAATTTTCTCTAGAATTCCTTTCAATTCAAAGAGTAAAATGTACCATGTGAATTGAATTGTGAAAGGTCTTGGATGAGAATTTTCTCTGGAATTCCTTTCCATTCAAGGAGTAAACATACCATGTGAATTGAACATATGTATATGTGTTTTCACGTGTGTCTTTGTGTGTGTGTGCTTCTTTCATCACTGGGATAAGCCTCCTCACTTGCACGCTGAGTGTGAGTGTCTACACACTAATCCTTTCTCTTTACTTAGACAAATCTTCTTAAACATCCTATAAGCTGTATAATGCTAACAAGTTAAACTTACACCCATCAGGCTGATCTACAAGAGCATTCCTTCCAGCCTTCACCTTCCTTTCTGGTCTTACACTCCTAACATTGGGGATTATTCCGTGTTCCTCAAATACCACAATTTGCAGATTTGTTGTGTTTGGCACATTATTCACATTAATTGAATTAATACTCATCCTTCAAACTGCACTATATTAAAATTTCTTTTCCTGGAAAGAAAATTTCTTTTCCTGGAATCCCCATTCTACCCTCTGTGGCTTATTGTTTTGCAATAATTTTGTTGACTTGTCTTTCACATGTGAGCTATGAGTTGAATATGGAATTTTTCTTTTGATTTTTATTGTTGTTTTTGTTTTACTTAAATATACATGGGACACCTTACACCACAGGATCACGTAACAGTTACACAGAAAAATACTGACTTAAAATCTGCGCTTTCCTAGTCCTCATTACCTATGTGCAATGTTCTTCTTCTTCTTTTTTTTCAGTGATGAAACTTACAATACAAATCTAGCTTGCCTTAGCTTTCTTGCCTGAAACTTTGTAATTACTATTAAAATGCTTTATGGATCAGATTCATTTTCCAACTGGGAATTCAAATGCAAGACTTAATTCTTATTATCCTGGGCTCCCTAGGTGCCAGTTGTGCTTTCCTACTGTACATATTTGATTAATGTTTACTAAGTAAATTAATGAAACTGGCAATCAGTAGTCATATTCTTGCAGAAAGATGGACAGGAACTAGATGCCCTGGGTGATGGAGTTTAGCAACAAAAAGTTCCTACTTCTTTCTACTTGCATTTCTAATAGGTTGAGGGCAAATATTTTGTAGCCACTTAGCGACAGAAGCAGGGTTATTCTGGTTTCCTATCCATCCTCTTTGGGCTACATGACCTTGTCTTCTTTTTTTTTTTCAATCGGAATAGACTTCTTTGAGCACATGCACTACAATATTTGGGGAAATCTGGTTTTGAAACTAAACAGAAGTCCACATTCCAAGTAATATTTGAACTGCTGGATCTAGGATCTAAATGACAATCTTAGACATCCATCTTTTCAGCCTTTGTTTCATTTATTTCTCCCAGTTCTCAGGCTTTCAGGATGACAGTGGGGTGAGGGGGAGTGTGTGCCTTCCCTATTTCAAAGATAAGGGCTCTTTTCTTGACTTTTCTTGTGGAATCACGGAGGCTTCCTCAGAAAAAAAAAAGTTTGAGAGTCTATAACATAGTTTATTACTTCATCTTACCTTTGATTTATCACTGAGGAAACTAAACCCAGGGAGGTAAAAATACATATCCTGAGATTAGTCTTTCAATTAAATCAGAATAGTGATTCCATCCACTAACATTTTAGTCTTAACAATCATTTAAAAAGCTTAAAATGATCTAAGCAGTGACTCTTGTATGTATGTCTCTATTAAAAGCCAGTAAATGGTGAAATCCACAGGTCAAATCCAACTCCCAAGCTTTCGTAAATAAAGTTGTATTAGAACATAAAGATACCTACCTATTTACATATTATTGATGGGTGCTTTTGTGCTACAACAGCAATGTTGATGAATTACATCAGAGACTATGTAACTCAGAAAACTTAAGACATCTACTGTCCTACTCCTTACCAGAACTGATTAACCCATGGTCCATAGAAAATCCAAACTGTCAGGAAATGACAACACTCACGCAGTCACTCAGCTCTTAGATCTACCCAGTGTGACTGATCTCTTCCTACCTACTACACACGGCTCATCCCAGCACTCCACCCAGTGCATTCTGTTTTACCATTAATGTTTCACAGTGTGGAGACACAAATTTTGTTGATAAACATTTTAGGCCATGTTCCAACCAAAGTTAGGCAGTATTGGTGGAGAATTACCATATCAATTTTAAAAACTAAGAAAATGAACTCACTGGTATCGGTAGACCTCGCAATACCAAGGTTGCTGCTTCACATAGAAAAAGGCGCACACCTGCACAATGCAGGTGAAACAGGAATTGAGGAAGACCGAAAGCAGCAAAGGTGGCGAAAGGAGCTGTCCTGCAGGTCGATAGGGAGCCAGCTTTGGATAGGCATCAGTTAAACTCACTGAAAGACAAATGCATTTTGCCCTTTAGCACTCCATCACTGAGAATAAAAGATTGAGATGCATATTCCTGTATTTGAGTCTTGTTTTAGGATTGAGGTTGAGCAAGCGTTGACTGAACACTGACGCATACATAAGCATATTACTTCATTGCGTGTCCGACTCTTAACACCCTCGGCTCTTCCATGCTATAGCTTCTGCTTCAAAAATGAAAAGTAATGGGCTACAAAATCCTGTAACTAATACAGTTACCATATCATTTGGTGCAAATACTTTTTCTCTAACCAAACTAACCAAGAATGGTGTGCCAAAGAGGCAAGTGACCTGTCAAATGGTATAAAAAAAATAACCACATTACCTCACAATATTGATGGGAATGTGGAAAGTTAGGATAAGAATAAACAAGAGTCTAGCTAGACTTGCCTTCATAAGGCTGGGTAATTCATGAAAAGAGTTTGATTGGTCATTCAGCCAACATTTTCTGATCCCTTTAATCTGGCAGAAATTGTGATAGATGCTAGAGGTGTACTTTGTTCCTTCCTGGATATGTATGTAAAGGCAGGGGAGAGGGGACTGCTAGTATGCATTCTGTTGTTAGGGGGGAAAAAAACTAAAAAAATCTTCCTTCTTTATGATGGTGTGTGAAGATATGTTTTTGTTTAAGGATTTACTTTTTTAATTTAAAGGGATTGAAAATGGTCAATTAAAAATCAACTTCACAAAAATGAATAACCCTTTTTGGAAGAGGATGAAGTAAAATGTACTTAACTTCTCAGGACAGAGCAGGAAAGAAGTACAAGCAGGTTAGAATTACAAAATTAGATTTTACATTTAAAAATGGACATCACAGAGTCATATTTCAGTTCTCATGTTCCTCTCTGCTACCACTTCCTTTTCACAGTTTATCTCTTATTTCTCTGACATAAAGAGGAAAATAGAATGTGCATGCATTGGTTTGAGTTCATGCTTGTAAGGTCAAGGTGGTAGGGAGCCAGTATGAAGTTTGGGATAGTAAATCTCTAAAGTAGGTCTTGCTTTTGTTCGATGTGTACTCTGGGGTAATCATGTAAATTCTCTGGTTCTTCATTTTTTATGTACAAAATAAAATTTTTTGGAATGTTTACATGCCATCCAAAAGCTCTTCGAACTCGTTTTTTTCTGAAGCTCAGTGACTATGACTTCACTGTTACCAGTCTAACCAGTGTTTTGCAGTGATTTGCTGGGCTAGAGGATGTGGAATCTCAGAAGTAGAAGGACCATCGCCTCTTCCTTCAAAGAATTGCAAGTCCAGTTGCAGACACATACAGACTGTGTAATAATGAACTTTGTTCCCAGTTACTGTAATGCTTCCTCTAAATCCCTGATATTTCCTCAGTGACCAGAGCATCTTTCTTTTTCATAGTGGGGGGGGGTCCCTGACAGTTTATGCCAAAATAACTGATGGGGGAATCTGATAAGAATTTTTATTAATAATATTACTCAGGAAAGGGGCTGGCCTTACTCCCAAAGACCAATTGTATGATTGGAAGGTTGAGATTTTGAGCCATATCTCAGCCTGACCTCCAAGAGAATTGGAACATGGAGATTAAGTTCAACCTGTAGTCAATAGTTCAATCAGTCATGTTTGCATAATGAAATCTAAGTAAAAGTTTTAGTCTCTGAAGTTCAGTTTCCCTTCCCTGGTTGGCGGAACTCTGCACACTGTCACAGATCTGTGTACCAGGACAGTGAACATCTTGACTCCCCAGGGAAAGGACAGTAGAAGTCACATTGGGACCCCCTCCAGACTTTACTTCAAGCGTCTCTGCTTTTAACTGGTTCTGATTTCTATCCTCTTGGTCTAAATAAAACTGTAATCATAAGTATAGCACTTCTTTGAGTTCTGCAGATTGTAGCAAATTATTGAGCCTGTGGGGGAGTGGAAACCTCTAAATTTGTAGCCAGTTAGTCAGAATTGCAGGCAACAGAGGGACCCCAGAATTTATGGATAATATCTCAAATGAAGGCAGCTTTGTAGAGGCTGTCTCCCTGACTTGTGGTGTTTGGCCTGACTCTTGGTAGATGGCATCAGAAGCCACTGAGCTGTGTTGGATGCCCAAAGAAGAGGGTCCCATTGTGGACTGTGATTAGTGCTGAAGAAAGAGCAGAGAGACCATGCTCCTAGATCACACAACGTGGAAGCCACAGTGCTTGGCATTCGCTCTGCACCCCAGTATCCAAGACCAACACATCTGAGAGCTCAGGAAGGAGCATTGAGTCCAGGAGAGGGGTGTAATCATTTTCCAGCCTCTGCTCCTTTGGTCTTCTCTCTCACACATGCTCTCTTTGTAGTTTATGACCTGTTTTGTTTTTTATACAGGAACTGTGTTGGGTTGAATTATTGGTTTCATTGAGCTGGAGTTATTTGGGCTTCACTATGTGATTCTGGCCAAAGAGATGTTAATATTGGTTTCAGGCATTCCTGCAAAGGTTTTCTTGCTTTCTGTGATTCTCGGTGAGAATTCACCCTCGCTGCCTATTCACCCTGACCCTGGAATGCAAATATAGAATAGACCCAAAACAAACCCCATAGCTTGACCAATATCACATGATTTACATCCCCACACAGAGTGGCTTGGATAACCAACCTAGATCAGCTGAATGGCAGTCAACTTGCAGGCCCATGAGTAGGGAGAAGAACTTGGTGGTACAAGCTGCTGAGTTTAGGGAGTGAATTGTTATGCAACAGTATCGTGGCAGTAGCTAGTTGCTGTCCTTACCCAGAGTACTTTGACTTTTTCCACATTAGAGACTTCTAATAATTCTACCAGGGAATCTGTATTTCAAACCATAAATAAATATAAAAATAATGACTACACCTTAGGATACCTATTAGGTTCCAGACAGCATGCCAAGTTTTCCATGAATATTATCTGTATTTCCTTAAACAACAATGGAAAAGGGGTAAGTTTTACCGAAGGAGAAACTGAGGCTCTGAGAAGCAGAGTCCCTTGCCTAAAGACCTTCAGTAATTGGCAGAATGTTGATGTAAACTCAAGTCTGTCTGCCTGTAAAGCCCCATGCTCTCTACTCTACAGCACTGTGCACTGTCATGGGTTTCCAGCATCAAGAAGAATATAATGAGGAGCCCTGAAATACTGGCGTGGGTAGCACTAATATTTATCAGTAGCCAGAATAACTTCTCTAAATTATACAAATTTCCTTAGGATGACAAGGATATATGTTATCACATTGTGTACAGAGGAAAGCAAACTTGTGAAATACGTTTTATTCAGAATGTATCATTCCTTCCTCAGACTCTCCATAGCACATTCTTCTTATTACAGCTGGAGTGCAGGGTGTCTGGCATTCAGCCTAGTTATTTACATCTGCCCTCCGTAGACTGTGAGCAGCCTGAGGGAAAGAAATCCTGACTCATTCCACTCTCTGGCCTGCACTGAAGCTGGCACAGGGCCTGCTACCTGGGAGGAATTTGCCATTTCAAATTCTTCTCTCAAAGTATAATTTTTAATTGTTCAGCATCATTTGAATGTCTGGTAGTTGATTTACTTTATATTATGCACTTTGCAAATCATGTAAGTCAAACGTCAAGAGGCCCATAAACCCACCAGAACTGAATGTAAAATCCTGAGTGTGCAGCCTGAGATTTCTAATGTAACAAGATCTATATCCCCCATCATATTCTCCAAGGGGCTCTACCCAGAAAAGGTTACAACTCAGTGAAACATTGATGGGACTTGAATAAGAGTTGTATTTATGTAAGGAAGAAATTTCCTCCCACACCTCCTTCTCTAGATACTGTCTTCTCCTGTGTGTAGAAGTATTTGGTCTAAATATTTGGTATGAAGCTGAATTGTACAAAGCCCCCTTCATTCATAAAAATCATGGCCTAGAGGTGGGCATCATACCCAAATTAAGTCAATAATTTTGCTCCCTCCCAAAGAAACATTGGAAAATGGAACAATGAGAGGTTGACTTCACTAACCATGGGAAGACAAGCAGAAAGCTATGGAGACCCATTCAGGTGTCACTTTGTGGGGACATTTGTAAAGCGAAGGAGTAAAGGTCAGATGAAAATGACAAGAATGGGGGAAAAAGAAGAGAGGGTAAAGATGATTATTTGGAAATAAAGAAAATGATCTGGCTTTCGGGGTATTTGTGCCCTACTCTTCCTGAGGCTCAGGTGCTTCAGCCTTTCTATTCTAAGGTTTTCTTTTCTGAGAACTATATTTTTCATTGTTTCCCCCTGTATTTTCTTGATCTAGCTCAAGTGGCTCTTATCAAAGAGGACAGAGATATTAGCACAAATCTTCACGATGGCTGCTACTCAAATGAGGGTTAAACTGGGCTTCAAGCCATGCATTTCCCTAATTAATTGACTTCCCTCCTGACTACATTTTGCTTTTCTTCTTGGTTTTTCTCTTTAAAGCATTATATCTCTTTGGCTGCCTTTGTTGCCTTAAAATCTGTGGGAACAAAGCAGATAAGTAAATTAATTTAGTATGTGATAGTATTGTCTTTTTTAAGTACTAAGACTTTAGCTGAAGACTTGAAATAATAAGGAGCTTGGATGAGAGTCCTTGATAGTAATCACATCTAACTGCCAGTGACTCCCAAGGGCTGCAGATGAATGTGCTCAGATCTCAGCCTGGCAGTCAAGACTCTCTGTGACCCCACCAACCTCACCTTTGCAGATGATGTCCCCTGCTGCTTATTTTCACATATCCTACAGTGTGGTCGAATTGAAAAACTCATACCTCATATTTATCAACGCTATTGTTCATGCTGCTTCCCTCTCCTTGAAATGCCCTTTTAACAAAATGTTGAGATCTATCTATCCATCCTGCCTGAATAAGTGGGAATACTACTCTTCCTGGAAGTTATCCCTATTTCTCTCTCCTTTCTCCATTGTCATCTCCTCCTTATTCAAAAGGCAATCTCTGCTTACTCTGAATTCCCAAGTGTCTGCTATTTTCTGCCATTCAGTAAATTGTGTGTTGTTCACTCATCTATGTAAATCCCTCACTAAACTCCAAACTTGAGCTATCAGCCTTTTCAGACACCAAGCACCTCTGACTAATACAGGGTAAAAGAAGAACATTAGTCTAACAGGGTGTTGAATTATGTTTTTCTTGTTTGTGAAAAGTTTTGCCAAACCTCATATTTGAGGGCAATGAATGGTAAGTGCTTATATACTGTGAAGAGAGATGATCATGATATCTTCACCATAGCTTACAGGAGAAATCCTCATTCGTCCTTCAACTATGTGCACGCCCCCTCCCCTCAATTACCTATGTATTAAGTCTACAAGAGAAAACTGCAGAGATTTTCAAGGGATTCTTTAAAGGGAATTGTTAAGAGTAGTGTAAACTATTACTTCCTTCTCTCGTTGCTATAATCCAATGAGGGGAAGTCATAGGAACCATCATCAGAGAGACTAGAGATGACTTGGGGAGGAGCATTTGGCATTTATCACTCCTTCTGTCCTATAACATGCTGGGGAGAGAAAAGGAATCAGGGAGCAAGAGTAAACTGTACAAGTACAACCTGGTAGGTCAAGTAGAAGCCAAGGAAATTAGCCAGGCTAGAGCTGTCCTGGAAGGAAAGTGCCCAGTGGTGTGACCTGCTGGTCTTTAAGGTATGTTCCATCCAGAGACAGCTGCAGAAAATATTCCTGAGGGGTCAGAAGGAAGAGCAGTACCCATGCCAGGAAGCTGTCATCTAGACCACTCTACAGGGAAGCTCTGAAGGCCTCACCAGTGAGCCTGTGCAGATCACCTGAGTTTGGATCCCTGCCTTCTTAAGGCCTCTGCCATATTAGGGCCTTTCACATATCTTCGTGTAAGTAACAAATATTCCCTTCTTGTTTTTATTCCCTGAAGCAGGGTTAGAGAGTGTATGACACGAGGGAACGCAGAGATGTCATTTCCTTCCTCGCCCATTGCTTCCTGCAAGCCCATAGATCAGCCTTGATCTAAGGGAAGAAAAACTTTGAATTAGATACAAATGTGGAATATTAACTTATGATACCAGGACTTCTCATAACTAAAGATGAGATCATTTTAATCCCTAGAATTGTGCAGAAAACAACCTGTCTTTGGGATGACTGAGTTGGCAAGGCGGGAAAACAGTGTTTGAAGTCAGAAGGCAGTGAACAAACAAAAACACCTGTGTCCTGCTTCTACTCCCCTCTCTACCCATCTCCCCAGAGCTCAGCACACTCACTAAGACAGTTGCATGATTTCTGACTAACTGGAAAAGGTGCTGTCGTTCTGATGGAACATGATGTTTCTGGTCTTTCCCCTCCCGAGGCTTTCTTCTTCTAGAGATGATCACAGACCTGCTCTGGGTTATCCCAGCACTCACTGTGACCACGCTGGATGAGGGACGATTTAAGAGTGGTCAGGTGGCACGAGGGTCAACAGGTTATCGCTGCTGCGTCCATGACCAATACCAAGGAATCAAGTGTGGAAAAGCATAGAACACTTGCTCTAGGTCATAAAACAATTCTAAGGCAAGACTAGAGCTGATACTCATATTTTGGGGCTCCTAGTAACACAGGTCTACCTGACTCTGATATCTTCCAAGTGTTTACAGAGCTAAACAGTCTTCTCAAAAGAAGACAAAGAGGAGAGGTGCAGTGGAAGGTCATTCACCTTGCTAGGAATGCTTAGTGTAACCTGTACAGTAATTTAAACTCTGTAGGCACCATTTTCCTCTGAGCTCCAGAACTTCGAAAAACATTACACATTAAGAAATTATTTAATTCTTAAGTAACTTGCCAAAGGTCACAGAGACAGGGCATAGTGAAAGAGGGCCATGACATCACTTCTGTGTCCCTGTGAGCTAGCTTAGTTCTTTTTTTTTTTTTTTTTTTTTTTTTTTTTTTTTTTTGACAGGGTCTTGCTATGCAATTCAGGCTGGCCTCAAGCTCACTTTGAGGTCCAGGCTGGTCTCAAACTCACAACAATCTTCCTGCTGCAGCCTCCTGAGTTTGGAGATTATAGGTGTGTGCCACCATGCCCAGCAAGATCTTGAAAATTCCTAGCTTTCCTCTTTCTTTTCACCATCATTCACAAATAAATCATGCAAATTGCTTAAAAAATATCAAACATCATAAAAGAAATATCACTGATTCAAAATAAGAGGCAGTATCATGCATTCAAAAGTATCTAGTCATATGAATATTAATAACATATAGAAAAATATTTAATAGGCTATGAAGAGACATCACAACCCTAATAATCAAAATTGATATTACTCGCATCTATGGAACTGGTAAATCCTGTCACTGGGTTCATGTAATAAATGACTTAATACCAGTTTCATGTTTAAGATGCTATATGAAATTCTCAAGGTTATTAATAGCTTACAATGGCTGATGCTTTATCTGTTATTTTTCATAATGCTCCATTATTGGGCAAAGAAAAGAAGATGACAATGCCATTCTTTTTCTTTATTTTCTGTTGAGGCAATCACCTTACTCACTTATTAAGAGTTAGGATCAAGCCCTGAGTTTCTTGATTGGAAATATTTTATCAGTGCCATCCCAAAGGAAGGAAATGAGCAATGGTTCTGTAAGCCACACCCTGCTTTTGAGAGAATTCTGCTAGAATAAAATGTTAGCATTTGTTCTCACATGTCAAAGACCCAGCAAAGACCTAGCTTTACGTCAATATGAAGCATAGCTGAACAATGAAAAATGACCTTTAGGGTTTTTTTTAAATCCCTTTTCATATTTCTTATTCATTTTTTATGTACGAGACATAAACTACAAAGAACACAAAATACACTGAATATGTTGACAAGTTTTTGAGGCTAAGACCTACTTCTTATCAGGATGTTTCCCTGAAAAGTCTGGGGATTTCAAACTTCAACCTATTCCCAACATCACTTTCAAGAAATTCATAGGCAATGAGGCTTCAGCCATTAAGGTACCATTTTCTCAAAAGCTCTTTTTTGTGCATTTGTAGACTTTCACAGATAAAAATGAGCATCATGCTTTGTTAAAAGGCTTACTTGTTAAACAGACCATCAAAGTAATGGCTATATCTTGCATGAGATACTGGTAATTTCCAAAGAGTTGTAGTTGCTGAAAAAGAAAGAAAGGGAAATATAAATGTAGCTTCTATCATAGTAGCATTTTTATCATTTCCAGCATTCTTTTCAAAGTAGTTAGAAGGCAACTATTATTTTTCTCCCCTATCCAGGAAGGTAATGACTAACTAAAATCCTTGGCATCTCATTGGATGGTATGAAACTGAGTCACTATTTTCTAGGATTTGAATTAATTCCATCCTAGCAATGAGTCAGTCATTGTGAGATTAAGTATTTCTTATCATTGGATTTTAAGAGGCTTTTTCAGTATTAAAATATTGGTAATCCTTTCCCAACTCTATTTTCATTTGTTTAAGTGAGTAGGTTCAGGAACAAATCTCCAGTAGGGACATTTTTAACATTCTAGCCCTTCACAATCAAATCCAACAACTTATCTTCCTTTTAATCTTTTCTCAGTCTTTTACCACAAATATTCCACAGTTGGAGATTGATTCTCTTCCTGCTGAGTTATATTTAGGCTACTTTGAAACTCTCCTTACACTCCAAAGGAAGAAAATGGGCTTGGAGAGGTCAAGAGTCTCAGGTTCTCCAGAAAAAAATAACACCCTAGAAAATGAATCCACATTTACTTATTTCCACCTCCACACTTTATGCACCATCACACAAGTTCCCAAGCACATAGGCACCTAGTTCACAAAATGTCATTTATTGTAACACAAGAAAACCTGTGTCAAAGCCACACTGCAAAGAATGAACCCTGGATGTAAATACAATTAGAATTGGAAAGAAAAGACTTTGGTTCATACCCAATAGAGCAGCAGTGTTGCAACAAACTGGATTATTCCATACATGATCAAGTATTTAAACACCCCAAAGGATGAAACCAGAGCAGCTCGGCCTTCTCTGAAAAAATAATAAGTAAGTAAGAAAATAAATACATAAAATAAATCTGGTTCTGTATGAAACACATCTGTTAGTTTCTTTTACATTTCCAAAGGAGTTTCATTTTTAATAGCCCATTGATATACACTCACTTAAATCATTGATTCATCCTCTCAACTACTTACTTAATTATTCATTCATTCATTCCTCAGTCATCCCCTCCCTTGTTGATGCTTGATTCACTTTTACATAGGTCTTATGAGGTGTCAGCATTACACCAAATGTCATGGACAATGTAAAGTGAGTCAAGCATGATCCTTCCCTTGAAGTAAGATTACCACAAATGTTATACACACAGTACAACACTGATAGGGTTCAACATGTCCAGCATTCACTTGATTCTGACTCCTTGTATCATAACACATACTTCCTAGAAATTGTTGCGTGTGTTCCGCAGGCCCTTAAAGACATGAAACTAAAGGATGTTTCATGCTCTCACATTGTTGGAAGTGTGATTGCAGCTCTAATATTTAAGACAGAGTAAGTTTTGCTGGCCTTGGTATTCTAGGAAGAACCCTGGGTAGTGATCTGAGCTGGTGTGGAGATCAACAGATGGAGAACATAGTTAAGAACCTCAGCTTTGAAAGTGGCTATCCTCCATGGAGGATAAAAGTTCCATGGGAGGTATTACTCTCTTAACTGAGCTCTGTTGGTTAGCAGCAGCCAGGAGAAAGACAGAGGACCTGAACATCCCTCAGCCTACTTTAGTCAGGGAAGAAATGATTCTACATGAGAGATACCCACGCCCACTTCATTTCTTGGCTCCACTAACTTGGACACTTGCTCTGTTCTAATACTTTGTTAACAGAACAGGGACAGGAAAAGGAAAACAGAGCCAATTACTAACCACTGTGCCTCAGGCAAGATGGGAGAGCTGGGCTGGGAGACAGGCCAGGGAGCTTGGGCAGATGTTTTCCACCAGGCTATGAGGCATTGGCATTTATTTTCAACACAGAGAATGGAAGAGAAGACAAGCTGAGAAGAACAAGCCTGTGAAGCCTGTATTGTACTTCCAAGTCTGACATAAACATTGTGATTTTTGCAGTTGTTTGTATTTCCAGGACAATAAGAGCACCCAGATTCAAAGGAAAGAAGGAAAATGCAAACAAAAACAAAAACCACTCTAAGTAAAGACTGAGTGCTTGCGGTCCTCCAAAATTACTGCTCTAAGTAAAATCACTCTAAGTAAAGAATAGAGTGCTTGTGGTCCTCCAAAATTATTGTTATATTTCATGATTATGCATTTTGAGCAGCTCACATATGTATTCGTGTGTCCCACAAACATCCTTCCAACACTCTGGTGTACCGAGTTTAGTACGAGGCATGATGCTTTGTACAGTAATGAGTAAGACATAGTCTTTGCCCTAAGCAACGTGAACAAAGCAAGTGGATCATGTCTCAAACCTGTGAGCCTGGACCTGTGCATTTAAAACTATATTTCCTTGCTTCCCTGGAGTATTTTCTCAGTCAGGAGTGAGCAGGCATCCAAGAGAGCAAAGGGTAAAGTGGGCCTAATGCAACTGAATCATGTCTAATTTTTATGACTCTGTGAAATATAAAAGCAAAGCCTTCCTGCTTTGAAGTCTTACTAAGCCATCTGCTACTAGAGAAATTTTACATCATGACTTGTGTTCTAAAATAATGTATTGCATTCATAAATGCATTGGGCCATGTATATGAGGAAGACCCCAAATTCTGTGTTCTGGAATGATCAGGTAGGCACTTCAAATAAATATCCAGAAGGCCAAACTCCCTAGGTAAGCCTTCCACTCCTGTTTCTCCAGCTCTGCCTCCATAGATCCCACCCAAGAATTCCTGCTCAGTTTCACTAATTGGTCTCTCAGCTGATAATCCAGTTACAACCTCTTCCAAACATGACATTCACATTTCCTCTACCTGGAATTCCCTCTGTGTTAGTTACCTTTCTAGTTGCTGAGACAAAATAACTGAGACCCAAAATTAAAGGGGAAAAGATTTATTGGCCCATAGTTTGTAGAGGTTTCAGTCCATAATCGGTTGGCTCCAAGGCAGAGTAGAATGGCACACAGGCATCACAGATGAGAAACAGTTCATGGTGGGCAGAAGGTTGCAAAGCAACAAGGGACGGCCACAGCTCTTTCTATCCTTTATATTTTATCCAGGCTACTTATGGCAGGTAGCACTAACCCTTAATCCTAGTGCCTTTTATCCTAGCATTGCACTATGAATCTATCCCAGCATCACACATTCTAAATCCAGCCACCTTTGCAAAAGTCCCATGACTACATGAGGCTTTGGGAGGACATCTAGACACAAGCCATAACACCCTCCTACCTCTATTCTGTGCCTATAAGTCCTATTCCTCTTCTAGGTCACTGAAACCTTCCAACTTGGCTTGAGTTCTTACACCCAACAGCTGGAACATTTTTTGTATTTTCTAGACATTAATTTATTTTAAGCAAGTTTGTTGAATATCTCTCAACAGGCACCAGGTGTAAGATTCTCTGTGTTGTGAGGTATATATGTGTATATGTGTGTATATATATATATATATATATATATATATATATATACTTATAATCGTTCTTTTTTTTTGGTTTTTCTCCGGCACCGGGAACCGAACTCATGACCTTGTGCTTGCCAGGCAGGCACTTTGCCGCTGAGCTAAATCCCCAGCCCTTATAATTGTTCTTTATTCACCACATTTCTAAGCACAACACTTAAAAAGAGCTCCATGAGTTGTATTGATAATGGAAATCATACTGTCAATACTGTTATTGTATGGTCACCATGACACCAAACAAGGTTAAGGCAATAGAGATGGTAAGGAGGGGGCTTGGAGAGACTGTACAAAGAAAAATCAGTAAGTCATAATGCCTGTTTGGTATAGGTGAAGGAAAGGAAAGAGTCAAAGAAAGTATTGTGAGCTTCTGAGCCTCAGTGACCGATACTAAGGATCAAATCTGCCTTCAAAGCAGGGGGTGTGGGGCTGGGAATTGGTGCCGCTTTGGGAATGGTGGAGGTGATGGCCTTTGATGGTTCTGGTGGATGTGTCAAGCTGCCTGGTTTATATGAGGTCAGGGTGTGAAATTTCAGGACTGACACATTCCTGGCGGGAACCTGTTCATTCTAATGCACCACGGAACGTGCCATAGAATTTCATGGCTGTTTTTCTGTTCAAATACCCAAAACTTGGTGATGACTTCCAGACCACTGACCATGATGTTGCCCCCAGGTGCTACGGGAAACAAGGGAAATAGATTTATGGCAAAATATAAAACCTAATGTTTTATTGTTAACTACATAATGCTAGTAGAGCTAAGATCAGAAATGAGAATGGAGTAAGGGTTCTCTAGTGGGTAAGTAAATTATTCTTACTTCCTTGCCTTTCCCTAATCAACTGTAATATTGCTTATGTAAGAGTTTTGTGTATTTGCTAATTTTCATCTTGGAGACCTACATTATGGAGAAAGCTATCTAATAAGTGTTCCCATTCTGCTTTCTTGCCCACCCTAAACTCCTGAGAGAGATATTCCAGGAGGCACCCATCATATGAAAGAAAAGAGAGGGGAAGAAAAGCAAACAGGTTGTGAATATTAAATCAAGCTTTCAACTGTCTACATGACATATCCACCTACTCTTTGGGGCTCAGTGAAAGTCACTGTTTGGTGTATTTTTGCAGCCAGAATTCTCAGCAGCGTTAATTTCCCCCTTACCGGCACTGCAGCAGCACTCACCTGCACTCAGTGGACTAAGTCAGTGCTGAATTCCATCTGTTTCCAAGGCTAAATAATGAGCCCCCTGCCCAAGGGGTGGAAGGGGAAGAGGAGGCTTACCTGATGAGATGAGGCACACACTCGATGTTGGCTGTTTTGGAGGTGAAGGGGGATGCGACGGACGCTTCTTGCTCTGACAGTGAGATGCCTGCATGAGCCATTTTCAAAGCCTGGAACGATCCATGCACGTCATACTTAAGACTCTTCTGGTCTCTGTCTCACTACTCAATTGCCAAGAAGCTGTTCTTTGTATTCCAGAATTATAACACTGTACCTATCCACCTCTGGGTTGCTATTCAGTTTTCCTTCCATCCAGAATGGTCTGTCTCCCCCACCCATAGTCACCAGCAAAAGAGGCGCCAACTAAACAGTGTTCCAGAGATAGAAAGGTGGTGTGTGTGTGTGTGTGTGTGTGTGTGTGTGTGTGTGTGTGTGCATGCACACATATGCATGCATGAATCTCCACACCTGTATTAGCTGGAGGAAGGTGTTATATGTCAAAAGCCTACTTAAAAATCACAGAATTTGGGGCTGGGGATTTAGCTCAGTGGCAAAGCGCCTGCCTGGCAAGCGCAAGGTCATGAGTTCCGTTCCCGGTACCAGAGAAAAACCAAACCAAAAAAAATAAAATAAAATAAAAAATAAAAAATAACTAAAAATCATAGAATTTGGATGAAGATTATTTGGTGCTCTTCATTGTCTCAGTTCTCACACTTACCAGGCTGTCTTCACAACAAATGGGGAAAGAGAGCTAATCTCCACCTGTCTCTATGCTGCTTGATCTAGCTAACCAGCTAGTTGCTGAAAGGGACATAAAGCATTGTCACTGGACACAGAGATCAGATCACACTTATCACAGGGTCGCTGGAACACATATTTTGACTCACTGACATATGGAATAATTCATTTCCCATCAAGACTAAGACTGTCCAGACAGAACAGAGAACAGACTGGTCAGTAGACAGACAAGAAAGGCCCAAATTCTATAAAAATTGTGTGAGCGTAAAATGAAATTTTGTATATATGTAGTTCTGTACAATACAAACTACCTAGTACCATAGCTGATATATATTAGATTCAAGTTCAATAAAAATTAGAACATTTCCTTCATCCTCTTTTCTCTCTTTGTATTTTATATCACTATTACATAATTTTAGGTCATCTATCATATGTTAGAATTTTTTATGGAAGATTCTTTCATCTCTCAAGCAACGAACTCTTTAGGGAGCAGAGACTATGCCTTTTTCAGTATTTGATATCTTTGTGCTAGATCCATATAATTAATAATGTGTATTTATTCTAGGTTTTAAAGAACAAACTAACAACTACCTCTAGCTTCTCCTCACAAAACAACACAGAAGAACTTATAATAAACCTCAGTATGAAGAAAATACTTAAGAACAAAGTAAAACAAATACCTAGATCTTTCCAATCCCTTCACTTGTTTTTCTTTTGTGGTACTGCGGACTGAACTAGGGGACTTGCATGTACTAGGCAAGAACTCCACACCACTTTACTTCTTGTTCCACAATTAGCTACTAAAAAAATACTTATGTACACAGTCTTCCAAATAGACTGTTGTTTCAACTCTATCACAGAACTCAGAATCAAAAACATGTATTATTCTACTGTGTATAAGAAACCTTATAAGAATCATTCAGTTAAGGTTGTGTTACAGTATGTGATAAATAAACAGTCTAGGATTTCACTCGGAGTTTTGGTAAACCTAATTTTAAAAAATTAACCACAGAGGGGAAGTTTGGTAGAGATAGATACAATTTACACATAGTTCAACTTTAATGATCAGTTTCAAACTTCTTCACTAAGACTTCATCAGCTATTTGCCTTCAGGCAAAAACACTTCACCTCCCGCCCAGAGACTTCATTTCTTTTGTTTTTAATTCCACATTCACATATTGACAACGTGCTTGGTGAGGCGTTGGTGTATGTATGCATGTACACAGTGCATCTCTGTTCTCTTCCTTCCCTTACTGATAACAGAAGATTGAAACCAGCTCATTATGCCAAGTCCCTTCTGGGTCTGAACTATAGGGAACTCACTGGCATTTCCCCTGTCTTAATAACTCCAGGGGGTGCCCAAAACAGCTATACTGATCTATCTCTCTTTACTTTTCTCCACTTCTACCCCCTACTCAGGCAGAGGTGGACATGCTCTGCAAAGGGATCAAGTCGTGGCTGGGGCAAGGATGAAGATACAGGCTCCAAGGGACTTTGGAGTCCTCCAAAGGGATATTGAGCTGCTCATATGTGAAGTTATTCCAACTCACCCCGCAGTCATTGGCTCCATCTCCACACATGCCCACATAGTAACTGCAGAGCAAACAATACAAAATATTCATAGCTGAATAGACCATTGGGATCATTTCTATCATAATTCACTTATGTGTGTACGAGACAGAGAGAAAGAAAGAGAGAAAGAGAGAGTGTCCCTGAACTCATGTGGAACCAGGCTGAGGAAAATGGTGTGAAGAGACATAATCCCAGAGGAAAAAGGTCATTGCATCATTTAAATTGTTTCAATCAATCACACTGATATCACCAAGGACATTGGCAAAGACAATAACCACACACTTCAAAAGAAGACCTGTTTAACTATATCCATCAAAGCCAAGTTTAAGAGAATGGAGTCACCATTACAGCATTTCCCAGCAGAGCTTACAGTTCAGACACCAGGATCAGAAACATTTGGGAAATAGTTTAAAAGGTATAACTAAAGACATACACACATATCCTTGATGCGTCTCAGAGTGACAAGGAAATAATGTGCTCCCTATCTATAACAGATGCATGTGCAAACAAGCTATAAATAGAAGACTAACAATTAAAGACGCTGCCAGGGGAAATGAATTTCTTATGCAAGACACAATCTGCCTTCTATTATGAGTAAACCATACATTATAGGTATTGATTAATGGCGGTACTAAGATTCAGGGGCTTTTTTCCAAAAACAGATAAAACTAGAAACCCAAACTATAAATAGAGGGAAAAATAAAAAATACATAATAGGCAGTAAAGAGGTAGATCTTTCTCAAATAGGAAGATCAAGAAATAAAGGAAGAAGAGGGAGAGGATATGAAAAAAATTAAAATGTGTCACATATATGAGCCAGCTCAAGAAATGTAAATATTATGTACATTTACAAGAAATGTAAATATTATGTACTGCAAACATGCGCTAATAAAATAACCATAAAATCAATAAGGCAAAAGAGTAAATTTCTTACAGCACATTCTTCTTCACCAGAACATAAAAATGACCCTTTTCATAGGTCAAACATGGTCAAATATAGACAAGTCCATATGGGTTGACCTAATGTTGGACTAGTATAGATGAAAATCACCCTAGGAGTATTTGCATGAACAAGTCATGACCACCCACAATTGCGGAAAGTGCATATCTTGCCTCTATACCACACCAGGAATCTTTCGTCTTCTACTCAGAAAAAGACTCCCGACAGCCTCGGACATATTGTCCATTGTAAAAGTGTAAGAAAGAAAACAGGGGAATTAAGAAGACAGCTCATACTGAGGCGGCATATGTCTTCCTGAGTTAATTTTGCTTTAGGCCAATACAGCTTTTCAGAATTAAGCATTTAAGTCAACAAAATTTCTCAGAAATTTGAGACAAGTAAACTACTTTCTTTAGCCAATATCATGCAATGACAATGTGCATGAACTAGTCATTTTAGACAGAGCTCAGTTAGCCTGAAAGCATTATGTGAGTTAATAGGCAGTGTTTGAGGCTTGCTTATGAACGTCTGGACAACAAAATACAATGGTCAAAGTCTCCTGCTTCTGCCTACCACTTATCAGCAATTATCTAAAATTTCATCATTTCATTCCTTTTTAAAATCTGCAGGTGAGAAACTGTAAAACTCCGAGCAAGTAATGAGTGGATCTCTTCTCAGAAAGAACAGGTGCACTCTTCTGTGACTTGGTCAGCTGCGGCTTTGAGGGAGATAAGAAAAGACATTCCTTTGACTTTGGTCTCTGTGTCTCATCCACACCAGATGCCATTTCACTTCTCGCCAAGAGGGCCGGGCAGTGTTCACACACTTCCTAATGGACCAGCCTGACAATTTCAGGTGGTAATGCACAGTTTCCCGTTTTCCCATTCTGAGTTATACAGCCCACCCCTACAAACACATACACAATTTCTTTTCTCAACATCTAAGCAGGAGATCTTCTAAGATAGGGTTTATAGGCCACAAAATGAATTCTGTCTGAAGTGCACAGCTTCCTAGCTGACCTCAGGGGTCTTCACCTCAGAGTACTCAGGGTAATGTGAAGTCCACTCCCTTGCACATGGACTGGACCTAGTGACTTGTCTCTAATGAAAAGAAAGCAGCACACTGGTGGGTGGTATGTCCTTTGACCTCATGTCAGCAAAGGGGAGTAAGGGGCTTCATGCTTAGATACTGAACTTTCACTTTAAGCCCTCCATCTCAACTCTATTACTTTTTCCGGACTATTTTTGCAAGGTGAGGTGACCTCTACTTAATAGTAATAACTGTCACTTGTCACTCCTGAGGTTATGATATGAAAAACAGCATTCTCTCTCTCCCTGTCTCTCCCTATGCCCCCTACTGCTTCTTCTTGCTAGCTCACTCTTATGAAAGCCAGCTGCCATGGTAGGAGCTTTCTTACGTAAGGGCCCATGTGTCAAAGAACTAACATCAGCTTCTTCCAGCAGCCAGTGAAAAACTGAGGCTCTTAGTCCAACTGCCCATAAGAAGCCGAACACATCTAACAACACGTGAGCAAGGCTCATGTCAGATCCATTCTCCACGTAGCCCTAGATGACTGCAGCCCTGGTGGACACCTGATCACAGCTTTGTGACAGATCCTGAGCCAGAGACTTAGCTGAGCCACACCTGGATCCCTGACCCACAGAAATGTGAAGTAATAAACAGTGTCATTCTAAACCACTAAGGATTGGGGAAATTTGTTATTCAGCAACAGATAACAAATGCATTCTCTTATCACACCACACCACTTACTTTAATTTCTGAAATTCTTCAACAAGGCTTGATTTCTGCCCTGGAGACATTCTTGCAAAAATGGTTCCATTCACCAAAATCTAAAGAGAAAAATACGATCGTAATAAGATTAGGGAGAAGAACTTTATAAATACAGAAGTTCTGAAAAATCATTCCTAGGCACTGATTTAATATAGCACTGGGTGGTATGTCATTAGACCTAATGTCAGCAGAGTGGAATAAGGGGTTTAATGCTTAGATATTGAACTTTCACTTTAAGACCTCCATCTCAACTCTGTTACTTTTTCCAGACCATTTTCCCAAGGTGAGGTGACCTCTAATTAATAACAATAACTACAGAGCATAGGAATAAAAGTACCTTTTACTACACACTGTTTCCATAGTTGCAGTGCAGGCAGAGAAAAGGTCAAAATGTAGAAGTTGAGAAACAAGATACTGTTCTCAGCTGTGTCCCAACTAGCTGTGCAAACCTCAGGCAAGTGACTTAAGTCACTTTTTCGGGCAAGTGACTTAAGTCTCTGAGTCTCTTTTTCTGATCCCTACAATAAAGACCTGCACTAAGAGCTCTCTCAAAGCTCTTGGGACTGGAATCTACAGTCCTTGACTGGTAAGGTGACGATTTTTAAGGCACCACTAACAGATGGTTGCTTCTCTCAGCTTGTGCTCCATTTATCTCCTCCATGTTCACAGCACAACCCCATATAGCACTATTTTAAAACAGGACATGAGGAGGACAAGATAACAAAGGGTTTTGAAAATAAACCATGGGGCTTTTGTTTCCTCCTGCTGTAATTTATGAATCCAGGCAGGAAGGGAAAAACAGTTCAGCCTGATAGGAGTTGGTGGATTTCAGAGAGAGGGGCTGACCCTCAAAACAGGCAGCACACTTGAAACTGTTCTCTAGGTAGGAAGGAATGGAAGATAGGGGCTGAGATGGGACAAAATAATGCAAATTCTGAAAGAAGACTGCATGAAAATGCAAGACCAGAGAGAGGTAGGCAGGACCAGGAACCTTCTGTGAGAGCAGTGCCCCTTCCAGGGTGTTTATCCTCCAACTCAGGGCTCCCCAACCAGAAAGCAGGCTGCACAGCAGAAGGTGAGTGGAGGGTGGGTGAACAAGAGAAGGAAGCTTCGTCTGTTCTTACAGCTGTTCCCACCATCTCCTGTCAGCTCAGCAGCGACATTCGATTCTCATAGGAGCATGAATCCTGTGAACTGTGCATGTGATGTAGGTTGTGTGCTCCTTATAAGAACTCAATAAATAATAATAGAAATAAAGTGCACAGTATATATAATGCACTTCAGTCATCCTGAAGCTAATCCCACCCACCACGTCGTGAAAAAATTGTCTTGCGTAAAACCAGTCCCTGGTGCCAAAGAGGCTGAGGAGCACCCTGTAACTCTATGACAGTTTTGGTGATGAGCACTTTCATTATTCTCTTCTGCTTTGCCTCACTAATGTGAACAGAAAACCAAAAGGCTTCATTTCTCCCATACTTACTTTTGGAAGCAAGCTGTTGAAATGCTGAAATATCACTTGATATGATTTCCCAGTCATTGCAAAATGGTAAGAGCCCGCTCTTCCCCCATCAGGTAATGAGCTGTTTCCAACATTAATGTAGGTTTCCTGAAATTAAAAGGGCATTTTTTCCAAATTAGCTCTTCAAGAGCATCTCCGCTTTACTGTGTTTTGTGGAAGGAAACATATTCAAGTTGCATGGCAAAGGGAGGAGCAGAAAATGCAAAATATGTAGTTTACCTGTGGAACATTGGCCTGTGAGAAGACACCCAAAAGTTCCTTCATCCCCCAAACCATGTGAACATGTGATATACTGTAATGACAACACGGTAGTCCAGTGACATGGTACTTGGGATCTTTTCCTGAGAAATTAAACTTGTGACATCAGCCTACGGCAAAGTATCAGCCCAATGTACCTCTGAGTAATTATGAGGAAGAAAGAAAATCTGCTTTCATTTCATCCTTCTTCCCGCACAATCTTCCCTTTCCTTCTATTTTCCTCTCTTCCATTCATTTGTCCCATTTCCTCACTACAAAGTAGGCAGACTCTTTATTGCCAGTGCCTAACTTCTTTCAGCATTTGATATTTAATCTCTGTTCTGGTCCTACTAAAACAGGTGGTCCCTTTCCTCATGGTGCCCAGATCTCTTCCATGCCGTATGTCCTATTATACCAACACTACTCCCTCCTATCTTCTACTTGTCAGTTTTGCCCTTTGCTCTGTCATTGGCCCACCTGGCTGCAAACTGGGGAGTAGTTTAGTCAGTTTTTGTGACTCTAGGACACAATACCCAACAATCAAACCTTGAAAAGGGACAGGTTTACTTTGACTCATAGCTTCAGGGGTTGAGTCCATTCTTGGTTGTTTCCAAGTCAGAAACATCGTGGCTGAGGGGCATGGTGGAGCGAAGCTGGTCTGTTAATGGCAGCCAGGAAGCAGAGCCCAACAGGTCCAGAGAATAAGAGCCCAGCAACCAGGTGTGGACACCGCTGTGACCCAAGACACACCCACAAGCATGCTTTACTAGTCCCCTAGGTAGCTCCCAAGCCAATCAAGTTAACAATTAAGCTTCACCACCACAGGCAGGAAGCGACTAATGGGAACCATATCACTAGCTGATGATGATTTTTCATGCACCATCCTCAGAGGGCCTTACATTTGTGTAGGATTCAAGTACAGGAGGGAGAAAATTTTATTTATTAGTGTAATTCACCTCAAGGAAAACATTGTATTTAGCAGAAACAAATCTGTTCTGCTGAATTTAGAGGCAAGGTAAAGTCTCACCTCCTCTTCTGATTGGAAAACAACTGAAGAAAGACCTGCTCTGAAGACAATGGCAGTAGCCCTTCCTGCTTGTGCCAGGAAAGTGGAAGAGGAGGTGTAGTGGTCAGAAAGGAGTAGCAGGAAGGGGCTGAGACTGCTGTGGGACTTCTCCCAGTGACAACCAGATCTCCAGAAAAGGTAATAAACTCATCAATGAGTGAGCCTGGACTCTGTTAAAGTGAGTGAAGGCCCAAAGTATTATAACACAGGGAGCTCTAAGTAGTAGGCAGAAGCAGGTGGATTCATGGGAAGTTGGCACCAGAAATCTGTTGGAAGCATAGAGAGTGTCATTATCTTTCATAGCCTGAATGATTGGAGTTTGAGTCAAACTAACCCACCTTTCCCCAGGCATGGAAAAGGCCACCCCATGTAGCTGTGAAGTCTGTGTACTGCACAAAGGCATACTCTATATTTAATGATCTGAAAGGTGGGTGGGCTTGAAGCAAGGGGGCATTTTTGTCATTCATTACCTGGAGGGCCATCTCTTTGAAGTCACTCAAAAGAAAAGATGTCACCTTTGGTGATGGATGTCAGGCTCTGGCCCTTTCTCATCACATGAAAGAGCTATTCGGTTGCTGGAGAAGCCTGTCAGCTTCATGTCACAGGCACAGAGCAAGCTAAATGCCCATGGATTTGTGTGGAATCAAACAGACCTACCTCTGGTTTCTGCTCTGCAACTCATCAGCTTGCAGCTTGGCAAGCTTACTTCTCTGAGTCTGTCTTCTTTTCTGTAAAATGAATCGCTTGCCCAACTGCATAGGGTCATTGTGAGGATCAAATTGGAACTATGGACATCAATCATCAGCTCTTGGCCCTCACTGCACATTGGAATCTCTGAGAGAAGGGCGATGTGGACTTGCCACCCAGGGATTCTGGTTTAAGTCACACAGCCTGCATTAGGAAGTTGGAGACCCCCTCAGGATTCTGAGGTGCAGGCGGGGCTGAGGAGTGGTGCTGGAGGTGCTTTGCAAACTGAACACTCTGGGCAGATGTGAGGGATTATTACTTTCATGACTTCTATAGCAGAGAAGGCTGTACAGTGCCAGGGCCAGTGTCTCTCAGCCCAGGCTTGTGGAAGGGAATCCTAACGTTTGCTCACATCCTTCCTCGGTCCAGTCTCTTGCTTCTCTACCAGCTGCCAAGTCACAGAAGCGGGAAAATTCTTTTCTGGTTCATTGGCTTCGATGATGATCACCTGGCTGCCTGGAGGAATCATTTCAGAAGTCTTTGCAACAGTAATAGCCGTTTGAAGATTGTCACCTACAAGGTAAAGAAACTCTGCTTGTTGTAAATGCAAATCTCTTAAGAGCCAACCAGAATTGAGTTTCCCTTCGCCTCTCGTTTTTGATGCTCTTTAGGCGTGTCTATTGGAGACATGATCAGTATCATGTCTTGCCATTGTGTATTTTCAAAACAAGCACAAGTGAATGAAGAAGCATTCAAGCAGTTTAGAATGACTAATCCTCAGGCCACCTCTCATCACTGTGAACATAGTGTGATTCTAGTCTGATAGCAGGAAGCCGTTCTCAGGATCTGGGCTCCAGTTAACCGGAGAAAAGAACACTTAGGTTAAAGCCAAGCCATGCTTGGGTTTGATAAACAGGTACCAAACTTGGCCCATTGGCTCTACACATTGTCAACCAGAACTCACAGCCTTTACACAGCGATTTCACAGGGATTCTTTCAGACAGCACTTCTGTTCTTACTGTTTTACTCATCTCGTGCACGTTCTGGGTAGGAGGGCAGGCATTAGGCAATAAGATGTGGTCCCTACCTCCAGAGCTTCTGGTCCTCCACTCAGGTAACAGGAGCACAGGGTAACAAACTCAACAGGAGGACATTTTCTTTCTGCCTTGATCACATGAGCTCACTCATCTCATGCATCTTTGGGGAGGTGGTATTTGTTTCTTTGGAATTTTTTATGGCTAGGATACAATAAACCTGCCAGAGCTCGAGGAAAAACATACCTGTAATCATCACAGTTCTGATGCGGGCCTCGCTTAGCTCCTTCAGGACTGGTTTGGTTTCCTTTTTCAAGCGATTCTCCATTATGAGAAGTCCCAGAAATGTTAACTCTGACTCTGCGTCCTCCCTTTGGATTCAAGAGAAAATCAATATTAATAACCGTGTATTCTTGACAGTTCACTTCTCTTCCTCCTAAAATTTCTTTCTGCATTTTATTAATGTGGTACAGTACTTGCACATGTTAAATGAAAAAGAACTTCATTGTTTATAATGAAAACCAATAGTCCGTCTCTACCACACTCCTGTGGAGACAGATGTTATTGTTATTAAGAAAACAAGTACCATTTCTTCTTTAAGTACCAAACTTGGGCTTGTGCTATTTTGAGACAGAATTTAATAAGTTAAATATTGTTTTTTGGCAGCCTTGGTGTAGGAGGTATAAGGATGTATAAAGTAATATTTTGCTTATGATGTTGTTATCACATATATAGTATCACTAGTACTAGGAAAATAAATGTTGCTTATTTATTCGTGTTCTCAATACACAGAGCAACAATCAGCCATTCAAATCAAAGATAAGTTTGATCATGTTTCTATCAGACTTTCAAAAGACTCATCTTCCCAGAGAAAAATGCCCCCCCTTCACAATCACAGCTTATTCATACCATTGCTTTTCTGGCAGCATGTACATTTGTGAAGACCTCGTTTCAAAAACAGAGCCCACAAAGAATAAAACTAGATCAACACTTTCTGAAGAGCAGCTGAGAATTAAGCAAGAACCACTACCACTGTCATCAAAGCAGATACTGCTGCACTAGTGTCACAAAAATATGGTCCAATAGGTATGTTTATGTTGTCTTTTCTCTGTTATAATAAAAGTATTTTTAAAAGAAAGCTTGTTACTTATATGCATTAACTATGAGACGTATATATGCAGCTCATTCAAACCAAATGTCAGACGCCTGTATTTTAGATGTTGTACAAGGTGTGGTTAAAAAGATGGTGAATGTTTAAATTTTTTATTAAAAACTCATTGCAATAAAATACACATTGCCATTAATCTCCTCACCTCAAACACACTTATCCCATCATTTTTCTCACTTCCTGAAGCAATTTTGGAAGTCTTCCTTCCTATCTTTAGTTGCACTATCATGGCTGCCTTGATGTCCTGAATTGATTAAAAATAATTGGTTTTCATGGTCATTTGAACTTGTAGAAAGAGCTAAAAATTACATAGTGCCAGATCCAATGAATAAGTTGGATCTGGACAAAGCATGTTTTTACAGTCCTACCTTTCCATTGGGTGGCCCTTGGCAGCAGCATTCAATGTATTTTTTATGACATCTCATAAAGACACTCACCAAAAAGGACTTCCAGAACTGCTTCAGAAAGGGACAAGAACGATGAAATAAATGTGCCCAAAGGGAGGAGTAGTAGGGGCTGGGGATTTAGCTCAGCGGTAAAGCGCCTGCCTGGCAAGCGCAAGGTCGTGAGTTCGGTTCCGGTACCGGAGAAAAACCAAAAAAAAAAAAAAAAAAGGGAGGAGTAGTATTTAGAGGGGAATTAATAGCAATTTGTCTTACTTTAATAAATTTTTTAATTTAAACATTTACCATATATTTCAATTACACCTTATATTAAACACTTTGGTGAGCATTCAAATAATCAAATATCACTCCTGTCTTAGTGATATAGAGAATGCTATAAAAGAAAATCCACTGTAATTTGGAATTTTTAAAAGACTCTTCCTATCACTTAACTTTATTATTTTCCATTACAAATTGGATTGCTGCTAACTAGAACCAAAAGAAAGACCTAAAATCTTCTCACTGGTTCATTATGTATTTTTGTTAGATTCATACAATGTTTTATGTATTTTAACAGTTTGTTGAGGTGTGATTGCTATGCAAAAACTTCACACATTGAATGTAGACACTTTTGACACATTTGAAAAATACGCACATGCCTGTATAACCATCATGTAATCAAAATAATAAATATATCTGTCACCTCCATTCCTCCTGCGACTTCCTGCTCCTGTCTGTACATTGTGTTCTGTTTTGTTCTGTGACCAGAACATGTGAGATCTACTCTCTTAACAAATACTTAGGTGTACAGCACAGTATCATTAACTATAAGTGGTGTGTTGTACAAATCTCTAGAACATATTCAGCTTGCATAAATAAAACTTTGTACCCATTAAAGAAATTCCACTTCTCTCCCCCTCACCCTTAGTAATCACCATTTTATTTCTACTTCTAAGAGTGTGACTATTTCAAGTGCTTCTCATATGTGGGATCATTCAGTATCTGTCTTTCTATGACTGGTATGTTTCACCTGTCATGATGTCCTCCATGTTCATTCATGCTGTTTCATGTGGCAGGACTTCTTTCTTTTGTAAAGCTGAGTAATATTCCATTGCATGTATACATTATGTTTTTAAAATCTGTTCATCCACTTATAGACATTTAGTCTATTTCTGTATCTTTGCTATTGTAAATAATGTTGTAAAGAACATGGGAGTACAGATACCCCCTTTGAGATCTGATTTCTTTTGGATACGCACCTGGAAGTGGGATTGCTAGATCACATAAGTCACTCTATTTTAACTGTGTGAAAATTCTCCACACTATATTCCACAGGAGTTGCACCATTTTACATTCCCACTAACTTGTGTACATAGGTTTTTCCATATCCTCATTCCTGTTATCTTGTTTTTCCAGTGCTGAGGATAGAACCTGTGGCCTTACATGTGACAGGCAAGTGTCTAACCACTGAGCTACATCCCCAGCCTCATTTTTCCTTTTTATTTTAACCACCATCCTAATAGGCACGAGGTGATCCCATTGTGGTCTTGATTTGCATATCAGTGATGCTTAGTGAAGCTGGGTCCCCTTTCAGACACTCGTTAACCATTTGTATGTCTTACTTGAAAAAATGTGTATTCAGGTCCTTGGCTCATTTTTATCTATTTTTTAATTGAGTTGTGTTTCTAATACATTTTGGATATTTAAAGATAAATGGTTTGCAAATATTTCTCCCATCTCATGGATTGCTGTTCAACATGGAGAGTTTCCTTGGCTTTGCAGGAGACTTTTAGATAATATCCTCATACAGAAAATGAAGAGAGACATTTATCTCATACAGTACACAAAGATCAACTGGAATTGGGTGAAAAACTTAAGCATAAGCCTCAAAGCTTTGAAATTCCTAGAAGAAACCATAGGGGAAAGTTTGCTTGACCTTGGCCTTGGCAACAGTTTGCAATCATTTCTTGGATCTGACACTAAAAGTACAGGCAATGAAAGCAAAAATTGAGCAATGTTCCTATTCCTCTTTTATGGCTTCTCCCCTCATGTACTGCTCCGGGCACTGTGGCCTCTTGCTTCTCTACTGCACCATCAGCAATGTGGTGTCGAGGGCTTTACACCCATGGCCCTGTCCCCCACAATACCATTCCTAGGGGTGTCTGCATGCCTCGCTCTTATTTAGTCAGATCTTGGTCCAGTGTCACTCCTCAGAGGACTTCCTTTGTCACCCCCACGCCAAATGGTACTTTCTGGCTTTTTAAAAAATGCTCTTAACTGGTTTGATTATCTCTCTGCAAGACATTAAGAACAACCAATAGCATGATATGTCATAGACTCACTTTATTATCTATTTTCCCCAATTAGCATAGAAAATTCTTGAGATCAAGGTTTTCACCTGATCATCTAATTCATAGTAAAGGTCCATAAAAATTTGCTGAATCAATGAAAGGGAAAATCCTGAGGAAGCATTTCTTCTGTTGTTTTGTTTTAGGTGATATTGGCTTCCAAATTATCTCAAAAAAATGCTTTTACTTCCCTCTTCCTTACTTTAAGATTTTAGGGGTTTTTTAATTTTGTTTTGTTAGAAACTTTTGCTAAATATAATTTGATTCCAATACAAATCAAAACCCTATTCTTTTATCCTATTTAAAAATATTAACTAAATGCTAAGAAACTCCCAATAGTTCTTGGGAAGAACCTGTGGTGGTTGGAACCCATTTTATTATTTTGTTACATTTACAATAATGTCTATTTCACTAGTGGCTCTTAAATTAAAATCCAGCTGTATTTAGGTACAGCAGCTGGGTGATGGCTGTGCTCCCTCACTGGCTACATAAATCTTTCCTTCACACACGACCTTAACATTTGTTATTCAAATTTCTGTTTGGAAAATTATAAAATCCTACACAGTATAGGGCTTTGTGTTTGCTCAAGATCAGCTAACACCTGGGATGTTAAATCCGAGGATGTCATTCACATATTTCAAAATGAGATTTATGATTTATTTCAAATATTAAAATGTCACGGCTGAAGGTGCCTAAAAGATCAGCCAGTTCAATATTTTGTAGATGGGGAAACAGATGCAGAGTAAAGAAGAGGCAATGATTATTATTATTTTAGAGAGACTTAGATTGCAAGTAATAATTTTAAAGCAAAGATATCAGTATCTCACGTGAAGGTGCCAATTATATATGAATGAGAATAAATCAGCAACATAAGTCAAATACTCAGACATGAGTAACACACAGATTATCAGCTATTCAATTTCCTACAGTATTTCTCTGCTCCTTTGTCACAGTTCATTTGAAAAGCAAACTTTTCAAAACAGAACATTGGAAGAAAAAAATGGTGCATGGATTATTCTGTAATGAGGGCTATTTGTCCCCTTAATGTAGTTAAGAATATTGAATTTTATTTCTTATAAAAAATCAATTTGTGCTCATTACCCCTGCAGATCTGAGGGAGATACACTATTGAGCCCCTTCTTCCCCCCCCAAATAATCTAAAGTATTCTGGAAGTCTTTCAAATTTTCAACTGTCTCTCTCTCTCTCAGCCTTTCTCAGTCTCTCTCTCTTTATGTGTGAGATACTCAAATAAGTCAGCCCTGTCATTCCAGAGGCAGAAACGGAATTGGTTGTTTCTGGCAGGATGAGAGCTGAGACTAAGGTGGGAATGATGTGACATGGGGCAGAGGTAACACACCCGTATTAGTGTATCTGACATCCCAACTACCATCTTTGTTCTGCCACCAATCAGGATTGTGACCTGAGCCAGTGTTCCTCAGTCTCCCCTATAGTTGCCCATCTCCACGTCAGAGAATTGGGTGAAATTGGCTCTCCATCTCCTGAGCCTCCCTGTGACGTGAGCACTCCGTCTCCAAGGCTCATTCTCTTGGTGCCCACAGAGCCTGCCCTGATGCTGATGTCTGACTCCTTACCTTGCTAAGCACTCCACTTCTGAAAGCTTCCTCATCCTCAGGACTTTCTGGGCAAGGGCAATAACACGGAATCCCTGTATTGTATAATTCTGTAGCACCTCTGGGAAATTCTTGGGCACTGTCAGGAGAGAGGGAAGAGGTGGGTGTAAGTTCATGTTGAAGGTTGTATAACTTCTAAACAAGACTCCAGAATGCTGTCTCTGGACTCTGTTTTGACTTTCACTTCATAAAACTGCTTTAATAAGAAAACATACACCTTCAGACCAAGACCACAAACTTCATCAGTGTGTTCTTATAATTCTAATGGAAACAAACACCAAAGACAGGCTGGTCACTGCCTATTATGAACTGGATATGTGCCCCCAAACCCATATGTTAAAGTTTAATCCCTATTGTGATTGTATTTAGAGGTGTAGCCTTGGGGAGCCCTAATAAATGGGATCGTGATATGAGCATGTACATAAGAGACAGTCTCTCTCTACCACATGAGGATATAGCAGAAAGGTTGCGATTTGTAAGCCAGACAGACAGCTCTCTCCAGGAACCGAATTAGCCAGCACTTTGATCTTGGACATCCCAGCTTCCAGAACTGTACAAGGTAAAGTTGTTTAAACTACTCACCCTGTGGTATTTTGTTATAGCAGCCCAAGATGGCCAAGACAATGTGAATGTGAAACATACTGACTTCATCCAGTAAGTTCAAACCTCAGACTTACATCTCTTTATGCAAAATAAGAGAAACAGTCCACCTTCTAGATCAAGGGATTGACAAACAATGGTGTACAGCCAAACCTGGCCCATTGCTTGATTTTGTAAAGAAAGCTGCATTGAAATATAGCCTTGCCAGCTTGTTTGTTTATTTTCTACAGCTGCTGCAGGGCTACAGTGGCAGGGATGAATACCTGATATAGATACCATGTGGCCAGCAAGGCCTAGAATATGGGCTGTCTTGCTTTTCACAGAAAAGTTTGCCATCTCCAGCTTTAGGTGGTAGATGTGTGTTCTGGCAGGGAACTATGTTTATGCATTTACACACTTAAAATGTGTCTATAGGGGGACTACAAGAATGTGCCACACAGAGGGAGGTATAGTGGCCTAACTGGCAAAACAATCTCTGGCCTTCACTCCCACACATCTCTCTGACCTTAGCCATGGTAGGTCTCTCTTCTGTACCTGTTTCTCATCCATCAAATGGGACGACTTTCATCCCTGTGTCTCCATTTATCTCGGGCTTTCTGTAATGCTAAAGTGTTCCTGAGGTGGAGCTATAACTTCAAGGAAACCCTTAGGGTATCACTGAAGATGGTATTTGCATATGTGAAATACCAGAGGTTAGGACAATAGAAAGAATTGGAAGGGCCAAGATAAGGACAAAAAATGTCAGCTGATAGACTCAACCCTTGCTGATGCAGCAGAGGCAAAAGATGCTCACTGTATGACTGAAAACAGAACGAAACAAAGCTGAATATGGGCTGTAATCTGTAGAAGCCAAAGCTCATGGGAACTTTGTGGAAGTTTGTGGAAGGCCAAATTCAGAAAAGTCAGGGCACTTCTAAGGTTAAAAGAGGAAAAAAAAAAAAATACTTCAGAGAAATGAGACCAATCATTTGGAAAATGTAGAATTCCATGCACACACTGATGGCTATCAGGAATCATGGGAGAATGGAGCTGAAAATCAGGAAGGAAAAAATGCCCATGTTATCCAAATGAAAATATTCTTATAAATCTGGCTGCTGCTCACAAAGTACATATGTTTATAAGACTGAGAAGTAATACAAATCATCTCAAAGTCTGGTCGAGAAAGAGAAAATTGCTGTGACAATGATAAATTACCTTTCTCTAATTTCATCTGATGTACTCTAATCACTTTTTTCCATTAAAGCTTTATCTTTTGTATATTCTCCTCTCACTGGTCTGTATGAGTCTCTAAAATAACACAGTCAGTGCTACCTCCCAGCTCTGCTGGAGATGACAGTGCACCCCCATCTGTAGGATTATTCTGGTGTCCAGACCTCAACCTTGGGTCCACAATCTTTGAAGGCTCCACCTCTTCCCTCTCACTGGTTCTCTGACCTCGAGTTGCTCCCTAACCTGGCTCTTCCTGTTTCGCTCCCCATTTCCTTCCCTGCTGTCCTGCTGTGCTGTATTTTCATGGCTGGATGATGACCCGATGCTTACTTTCTGCCTCTGAGCCTTGACATCATCCCCTTGACATCACGAGATCTTCTAGGCCCACTCTCCCCTGCCAGGAAAGGACTTACTACAGTCATTTATTGCAGAGCTTTTTGTATTCATTTGCTTTTTCTTCCCCCTCCCTCCTTTTTCCTGTGGTGCTATAGTTTGCTTTTCATGTTTGGTCTTTAAAATTTTTGCTTCTTGAAAAAGAAAAGAGTTGATACCTGTTTCAGATCTGCAGAATTTGGCCACCATCTCTGGGGCACCCTTCATGTAGACATGAATGTGACCCTCACTGGCCAGCTGAGCAATCACAGACATCCTCTGCAGACTCGAAGAAAATGGAAACTGGCGCAAGACGATGATGGCTGCCACCGGACTCTGCAAGGGCATCCACAAGAGGGAGCTCAGAAAGCTTGTAAGTGACACTTAGCAAATACATCCTAAAAAAGGGGGTTAACTCTGCCATGAGTCCAGCAACATCAGGAAGCAGCATGTTTGCCATAATGCTGATGTATTTATGACTGCATCTGAGGAGACTTCCTCAATAAACTGTCTGGTTTGCAAGTCCCTTCCCTTTCGTGCCTGGAGAAATCCTGATCCCTGCCAAGCCAAGCTTACTTCCTGTGTGGTGCGTCTCTCCCCCACCTTGCACTTATTTGCACCTGTATTGATTTTCTACCAGGCTAAGTGCTCCTCTAACTTGAGCCCAGCAGCATGTCTTCTTTTGAAATCTAGCACAGTGTTCCAGCATACATAGGTACTCAGCAAATACCCAGGAAATAAACTAATGGATGAATTCAGGACTGAAGGAACCATCAAGCCAACTATGGGAAGTGTTAGGATAAAGCTAGGTGATAGGAATATGAAAATACGGGAAAGAGAAGTTTCACCAGTTTTAAGGAAAAAGAAACACACAATTTAAAGAAGCAAATCATACCTGACTAGCATTTGGTCCCGGTCTTATGACTGTGTTTGACTCAAACATGCCAAATTTGTAGGAGTCTACATTGCATTCTTCCATTTTCTGTTATAAAATGAGAACATTTAGAACATTCCTTGGGGAAGAAATCTTTCAGCCCTGTTTACATATTTCTCTTCCAAGATAATTATCTTTCAATACAATCACTGTCAAGTTTCTGGTGTATTGATTTATAGAAAAGACCTCATTGTAGAAGGTCAAAAACCCAGAAATGCTGTGAATCTATTTTAAGTAGTAATTGATGAGAATAGTGCTAGTCCCAGGTCCACAGCTCTTGTTAAATGGTTATGTCTTGTAATTGCCGGAAGGATTATGTGGAAACTATTTTCCAATATTATGGAGCACAGTAGTTCTTGGATGAATTAGAATTGTGACCTAAGATAGACATGAAACTATTTCCTCATGCCATACCCATGCTAATTTAGTTAGCTAGAGAGTTAGCAAGTTAGCTGCCAGCAAATTAGGAAGCACATTTGAAAATGGTCTGTATTGTTCGATGTTTCCAGAGCAAAAGTCTAAACTATTGAGAAACTATTATTAATGAATATTAAACTATTGAAAGGCTATCTTATATAAATTATAGAACCATAAAATGGGAGATAATATTGGCCTGTACTCTATCACATGTTTAACCTTGGGGATTTCCATTCATTTCTGAGATCTCATTTTTTTTCTTTCTAAAAAAATATTCTTACAACCTTCTGGATCTAAAATTCTTGAGTCTATAATGACACTGACCCTCCCACTTATGGTTAGTGGAAGGTTCCTAACTAAATAAAGCACATTTAACTCAAGACTGCTTCTGACTCAGCTTTAAACTGAATGAATAATCTTGCATTGTTATGCTTTCTTTAGGGGTATGTACAATTGTTCTGGCAGTTCTTACAGAGCTAACAATGTTTATGTTTCAAACAAGACCCAAACTTGTATGTCACTTAAACAGGTAGGCTGCCCCTCCTCAATTAGAAAAGGGGACACTGTCAGGAGCCAGATCAAAGTCCCAAGTAATAACAGTGACTCTGCCGCTCTTCCTCTTATGTGTTCTAATGACGGCAGTAAGGACATTGCTCTGCAATAAGTACACTGGTTTCCTCCATGCAGATTCAGGAAACCACTTACTATTTTGTCTTTGTGCCCAGAATCCCTCCACAGCAAATATTTTCATTTTAACTGAGTGATTTCAGAAATGTCCCTTTCTACCAGGTTCCCCCTACTGGCCTCTTTATGAGGAATACACCATGCCCCTAAAATAATTTGTTTTCATTTTTTACAACCACGTTTAAATGCTGTCTTTTAATTTACCTAATATTGAGAGTAAGTTTAGAACTTTGGCAAGGGAGTAAACAGAATGTAATCTGTTACCTAATTAATGAATCCTCTCTACTTGTTCCAAACTTCATAACCCCTTTGGGCTCATTGTCTCAGTGTTCACCTGACTCCATGAATAAAACATTATCATCCCAAATATGCAGATGAGGTGACAGTCACTCAGCCACAGAGGGGTGCAGAGCAAACAGCCTCCCCATTAGTCATGGAAGCCTAAACCTGCAGGACTAGTTTATACCCTTCAACTGTCACTCACACTAGGCTCAGAAAATGGAACAAGTTGAAACAGGATCCTTTGGTTATCCTATGTTCTCTGATACAGTAACTACCAGCTGCTATAACTATTTAAATTAACCAACACTAACTAAACTTCTCCTTTTTTGGTACCAGGAGTTGAACTCAGGACCTTGTGCTTGCCAGGCAGGCATTGTGCCACTCAGCTATATTGCTGGCTCAACACTAATTAAAATTAACAATGCAATTTTTTAGTTGCATTGCTATCTTTCAAGTGCTGGATTGCCACAGATGGCACTGCTTTAGGTTATCGTTTCTCCAAGAGCATTTGCAGAAACTTTGAACTGGGTCATGGCATGTCAACAAGATTTGGTAAATGTTGAATGAAATATTCTATCTTGAATAGCCACAGTGCACCACAGAATTGTAAAGAAATTCTACAGTCAAAATAATCAATTTATCTTTGCCTAAATAAATCCCAACTTTATTTGGTTATAGAACCTTTTGATGTTGTACTCCTTCATAGAGTTGTTTGAGAGCAGAGGTTGGAAAATTCTGGTAGGATCAGACAGAGAATATTTGTATTTTATGGTGAATGTTCTCTGGATTTTAACCAAAGTTGGAAAGGTTTCAGGAACTCCTGTCAGGATTCTTCAGGTTCTCCTCGTTCAACTGAACAAGTTATCACCTTACCCAGGCAGTGCCTTCAAACATTTTGAGGTCCAGAGGATCACCCTGGATGGTCCCATCAAGAAGGATCAGAGAGTGGCAGCTGGCCATGGCCGCACACAGGGGGCCCCATGGCAGAGCCTTGCCCGAATCAAAACTGTGGACTTCCTGGAAACTGGTAGAGAAGATAATTAAGCTAAAGTCTTCAATAAAGTAGTTTGCACACTCTGCCCCTTAAATCTTACTAGAGTAGTGCCTCAGATCCTAACTTTTCCACTCAAACCCTTCCATGGCTTCTCACGCTCCAAATGTTGACATCTACCTCAAGCCTGGTAATCGGGTACCATCTGCTGCAATTTGACCTCACCTTCAGCTGCCACCCCCCACTGATGTCCTTTTCACCCTGGATTCTAGAGCAGGATTAAATTTATTATTATTTCTATTCTTGTTCCTGCCCTGAATGCCCTGTTCTCTGTTTCCTTGTTATTCTGCCTGCAGAGTGATCTTTACACGCCCTTTCCTTGAGTTGGGTATGCATTTTCTTCTTGGCAGAGATTGCCACTGGTCAAATATATAACTTTGGAAGGTTTGGATATAATTGCAAGGACTTTTGCTCAGTGACACTGACCAACTCTGTAGTCCTGGCTCTAAAACACCGTACACGCTAGGCAAGCAGCATCTAGGTTCACGGGGCTATATGATTGGTGGGAAGAAGTCTAGCTGGTGATTCCGGGGTGGTGAAACCACGCATGGGCTTTCAGTGTTTCTCACTGCTCGACCCTTTGGCTTTTGCTTCCATTTGTGGAAGCTGGCAACAAGGCATACTGCCTATACAGCCCATTTTCCTCTTTGCCAAGGCAGAATGTTACAGTTCACCTCCCTCTTCTCCCAACCTAGCGGAATAGTGACTGTGTGTAGCTCTCCCTATACCCCCAAAAGCATCAGAGTACTAGGTGTAAGGGGGAAAGACAGAGAGGTAGAAACTGCAAACATTCTTTCCCCTTGTGCTGCTCTGGCCTGGAGAGGCCCTGCCTGTCTGCACAAATGCCTGGTCAGGACATCTGAACACCAAGAGCAGGATAAATGAGTAGAGTTCCTTGGCTCTAGCCCACCATGCCTTACACCGCTGTGCTCTATGCCTGTCCTGCCTCTGACCCTGTCACCATTCCATGATGCCTTCTCTGATTGACAGCTGCCTCTGTCACTTTTGGAAACCAAAATGCAGAGCTCAGCAGAGGCTCTCACCACTCAGAGGAGGTAAGTCTTAGCCCTGCAGGAAAGAGGCCAGAGCTCAGGGTTCTCTCCGGGGTGGGTCTTCCCTCCCCACTCCAGTTCAGCTCTCGGGTTGGTATCTGTAGTTGTCTTCTCCTGTCCCTCATCCCCGCCTTCTGACCACATCTCTAAAATTTCCAGCTGCACCTCCTTCAAAACCTATCACAAGTATTATCAGTTTTAGGGAGTTTTCATCGATTCACTAAATTTCAAAATGAATTTCTGCCTTTCTCACCTTGTTATTATAAAAATCAAGACTGTGTTTTATATCAAGCAACATTTTTTGATTCTCTGCTCTGATTTTCTGTCTTAATAGTAATTTCTACAGGCTATGCTGTGCATTGAAGGCGAGTATGTTGGCAGATTTTTATCCTTAGACCATGCACCTCATGGGGGAGGAGATGGGCTCATCTCTCCCGGGTTCACCCCAGCCGACTGCCCGCACTGGCCACTCAGGAAGCCTTGGCAGCCTTTAATGAAGCACGGTCTTGATTTCACGCTTTGCCCCTCTGCTTTACTCATTTGGTTCCTTAATTATCCATCTCATTCAATTCCATTTTTTATGTGGGGGCTGAGGACCTGTTTTCCTACCCGACTCAGAGTGTAGGACTCATTTAATTAAACAAGTCAGAGTAACACTAGAAGGAAAGACTTGAGTATTGCTGAGGCAGCCACATTGTTGCACGTCCCATCTTCACTTCAGGACTTACCAGCTATCAGAAGTAGGCACTGTGCCCCAGAGGTCAAGCCCGTCCTCTGTCAAAGTGCCTGTCTGAATAAAAGAAATGACATTAACATAAGACTTAAAGCTTTTAATCATGTTGTTATTGAGACAAAATCCAAGCTTCTAAGAAGTTATCATAGATCCAGCAGTCAAAATCTCTTTCTTGGTAAGCATCGAATTTTAAATCTGGTGATACATCATTCCCCAAAGACTGTGTTGAAAATCAGGTGATTCTTATTACTAACTGGAGGTAAAATGCAAGCACCTTGGGTTGGTTGTTGTCTATAGCTGCTGTTAGAGCAGAAGCTAAGAGGAAATTCCACAAAGACCAGCTCAAGTGGGCACCTGAGGTCTGTCCAAAGTAGACGTCAGGAATTTTTTTTCTTTCTAAGATTGATTAGTTCACAGCTTGCCAACAGGTTGACCATCATTTTCTAAAAATGTGTGTAATGAGGTGATCATTGGGATTGATAACGAAATGTTAATAAAGGGCTTTCCAGCTACGGAGAAAACTAAGTGCTAATAATAAATGTTAATGGATACCTATGAATGGATTTTATTGTTAGATCCAGAGGAAAATGGTCAGAAGATGTGATATGCTGCGTTATGGAGAAGTACTTGTCAGATCATGTAACAGAGAACATGAAATGAAACTACTACAGGAACACTTTTCATTTCCTCATTAACTGTGAGCATTGTGTCTTTCGTGGCAAGCAAACAGCGTCAGGCCTGCTTACCACCCAGAGTGGGCTGCGCTGGTGGGGCAGAGCTTTCCCAAGCAGTGCAGAGTAGTCTGCTCCAGCACCCACTCCCAAGCCTCTGAGACAAGCTTGTAAGGTCATCTCTGTATAAGACGCTGAGTTTTCTAGTTTTCTGTGAAGTCACATCTATCATTACGGCACATCCATTTAGTGGTTTACAGAGCAATGCCTACAATGCCTTTCTTCCTTGCAACTGAGCAGATGGGACGGAGACAGGCTGGAGGGTGGGCCCTGGAGGGTGGCAAGGCAGGACCAGAATCCAGCCTTCCTGCAGTCTTCCTCCACAGGCTGTGCTACATGGATTCTGTGGGGCAGGTGGAAAGACATCGCCCCCTCCAAGCTTCCACATTCAACAATCAAGGTACCTTTGTGTCACAAATTCATCTGGACTTCATAAAAAAAAAAAGAAGGCTGGCATGATTCTATGACGTTGTTCCTTGAACAATAACAACTTTAAAAAATGCTGCTTCCTTCCTTTTCCTCCTGCATTGCATGAGGACCCTCAACCTCGGTTTTCACTTTCCAAGCATCCTTGGGATGCTCCACTTCAAAAACAGTGAGCAACTTCATTCAAACCCAAATGCTTTCCTGTGGACTAGATTATGTTTCCAAACATGAGTATTTTGAACAGAAAACAGAGATGATGTTGGAGCAAAACAGAAATAAGAGCATGTTGTTTCTCAATGTGAAAATGACCCTTAGGAAATTAACGATAAATGAAAAGGAAACAAAATCATACTCATAGCTGCAGTTCTAAAGGAATAAGATAGAAAAAGAAAACCTCTTAGCATACAGACAAGCCCAGGCTTGGGCAAAATTGAATAAAAAGAATGAAAAAATTTAGCTTAGAGAACTTTTAACACATATTTAGAGAACATCTAAATATAAACTAGAAACATATATGGGCACAAATATACTCAGAATCCCAGTGAGAGGCAGCTTCTAAATTGAAACACTCTGACTGGACATTCAATTAATTGTGGAGGTTCTTATTGCAACATCACATTGATAGGGTTTTATAATGTGGAAACTGGAAAATAAAATCTTGGAGCTAATCATAGTTCTACCATTTTAACTCAACAATATCTCAGAGAAACTCAGTGTCTAATTCAGGATTTGATTTCTCACTTTGCCATTTCCAAATCAAGAGTTCTTTGCACTCTAACCAGCAGCCTTTCCATGAGAAGTTTGGCCATGCGAGCCTCAGACGGCCCCACAGCAAGGGCCAGAGGACGTAGAGGCAAAAGGTCTATATAGGAAGCAAGATGAACAGCCTCTGGGGAAAATGAGTCTTTGAAACAGGTAAACAGGTAATGAACATATTTTATATAGAGCCCTGCTGACAAAAGTGATCCTGTTAGAGAAGGAATAGGAATCCCTATCTGAAAACTTGCAAGGAATTGTTACCTGTCCCTGAATCTAAAATGAAGCTATTGCTAAATTAACCATACCAGTTCCCAACTGATGGCAATTCAGGACCTTTTTTGCCCAAAGCAACATGAGAAAAAGAAGCCTGAAATTATCAAAGAGATGCACCACTTCCGGCTGGGGACCAACCAGGACAGGTTCCTTGTGGGGCTTCGTCAGTCTCCTCATGGAGTTTCTCTGGTCTGTCTTCTAACTCTCCTATTCCTGTCCCCTCCTCTAAGATCATGAATGATCTCTTCAGTTGTCCCTAGGTGGCCTTCTCCCTCTGTGCTATCTCCATTCCAGAGACAGAATAAATGGAATAAATAAAACACTTAAATAATGTCACATGTCTTCCTAAGAAGGAAGGGCCCTCACTCTGCTTCCATCTACCTCAGCCTGCAGGTGGCCCTTCTGACCACACCCCACTGTCCACTGCCCACACATGCATTCCTCTCACAGCCTGGGCTCTGAACTGCTCACCTCGGACTCTGACGTATTCTGTCTGATAAAGGGAAAGCTCAGAGGTGACCTCCTATCTGCACCAGGTAACCATGCCCAAGTGCTTAATGGAGGTCTGGCCTCCATTAAGCCGGCAGCTCATGGTATGATGGTTGCCTGTAGTCTCGTTTTCCCTGCATCCTCAGCTGGACTCTGAATTCCTAAAGAGCTCATCAATGGGACTGCACTAGACTGCCCAGCCTTGGCTCTCTGCCAGTGTAGGTTAACTACAAAAGTGCCAGAGCCTGGATCAGCGATCCCAGTGCAAAGGAGCTGAAGACAGAGAGAGCCCAACCCAAGCCCAGAGCATTACAGCAGTTAAACTGGCTTCTCAAGGCCAACGGCAGATCTGATGCCAAAGTTCCTCAGGTCCCCACAGGTGAATTATGAGAGGCTCTCAGCCCTCCCAGGCTGGCACATAGCCCCCCCCCTTCTGCCACCTTTGCAGGCATCCCCATCCTGCAGTCCTGGGAACAAGGGAAAAAGAATGACAGGAGAGTGTAAATAGTAAAGGTCACTGCCATTGTCAATTCCCTCCTTTTCATTACAAAAAGCAGAGGAAAAGAAAGTTGTTCACTTAAGTGCTGGACAAAGCATTGTGTGAAACAGAAGTGTCCCTCACATTTTTACCTGAAAAAGACAGTCCATCATAAAAGCTCTCAGAGTAAGAGAATGTTTGAAAACACAAAGCAGTCACAGAAAGTACTAAAATTTCACAGGGGAAAGAAAATTTCCTGATGTGATGGCTCAACTGTTACCTCTGGACTCAGCTTCCAGAATGGGATCTTACAGAACTCACAGTGTGTCACCCTCAGTTTTCTCATCTGTATGATGGGTGCCCTACACTAGCCATTCCCAGGGACCTTTCTCCTCTAGTCCTCAACATCACCCGCCTTCAACCCGGAAAGTTGGGACCCTACTTTGTCAAAGCACACAAGGTTTATCTGCCCACACATGTTGATTCTCTGTGGGGAGATACAGAAGATCTTCTTTTTCTTCAGCCTCTTCTGGGCGTACACAATGCCGATGGTCAGGGCTGCTGGCAGTGCAGGAGGGACAGTCACAGTGAGGAGGAGCAGGGCCATGGTTGTCGTATCTCTTGGAGAGACCTAGGAAGGAGGGGGATGTACATGGAGTTAGCCCTGCAGAGCAGAGTGTTCCTTCCTGCACCTGGTTGGCCCTGCGATACCATAGGATCCCTCCAGACTCTGGCTCAGAACCCTGCTAGGGAGTCGGCGCTCCTGGTGGGACTGAGTATTCTGTTTGCTGTCCCACAAATGAGCACCTGTCTCCCACTGAAGAACAAAGGAGACCTTGAGCACCTATTCCAACTGCCCCAGCCCTGTGCTGACTTGGTTTCTCTCCACTTGACGTTCCTCCATTCAGGCACCACCCCTCCCCTGCTCAGTATAATTCCACACACCCCATGGGCTCTGAGGCCACCAGGAATGCTCAGGTTATACCATTTCCCTCTGCAGCACCAGAGAGGTCCTCAGAGGTCATAAACAACAATCCTCCCTCCAGCTGTCAACCCTTAAAAAGAGACATCTAAATAAATCCAGACACTCTATAGCTTAAAGAGATCTTGAACATAGATTCCCTGCAGGGAATCAGCTCCATAAAAGTAAATATTGAATTACATTTCAGAACCCAAGCAGAAAAGATGAGAAAGGACCTTGGGTTACCTGGGACACTTTATGTACTTCAGGAAAAAGTTCAGATCACATGTGGCATTCAAGATCTCTTGGGTCTGATCTACTCCCACCTTGCAGGAATTCTCTCTTAACTACTGACTAGATTCAAAAGATCCTTATTCCCTTTTCTTTGTGTTTTGCTCACTCAAATTAGTATGCCCTTCCTACTGTCTGATCTGATTGACTAAATCTTCCCCATCTTCTTATCAGGTTTGAGAAATACACAACCATGTAACTCTATCTGGGATTGGATAGTACATAAGCCAACCCCTCATTCCAAAGCAACTGGGAGAAACCATCAGGAAAATTTGCAACTTCTCCCAGCTGCACTATCCAACATGATTGGATTGCCACTAACCACATGTGGCTATTTAATTTAAATTAATTAAAATGAAACAAATGAAAATTTATTTCAGTCACATTAGCCATATTTTAAGTGCTCAGTAAGTTCATATGGCAAAGTGCTACCATATTGGGGATTACAGGTAAGGAATAGATCTACAATCTAAGGACGCTCTTTGGCCAACACTGATTCATAGAATGATAGGATTGAGAGATGATCTTAACTCTCTTGAGTTAGGTCAAGCTCTTGAGAAGCTATACCCTCAGTACTTACTTCATGGTACATGTATATCCCTAGGCCATAGAAAAACCCCACAACACCAAGGAAGGCCAGGAACACCATGAACTTGAAGGCTTCACTGTATAGTTTGAAGTTCAAAGGCCGGGGGTAGAGGATAGATCTCACCAAATCCCCCTTTGCTGTATTGTAACCTACATGAAAGTAAGCAGAGACCAAGTCAGGCCCTTTAGCAGTTTCCTTCTGAATCAAAAGTACTGTAGTTGGGGGTCTTTGGAGCATGGAATAAACACACACTGGCCTGACAGTGTGTTTGCCTTCCTTGTTATAAATTATGGGGGTGTGGGTGAGTGGCACTCACTTAGCCCCATTTGATTTCTCTTGGTCTGGGAGACAGTGCCTCTTTGGCTCCCCCGGTACAGCTTCCCATCCCCTCATGGGTTGAGAAAGACTGGACTAAGGAGTTGAAGAGTAGTGAACAGGGAAAATTAGGTGACAAGCACAGACTTCAAAGTAGGGAAGTGTTGGAAGATACGTGTTTAAAAGTATGTGTTAAAAGATAACTAAGAATTAAGAAAAAAAGAAATAATTTGCTAAAGCTACGTATGTATAAGCCTATGATGATGATGTCATCTTGTGTCCAGAGCCCCCATTTTCATAGGATGAAATTCAATCTTTAGGCAAGGTATTCAAGGTTCTTTTCATTCTAACCTACTCCTGGCTTGCTGGACTGACCTTGTTGGCATTCATTGGTCTCAGAAGACTCCAGCGATTCCTTCTTCTATATTTCATAAATCCAAACTAGTTTACCCTTCTAGTTCTGACACGGTTGGTTAAACCCTCCCCCGTTGCTGTCCTAACAACAGAGCTATCAGCCTTGGTTCAAAATGCCACTTCATCAAATAGGTGTCTTCACAATTCTACTCCCATACTTTATACCAAAAATAATTTATCTTGTTCTCTGGAGTCCTTGCAATACTTGGTCATACGACATCTCCCTCCACTCTGTGTTTTAGTTAGCTGTAAATTCATCTTTCTTCTACAATAGGTTATGAACTCCTCTAAGGAGAGGGTACATCGCACAAATTATTTCTTTAGTCCTCAGCACATCACACATCATAACTACTCACTAGTATCTGGATGACTGAGTAAAATGATTGATTACCATATATTCCAATATGAGTCAGCACTGCTAGGCATAAAACAATACCATACCCCCACTGCCCAATGGACACTCATCTCCTCAAATACAGCTTTGCTGCCTTTGAAGAACAGGAAGACAGTTTCCTCTTACTTGCTATCTAGGCATTTTAAAGTTCTCAGGTGGTTTTCATGATCTCTAACAATTAGCTTTCAGTTAAACAATTTTAGCAATAGTCAGACCTACTAATTTTAATGTCAATTAGTCATAAATTTCAATGAAAATGTTCACCAAAGACAATGTAATTATAGACTAGACCAAAGCACATGGCGTGCTTTACATCTACAGCTACATAGCATGGCTGAAACATAAGTCAGGGCTGAGGACAGTGAGCTAGGACCAGGTCATGGGAAGCCTTGGTGTGTAATGCCATGGGAAAGTTGGGCATGAATATGGCTGGCTGTGGAAAGGTTGACCAGCATGGTATGTATGGACTACAGCAAACTATGTTTTGGAAATGCAACTCAGGTGACAGCTTAGAGAAAGATTAGGGCAAAAGTTTAAAAGGAACAATCTAAAGAGTATTTCTGTTCTAATAGTTTAGACCCATGGGGATGAAAACGTGCACAACACAGCGACCATAGGAATGAAGGTGAAAGGCACGGGCCTTAGGTGGTATGAATACAAACACTGGGACTTGGTGCCCATTGGATATGAGAGAAAATGAGCAGTTAAAGATGATACAGAGAGACCAGTTAGATGCCGCTGCTAATACACAGAGGCAATACAGGCAGAGTTCACGTTCGGATGCCTGACTTTGAAGTGTCTGTAGAGCACCCAGACAGAGGTGTCCAACAGGGAATTAAATGCACAGCCTAGCAAGCAACTCTTTGAGCGGACTGTAGTTGACAGTGACTTTGGCAATCACTCGAGGGAATATTGAGAGAAAAGAGAAGAAGTCCATGGACAGAACCAAACCAATATCACTGTTTTGGCTTGATGGAAACCTACATCATCTGTATATCTTTTGCCCTATGCAAGGGTTTTTTATAGTAATTGCTTTCTTTTATTCATTCTTAAAGCACATGAAGTGCTTTCTATGGAACAGGTATTATAATAGAGTGTTAAGAGGTGAGCAAATAGTCTGAATGCTCACGAACCATTCAATTAACATGTGGCAATTTGGAATAATAAAGTCTGATTAGAAAAGAATATGAATGTTAGTACTAGAATGTGGCAAACTCCAAATCCTAAAAAAAAAATTTCCCCTAATCCAACTCTCCCCCACCTTCAAGCATAAACTATACTTATGAAAGTGGAATCTACTCACCTGTCTGCAAAACGACAGCTCTCACAGGTCCCTGCCCAGAGGGTTTGACCTGGATAACTTCTGTTCCACAGAAAAGCACATGTTTCCGATAATCCTCCAAGCTGTGGGACTTCCAGGGCATGGTGTTCTCTGTGTGCGGCAGTGGTGTCTTCGTGACAGGTATGCTTTCACCTGAACAAGATTGCATCTTGTTGATTCTGTGTAAACTCAGATAGCTACTCAGAACTGGTGCTTGCCAGCTTTATGAAAGTATATGATCACAGCTAATAGACTTTAACGCCCACACACTGAGTCAGATGATTGTTTTTAGAATGCTAGCAGTGCAAGCAATGGTAGACTTGATTTTATTTCAGATTTTGTTTAAAGATCAGCTTCTCTTTCCCATACCTGACCTTCAAGGTTTGTTGTCATGATTTAAAAAGTGGCCAATGTTAGTTGTCACCTAACCATTCTCCCAAGAGTTCCCCAGCCCAGCGCTATTGCAAGCAATGAAGGAGCAATATGGCACATGGATAGTTATTGCTATTTGCCTTTCATTCTCTCATTTATCCAGTCATCCATTCATGTACCTTTTCATTAAACAAGTATGCTACACATTTACAAAATAATACAGAAACAACACAAGCAATACAGAATTTCAGACAAGGTGATAGGAAATTAACAATGATTGTTATGTTACATATTGATATCTTCAAATTGGTTACTCAGTTAAATGAATACAGGCATGTAAGATTGATAAACAACTAAAGATTAACTGTTCCTTTCAATAAAGTAATAGAAATCAGTAGTACAACTATCTTAGCTATCCTGTGTGTGTGTGTGTGTGTGTGTATGTATTTCCTTATTTCTTTCTTTTCTCTTTTCCCTCATCCCAGTTGTTAATTCCTTTTGAGCAGTTTCTTTCCCTTTCACAATATCTATTGTACCTTTTAGATTTTATTCACTCTTTCAGGTTCTTACATTAGTGAAACAATATGGTGTTTACACATGAGGGTCTGATTTATTTCATTTATAAATATGGTCTCCAGTTGTTCCATTTACTTATAAAAGCTTAGAGTTGATCTTTTATCTTTCAAATAAAAAAAAAGAGTATGCTAGAACATCATACTCATCCTACACCTTTTCCAAGTGAGCCCTATCAAAATCTCCTTTTATTATTCCATTCTTCTCAAAAATCCTTAGGCATTCCCATTACCTAAGGGGTAATAAAGCCTAAACTCTCTTGATAGATATCAAAGCTCACCCCAATTCAAACATTGGTGCTATAATTTCCCTGCCTGAGTATCAGCTAAACTAAGCCTTTATATTTCCTTTTGACTCCCATTTTTCTGCTGGTACCATTCCTCTTCCTTTTTCTGGTAACTGTAGGACAGAACATTCTAGGAACAAATGAGTTTAGAGTGCAAAAGATAAATTTCAGAGACAAAAATAAAAATATTAATAATACATAAAGGTCCCAGATTTAAAAAGCACTAAAATGAATTTAAAATTCCTTAGGTCTTTTGCTAAACATTCAGTTAGCACAATAATATGTAATTGTTCTAATCTGGCAATAGTATCACATGGATTAGTTACACAAATTTAGGTCCTATCTCTAGGTAACTGAGGACAGAGACTTTGAAATGCATATTTATATTCTGAATTTTCCCTAGTGGTATATAATAGGTTCAAAATATGTATCTTTGTTAAATGCATAGATAAATTAGATAAAAGCAATTATCCAGGTTTTTCTACTACTGTTTTTTCAAAACTAGCTTCCTATTGTTTTTTCTATTATAAAGTATAAGAAGCTATAAAATTTTTATTCGTGGTCTTTGTATGTTCTTCAGAAAATTCCTCTGTCCATGTATCATTTTCTTTAAAACAATTGCAATATTCATCTGTTGTGTGGATGAAGTTACCAATGGCATTTTAAATTATTTTGTACAAGGAATAGAACCTTTGGGCAAATCTCCAGATCATTACACCACATTGTTTTTGAAATTAGCCTTTATAACAGGCTATATCTGTTATATCTATACTTGTAGATAACTACAATGGTTCATCTGCCTTCACCACCAGAATACTAATACATAATATTTACTTTAGCTAATACAGTAGTAGAAAAGTTTCACACACACACACACACACACACACACACACACACACAAAATCAATGGAATTGGAGGCACATAGGTATTAAGCAATCAAAGATGAAAGCCACCTAGGGATACTGTTCCAGAGATGACATTCAAACCGTACGACTTCACCCGGAAATGATTTTCAAGTCTCCTACACTATTAACATATTGATGAAAAATCTCATGGTTTGCACTTTATTGGGAGCCCTAGAAAGGATGAGTTCGCCTACAAAAGATGGGGGGTCTAAAGAGGCTGGGCTGGCTTTAGAAGGGAGTAGAGTCATCATTCACAGTCAGCGGGAGAGCTGGCTCCTGGGGATTGCTGCTGTGAAATAGAAATTCCTTGCTCGTCCCAGGGAGGCAGTTTCTTCTGCATGGTAATTGTGTTTAGAATGCCATGTACTTGCTTATTTACGTTTCTGAGACCCTCCACTGTAAAGGATTTATCTTCATGTGATTCCAACACACAACACAGTGCCTGGCACAGAGAAGGCATTTCCAAGCTTTTACTAAATAAAGCAATGAATAAGTTAAAGAAAGGGAGTAGGATGACAGAAAGGGAGGATGAGAAGAGAGTAAAAGATCTGACCTATTAACTGATGCTAGCTACTCTGGCAAGATACCAGCGTGAACTAGCCACTGCAGGGGTTCCAATGTGTCCAGTTTGGGGTCTCCACGCTCAGGTAAATCAGAACTTTCATGGGTAGAGGGAGAGGAAGGAACTGTGGAAGAGCGAATGCCACCCCTCTCCCCACCACCCTTTGGCAGAGAAGCACTGACTCTAAGCATAAGTTCTGAGGACAAAATACCTGGATTTCGGTGGTTTATTTTCTAAGGAAGCACAATTGCTGGTGATTTATGTTATTTTTGTAGCATCATTCTCACTCATTCCCATTTGCATATTTCACATTCCCTCCTCTAGAATGTGACCTCCATGAGGACAAAAGTCACAACTGTCCTGGTCACCGCTATATCCCTGGTCAGTGCCTGCTAATAAACATCTGTGAAATGAGCAAATAAAAGTAGAAGCTAACAAATGAATTCAGTGCTCAGCTACATTATACTTAAGTTGCCTGATGGTAGGCAAATTATGTACCTTCTCTGGGTCTCAGATTTGCACACCTTAACAGACTTGCAAATGCATAAATAACAGGTAAAATGTAGGTACAAAGCCAAATACATATGAAAACTAAGAAAATAGCTATTATACTGAGGAGAACATGTGAAATATTAATAGATTCTGCCCCCCACATGACAGTCACTGTTGCTTCTTGGCTCCTCTCCTTTGAGTGGCCCTAGATCTTGAACAGGATCATTGTCTCAGGAAAGGAGGCAGAAAAAGTGGACAAAGGTTTTGAGTTTTGAAAGTCATTCATAAATTTGACCATGGATTTGAGGGACTACCTAAGAGTAATGCCTTCCCTTTACTGCATCTCTACCTAAATTAAAGACCCCAGACTGGCATTGGAAGAGAATCCGAAAGAGACTTACATGTCATGCCTCCCTAAGAAAAAGGCCCTGCAGTATGGTGTGAGGACATGCAATCAAGTTTTGGGAACACAGATTAATAGCACTTGGGTCTTTCCAAGTATATAGGCCTCAGACAATTTAAGGTAGAGCAGGAACACCTGAACAAGGAGATGCCCCAAAGCACATTTCCCTTCTCCCTGCCCTCTACAATACTAGGCAAGCAAACAAGGATTGGGAGAACTGCCAATATATTATTGGGAAGACTCACTGGCTTACCCCAGGTATTCACACTCGACACTTTCCAGAATGGGAAAATTTGGAATCAAAATAAAAATTTCATGTAGATACAAAGTAAAGCTGAGTCTCTTGCATAGGTGCTTGTGGCAATGGGACAAAACTGAGGAAACAAGCAGAAGGAAGGTCCTACCAGGGGGCAGCACTGTGGGAATTACAAGTAGCGTGCAAGAGGTGATAAGGCCTGGGGTGAAGGCAGCCACTGTACTCCCTGGAATCATCTTCCTCACTCCTGTGTCCTGCATGTTTGGAATAAACACCATCTCCAGTTCTGATTCATACTTATTTGCTGAGCAGCTTTTGTCTCTTTGCTGCAATTTCCTCATTTATAAATTGGTATTACACTAATTCCTACCTTAATTTGCTTTATGCCACGATGAAGTCGGAAGTAAAAATTTATAAAACAAAAGTTGCTGCTGAGATGCTAGGAGTATTCACTACTTTTACTCTTACACAAATAAAAATTTCTGTAGATCCAAAGGACAATTTTGCACATTGAGAAAAACAAAGCTGAAATCCTGTTTGAGGATAAATACCCTAAGAATACACTTTCAGGTTCAGAAACCTAGCCCTAGTCTTTTGATTGTTCAGTTGGGATAGTTTGTACCAACATTATGTACATTAATGGGAAGACCTATGTAAGCGATGCAATAAAGTATTTAAAGCATGCTTGGGAACTACATTTTTTGAAGAAATCAATGAGAAAGAGACAAAAATACATAGAAATAGAGATAGAAAGAGATATATTTCTAGTTAATATGTCTGTCTTCACAATTTACTTTGGTTACATAGATATTAGTGCTGGTGATTTTAATTTTTCCAGAAATGGACATCGGAAAATGCCACTTGCCCCTGAAGGTCATTTTAGGTCAATTTTGTATGTTTATTAAAAGGCAGAATTATTTACTGTTCCTAATTCTTTGGGACCTTCTGAGTTTTCCTGAAAGTCATGACAGGTATTGTATGCTGACCCTAGTCACAGAAAAAGGAGCAAACTTCGGGCTTAAGCTTTCGCACTGCATCAGTGCTCTCTGGTGCCAGGGAAAGTAGCTGTTCCATACCACCAAGCTGCAGGAGACAGAGACAATTGCTGCATTTGAGTGAGAAGGACAGTTTTGCTTGAGCTTGAGGTTTGCACGTTGGCTACTATGGCAACATTCTGGATAAAAGACATGATAAGTATGCAAATCCTTATCACTATCATTATAAGGCAGTTAGATTTCAACACATTAAAGGGATATTTTATAATTATACTAAATATATTTACGTTTGCTACATTTTCTTCTTTCAATTTTAAATTAAGCAGATCCATTTTTAATGTGAAATCTGCTTATGCTGAACAATTCAAGAATAGATAATGAATTTTCATTACATTTAGGTTGTGTTGAAGCTTTGTGTATGCTTTTTCTCCCTGACTTCATACCATTTGAAAGTAGAAAAACTCAACAATCTGTAAGCATAAAAGACAAATAGTTTTTATCTTTGTGTTGCAGTATACTTTCTTTTATTACAATGTGCTGTGCTTTGTGGGGTTTCTGCACCCAAAGAACATTTTATAAATAGTGCCTCATATAAATACAATGAGACTTTCCAAACTACAAATGAATAGTGGGACCATTCTAGAAATAACTGGAAGAACAGTTTTCTGCACAGAGAGAACAACTGCAAATATAAATTAAAAGGAGAACCAACTGTTACTGTCTATAACCTGAGGTTCAACACAAACTTTCCAGCAAAACCTAGAGGTTGCTAACTTTCTATCCGTACAGCACAGGTTTAAGAAAATCTCTACACTCTTCCAATTATGATAGTTGTTGTCTTTATAGGTTGTATGTTGTTTGGATAGAACTATAAACAATTTTCTTGTTTATGAAAAGATTGTTTCAACCTGTTTACCTACTCAAGCTCCCTGCACTCATCCTATTCACTGCACACATTGGACAATTAGTCATGGTATTGAATCTTTTTTTTTTTTTTTACCAGGAATCGAACTCAGGACCTTACACTTGCCAGGTAGGTGCTTGTACCACTGAGCTATACCCCTGGCCCTGGAATTTTTCTTATAGTTTTGTATTTATTGTAGTTTAACTACCTGACTATTAAATACTAGCTGCTTGTGTATATTGTGTCTCTATGTCAATGAAAAGGTTGGGTGTATGTCTGTCATCAAGCTCTCAATATTTTACCAGGGGGCTTGGTACTAGGTTGGTAAGTAGATGTTGGTCTGGTTTGCTAGCATGGACTTATACATTGCACATGGAGGAGGGAGCACCATGACAACTGCTTACCTGTGAGCATGCCTTCGTTCACCACACAGCTCCCATCAATCAGAACAGCATCACATGGCAGTGACAATTTTCCTGGAAGAACAAGAATATCTCCGGGAACCAAGAGGCGGGATTCCAGCTCCTGCAAACCTATGTAATAGCAAAAATTCCGTGACTAACGGACCTCTTCCTGTTTTTACATAAGAGTAAAGGTAACTAAGAGTGCTTATCAACCTGCTGACTAAGAGCTACCTACTTGTTTACCTGCTTAAATCCCATTCCACTCAACTAAAGCTTCCAGGAGAACCAGGAATAGGGAATCGTTTCCTGGAACACAGCGAAGGATTAGCTCAGCAACAAAGTTCCATTTTGAGCCCAGTACCTGGTCTCTGCTCTACCCAGAGTGAATGCTCAGGGGTACCGATGGGAAGAGAAGTGCCCCATGGTTTCTGTTTGTACTTTGCCTGGGTCCCTGAACCCTGGGCAACTTCGCCTTGGTGGACTGGAGTCTCATGTAAGCTTTCCAGGCAGCTTTCTGCTGTTCTGCTGTGTAGCTCTACATTTCTTGAAGAAATTCATGGCCACTCCATTCCAGGCTGGCTCAGAGTATATGCCAAGTGTCAGCCAACATCTAAAAGCCTTCTTTGGGTCTATGTTCTAGGTGGCAGGGCCTTTCTTTTAGTTATTTGAGAAAGGCTTACTCAGTAAATGAAATATGGAGAGCAGAGGGAATCTGAAGTAACCCAGACACTGGGAATCAGTGGCTCAATAGGGCTGGGCCAAGACAGAGGCAAGCAAGAGGAATGGAGGATGAAGGTGAGGGAGGTAGCTACCAGGGCTTGCAGGTGCAGGGGTAGCATTCACACTGCCTCACCTCTTCATTTCATGTCTTAGATACCTAATTGTCTCATACTAGTCTGAGTCCTGGGTTCATTCAGAAAAGACTGTTTCCCCTTATTTAATAACCAAGGACAAATGAGCAGGATTCTACCCTGAAACAGTCAGATGCTGAAGCGGCAGAACATGTGACTTACCTTTGTCTTTGACAGTGATGGTAACCTGGACTTTGTTGTGATCTTCCACAAGGTTGTGCAGCTTAACTGATTGCTGTGAAGGTAAAGTTAGGGTTTCAATATCAGGTAGTCCACATCCTAAAAATCGCATGATCTCTACACAATAAATGCCCAGCCTGCTATCGCAGCCAAAAAGCTCCGTGTGAAAGATTCAACCACTTCTACTTTAGATACTCCACCTTCTCTGCCTCAATCCCTACCTATCTGACCCGCCACATGCAGTAGCAATTGTGTTCTTGAGTTTGGATGTTATTTCACTTCCAGGAAAAACAGCGCACAGTTGCTGCTGGAAGGACCTACACTGACATAACAAGGCTTCACTTCTTGAGCATGCGCAAATAGAATGGGGAGGAATGAAACAAGGCTAAATAGGTTGCTTCTCCTTCTATGCCTCTGTTTCCCTGTGTGTGAAATAACAAAGCTAAATTGATCCATAAGTGGCTTTTTGCCACTAAGAGCCTGTGGCTGTGGCATTTGTGTTTTCGTTGTATGGGACACGGCTGCCCCCTGTTACCAACTGTCATTTGCACGGTGGATGGATCTGCAGGCAGGAGTCTTGCTGCTGTTTTGAATCCCAGTGCTACCACTTATAGGCTATTTGGTGTGTTTAACTCCCCTCTGTTCATCTGAATGGGATGATAATGTGTTTATATTTTATAAGGTTATATTACGTTCATTAATGCTTATAAAGCCCTTTCTTTAGAACTCAGTACTATGCTGAGAGTTCATGAGCATGGGTGACTAACAAGAAAGTTGCTGATAGAAAAACAATTGTGAGGGGCTGGGGACTTAGCTCAGCGGCAAAAGCACCTGCCTGGCAAGTGCAAGGCCGTGAGTTCGGTTCCCGGTACCGGAGAAAAACCCAAAAAAAAACAAAACAAAACAAACAAAGAAAAACAATTGTGAGCGTATGTCAACTGGGAAGACTTGGTTGAAGTAGAATGTACTGAAACACCGCTCTCTATGAAGGGGTGGTGGAGAGGGCTGGGATGCGCTATCCCCTAGGACAACACAGGAAGCAGCAGAGGAGCAAGGGATTTTATCCATAGACTTCCTCACACTGACTTGGGGTGCCATCACTCAGAGAGAGATTGACTGAGCCAGCCACGACAGGGCTGAGCCTTTGGTTACAGCACTGCCCCTTTTTGTATGAATCTAGTGACCTGGGCAGCCCTAAGTAAAACAGGATGAGAACACTGTCAGCAGTGCTCAAATGCAGCTTAACCTTAACCAAATATAATATTTTTTCGTTTAGATATTAAATTATTTTGATCTCTTCTATTGATGAGTTTTCATGTTACAAATATCACCCAGCCAAGACAAGCATGACACACAATTAGGCAACTTTCCCGGTAAGAGACCATAATGAATTCAGTGTTAACATTTACATGCAAAAAATTATTATTCAGTTTTCCCTGAAAAGCTAAACTTTGCCAACTAGGACCAACTGAGTGGAAGAAGTGATGTTACTGTTGGGTACGGATGCATTGTCCTAAAGTGTGTTCCTGGATTTGGCTGTTGGGTCATGCTGTTAAATACTGGGGAACAGTGAGACTATCAGTCCCAACTGCTGAGTTGTAGATTTGTCCTATGCACTCACCACCAATTGCAGTACATAAGAAATCTCACCTTACAAGTTAGTTATTTCCTCTGTACACCAATAGATAACATTGAATTGAGTCAATTCCAAATCACCTTCAAACTCTAAAATATATCACACCAATTTATTTTACAAGCGAGAGCCTTATCAGAAACCCTCAAGACTTCATAGAAGAAATACCCAAGGCATAAAAATGACTCAAATGACCATTTTAAAAAATAGTTGAAAAATACTAAGCTACTACTACTTGCTATGCACTGTTGTAGGCACTTGGAATAAATTGTTCGTATTTTTAAATGTTCAACAAGATTTTATCATGAGATTGTTATCTCTCCAACAAATACATAAAAAATAAAAACAAAACCAATACAATGAATGTATCCCCAGGGTCAAAAATATTGAAGTGACTTTGCCAAAATCATTTACTTATTAAGATTGCAATCAAACCAAGGCTGTCTGGCTCAAAAGCATTTTCTGTTGATGAGTATATTCTTCTGGAGCTTGAAAATATCATTTTTCTTTAGAAGATAAACATCCTCCCTTCTTTATTTTCTTGCTCAGCAAACTCCTTTCATCAATGCCATGATAACTTCAGCCTGGCTGAGGAGGATGATAATCAACCCATTTGGAAGTGGAGAAGTATGAGTTAATAATGCTTGACAGTAATTCTCAGACCTCATTATGCTATAGAGCTGAATTTGTTTATCAGACTTAGCATTCTGTATAACCCACCATGCTTCCATACCTTTGCTCTGTTCTCTAGAATGTCCAGCCCAGCTTTTGCCTAGTAAACTCTTTGTAATCCTTCATGTAAAGCCCTGTTTAAATGTCACCTCCACCCCGCAGTCCTCACCTTCTGCAGGAAGAATGCATTATTCTGTTCCCTGTGTCTTCACCTGGGTTGGTGAACTGATCGCATTCCATTAGAGCTTTCTATTGTCAGGTGAGGCAGAAAGTTCACAAAAGAAAGGGTCTATGTGTTCATCCATGTCCCCCACTAGAGTGTATCACATAGTAGGCTCCCCCATAGTAGGCAAATACTTAATAGAACTGAATTATTCTAATTCTCACAACAACCCTGGAGTAGGATAACGTAAGTATCCTCTTTGAGCTGATGTACTCAGAAACTCTATAAGCACAGGTTTCTATGGCAACCAACCAGCCAGGAACAGGCAAGTGCTGTGATGCTTGCCATGACTGCGAAGCTCGTTGCCTGATTTTCATTAGACCCCCTCTGGTTTCTCCAGGCTCTCTCCAGTGAGACCAGGATTGGTTTCCCAGGCTAATTTGCATATGTTATTATGCAGCATCTGTTGCTTGATGTCCTTGCGTTTGCTGTGGTTGGATTTTCTCCAGAGATGAGTAATGGGGACACTAACTCAGGCACCTCTTGAGCACAGCGCAGTCCTGAATGAAAGCAAATACTATGGACCGGATATGCTAGGTGCCTGCTCTAAGAGCCACCGTGGTAGACCCAGCCATGGAGTCTGCAAATAAAGTTCACTGTAGAGACATGTGAGAGTCACAGCTTGCTGTCAAGGAAGGCAGCGAGAGTGTGGGTGGCTTAGGCAAGGTGAACTCTCTGTGCAGCGTGATTTGCTACTAGAGTAGGTACAAGATGGTATTGTCTTGCACTTCCGCAAACACTTCCTCTATTATGATATTTTAAATCCTGTGTTTGTTTAGCTAAATCTTTAATTCCACAAAATGGTGTATTTCAGTATAACTCAATAGATTTTTTTTTTTAGTACTAGATATTAAACTCACAACCTTGCACACACTAGGCAAATGTTCACTGAGTGCTAAAATGCATCTCCAACCTTTTAAAATTTGATTTTGAAATAGAGTCTGAAGCTGCTTCGGCTGGCCTTGATCTTGTGAGCCTACTGCCCCAGCCTCTCAAGTAGCTGGTCTTGCAGATATTTGCCACTGTACCCAGATCTCAATAAAATGATTTGGACGTGGAAATAGATGCTCCTTCCTTCATTCCTGCCCACCTCCTTCCCCCAAATTTTACTGTCCCAACCAGGTCCAGGAGTCACTTTGAGAATGTGCTCAACATAACAATGAGAAGTACCTGATTTGGAATCAGGAAACCTGGTAGTGAGGTCTACGGCTGCTGTTAGAGAGTATGAGAAAAAATTACTTCACTTTCCTGATTGTTCCTGTTCTTCCTGGGCCAGAGAAGGATATAATAATTATATCTGCTTTGTGTTGGAAGCTTTCATGCCCACACAAACATATACATTGAGGATGTAGGGTCCTATTGTAAACTCTAAAGTACTAAACAGATAGTGAGGTGCTGGGGATTTAGCTCAGCGGCAAAGCGCCTGCCTGGCAAGTGCAAGGTCGTGAGTTCGGTTCCCAGTGCCGGAGAAAAACCAAAAAAAAAAAAAACAAAACAAAACAAAACAAAAAAAATAAACAGATAGTGATTGTTGAGGATTTGTGATTTAACAGGTTCCCACTGGCTTGTACCACCTGGGTACACTCATGACTGTCCCATCAAATGGCTTTTACCATTGGTAGTAGAAGGGCTACAGTCACGCATGGTACAGTTATGCACGTACCACTGGTAGCCCAAGCTGCTCAGCAGCAAGATATATAAATTACGGCCCCATTGTGAAAGTGTTAAACTGTAAAGATCCAGTTTCAGGAAACTGGCACATTTTGTGTGGATGCTTTATAGGTTGGGTCATATAACATTTTAAAACAAATACTAGCTGCTAATGAGATTAGTATCCTTTCAAATTCCTTTTCTTTTTCTGAAAGGAATCCTTCTCAATATTGTCACACTAAGTCTGAATTTCCCATGTTAGTCACCATTTTTGCCAAAGGAATTTAGGGATTTTATTAAGATGCAGAATTGAATGTCTAAGTTCCATCAAGGGTTTAAAAATACATATTAAGCAAATGACAAGCTGACAAAACTGAAATCACCTAAGTTTGGAAGGGACACATTTTATACAAGATTTGAGACCTAGAAACCATAAAGGGAAAGAGAAACACATTTAACTGTACATAATTTTTAATGTATAGCAAAAGTCAAAATTAAGAGAAAAAATATAGACCAAAAATAAAGCTTTTCACATATATGGTATATATATATATATATATATATATATATATAAGAAAAATTTGAAACTCAGACAAATGGGAATGGGTCAACATTCACTAATCATTAGGGAAATGTACATCAAAATATCAATTTTTCTTTTTTTTTTTTTGGTTTTTCTCTGGTACTGGGAACCAAACTCACGACTTTGCGCTTGCCAGGAAGGCACTTTTGCCGCTGAACTAAATCCCCAGCCCCAAAACATCAGTTTTTAAAAATGTATTAAAGCTGCCTCGTAGGCCCCCAGAGGGAGGGCCCCCGGCGCACGGAGAGCCATGCGGCCCTGAGAGCTGTTGCCCTCAATTGCCGCTGCTCAATTGAGAGCTATCATGACACAGAGAAACAATGACACCATTGGCCCACCATGCACCAGCTGCAGACCCACCTACGGATGTGTGTGAATCATTCAAACATGGAAAAACCCCTGGGAATACATGCTATACAATGGGCCACTCTTGCTCCTGCCATTGAAAACCAGAAAGGTCTAGAGTCAGCAGAGGAGCAACTGCTGAACAAGGACTCGGAGAACATGAAAATGCAGACTAAGCCCGAGGGGTCAGAGATCTGTGGACTCGGGTCACGAGAGCCACTCGAAAGCTGTAAACCAGGAGGACCTTGCACAATACCTGCAGAGACTCCCTGGAAGCCATTCTTCCCCTGACAGTACAGGCTGTGGTGGAGCCCCGGAGCAGTCTGCAACAGGATTCCTGCTGCCTGTGCTGACAGTTGGGGAGAGGACACTAACTCATTGTGGGGTCCCAATGCGAGGGGAGGCTGGAGAGAAAATGCTACAAAAAATGGCTTTGGCCCCAGACGGCTCACTTGATTTTTGACAACCCTTAGGCTGTAACTACTTGTTAGATCCTCCTTGCCTATCTCTGTCTTCCTGAGAAACCACTTCTAAGATACCACCATGTATTACAGCAGTCATTGATATTTTCCTACTAATCTATCCATAACTCTGTAATGTTTGTATTGTTCCTATCCTATTTCATAAATGGATGCATGTTTATTATTATGTGTTTCCTACAACAACCATTGAGAATAGTTAATGATTATTCAACAGGTCACTCATGTATAGTTCTATTTATTTTCCTTTGAAGATACCTAAGTAGAGTACAACAACTATTGATAATCTCCTGCCTCTTTTGTCTGTAACTCACTATTATTTGTCTATTTGTTTTCCTGAGAAACTATCTTGTAGATAACAATATGTAAAACAATAACCATTGATAATTCCTTACCACTTTGTCTGTAATTTGGTAAGTCCCCCCCATTATTGTTATCCTTCTTTTACTCTTTAAAATAAAAAAAATTTATTAAAGTAAAAAATTTAAATATCAATACTATATAACACCAAATGCTGGTGAGGAGCAGAGGAAATTATACTCTTATGAGTTGCTGACAGGAGGAATTATTTCATTTGGAGAAAATTATATAGCAACATCTATTAAAATTCAAATTATACCTATCCTTTTATCCAGCAACTTGGGTTTTGGTTGCTAGACTAAAAAATGCAAATACTAATATGCAAGCATGTATCTATAGTAGTTATGTTTAATTCAACATTATTTTTGGTTGGAAAAACTGGAGGAAAATAATGGTATTTCCAATAAATAAAAGAATATTTGAGTAGTTTATGATACATCATGAAATATAATTTTAAACATGATTTAGAATGATTTTTATAGTTGGCCAATTGCCATTTTACATATAGAGTCAAAATGTCCTAATTAATATGCATGAAGTTCTATTTTAATTTAAAAATGAATAAGTATATAAATTTGCTTATAAATTTATACTATGCATTCACCTAATAAAGTAAAATGAGAGGGAAAAATGTCTGCAATTGATAATGACATTGATAAAGAAGTGAACAAATACATATTTACAATCTTAGTGTTTGAATTTACACTTCTGGAGATTCCCCTATAACAATCATTTTTAAGCCTTTGGAATATGTAGCAATCACCTGTTATGAATCTGTTTAAAACTAGAGGTTCCTGTTATTATCTGGATATTTTGATTTAATAGATAATTCTCTTGCTGAAACACTGTCCCACAGAGTTGAGAATCAAGCCAAATTTATTCTATTAACCTTCCCCAAATTCCCACATAGAAATATCTCTATTTCTTTTGGGTTTATATGCATTCTAAATGAAGATATAACTTCATTCCAAAGAAAGAAACAGACACAATAAAGGAATTTTAAGAGAAACATTTAAGTTTTCATAAATATCTAGTTGAGAAATGTAAAAAGCAAACACAGTATTTAAGTGGAGCCATAGGTTGTCAAATCATTCTGAGGGACACATGTCCTGATTAATATGCGTAGCTGAAATACTCCCACTTCCCATCCTGCTAAAACTTCTGCTAACATCATTAATCTATCACAGCATTCTTTCTCAGCCATACTCAGATACAACTTCTGTGTTCTTCTACACACACTGTTCAGTGAAGTCTTCATCAGAATTTGCAAAGATATTTAAATTTGTTCCTAAAGTCCTCTTACTGAGATTCTATATTTCACAAGCCTTTGCTTATTGTTTTGTTACAGCTTGTGTTTGACAAAGCAGCTCCTTGCTCTCTTTGGAAATTCTAAAGGTTTTGTTTCTTTATCTGGAAGCTGAACAGAATCCAACTGTGCTTTTATCTCTTACCTGTCTCAAATCATACACACTTAAGACAATGGAGATAACGGTCAGGATGATGATAGCCACCGAGTACTCTATGTAACCTTGCGACAGCCACAAAGTTAGGGTGAAGGCTTGGAATACATAAAATGGATTTAAAACCTGCAAGTACAAAAATAGCGCTTATATACACTTTAGTAGCGATCTGGTATAGTTTACTTACAGAATGATTTATTCCCATTTTTAACATACAATAACCTTTAACATTGAAGAATTTACTTACCACTCCATTAATTTAAGAGAAACAATGTCAGCCACATAGAATATAACATGAAGGAAACAAAATTATTTTTACTACTTACAGCCATGCCTATAAATTGATAATTTTATGCATTTTGACTTTTCAAAAATATTTTATCAGTCTCAAAATCTAACAGTTTACCTTTCTAAACAGATTGATCTGTCATGGAGGAGGAACATGATTCAGCTTCTTTTTAGGATGAACTTTGATTTTTGAACAATGTTATTACATTATTTCAAGTAATCATATGCTGCAGGTTTAGCCAAGTTATGTAATGAAAATGAAAGATTCTTCTTTCATCCAGGTCACTTTAAAGTGACTATTCTTTAAAGTCACATGTATAGTAGGGTTGTCTGAGGTCATCTGGTTCTTTGAACAAGGCTCATCCTTAGAAGCGCTGTTCTACCCATGGCTGCAGGACAGTCCCAGGTAGAAGGCATCGTGAAGACCCAAAGCTCACCAGCCATGTGTGCACAATATTGGTTTCTTCAAAATACTCTCAATTTTTCATTCCCTCAGATTTTCACCTAGGTCCTGGCGGTCCACTGTTGATAATTATAGCAAAGAGGACAAAGGTGAAGAGCTAGAGAAAGGTCATCTGATGTACAGCCAGAATGAAAATTAAGGAGCCCTTTGGAACAGGGCAAAGATTCTTTTTTGGGGGGATTCCCTTTATTTTTATAAATGAGATTAAATATCAGCTAAAATCAATGATTCTCTTTCTTACCCCCACTTTCTTTAATTCCTTAATATAGTAAATAAAATTCTAATTAGTCCCCAAAACAAAAAATATCTGGTTAATAGGTTAATAGGCTGTTCTCTTAAGGGTTTCTTAAACTCACAGATATATTTTGTACATTTAAAAAGCATTTATTTCCTAATGTTTCTTATTATTTCCATCTAAACTTCTGTACTTAAAAATTACAGGTCTTGTGTTGGATTGGCATAAAATTCTGTAATTGTAGATTGTGTAGTAATGCTAACATAATTTTGTGTTTGTAGAAATCCAGTAAAAATTTGGTTACATTCTTTTTGTAGATGACACAGTACTATCCTAATTAATTACCCCCTTACTCAATATTCTTCAGAAACCAAATATGAATTAGAATTTTACTAGCTTTTTTTCTATTAAAGATGTAATACATGGGTGGTAGAGAACATTCATACTCCTTTCAAAATAGATCAAATTGACACCTGTTAGGATCTTTAGCAGTTTGAAAATGGACTTGAATATGAAGGCTAAAAAGCAACTTCTTTTGGATACTTGATATATACATATGAGGGTGTTGCAATAAGTATACATAAATCTTCTGCACTTCCTGCTCCATTTAGCTGGGAACTTAAAACTACTCTAAAAATGTTCTACTTTTATCCAGGTCATTTTTAAAGTGACATGTGCTTTAAAATCACAAATATAGCAAGATTGTCTGGAGGACATCTGGTTCCTTGAACAAAGGTGATCCTCAGAAGCAGGGTTCTACCCATGTCTGCAGGACAGCCACCACCAGAAGGCATCACTAAGACCCAAAGCTGGCCAACCAGGTGTGCACAGTTTTGGATACTTGGTAATATCTTCAATTTTCCATTCCCTCAATTCTCCATCTAGGTTCCAGTGATCTGCTATTGAAAATTATAACAGACAGGACAAATGTGAGGAGTGGTCACAGGAGGTACAGCCAGAATGAAGAAATAAAGTTAAAAAATAGTAGTTTAAGTTTTGCTCTAACACAGAACACCAGCAGGTAAAAATTTTTATACTAAAATGATACAGCCATGCTCCAAAACAAAATGACCATCTTCACAGGTGGGACTAAACATGTACAGCATCAGGAGGAGACTAAAATCACCTGCCAAGTTGTTTAAAAGGAAAAAGGAACTAGGGTAGGGGAAGGGAAAAGGGAGAAAAAATGCAAGTTAGTTATTCTATTAATGTCTCTTGGTTCATAGAAAAGGAAGGTTTGTGCTAATATCAATTAGAGAATTTTCTGTGCCCATATATTGTGCTCTGAGTAATTAGTGTAAGGATAACAATTTACAATGTAGCAACTATTTAAAAAAACTCAACTTCCCAGTGGCTTCTAAGCTAGACAGTGGCAGGTAGAAGCTCAATTCTAGGAGCTACAGAGACAGACTGTGATCCATAAGGGACAGGGGACAGAAATTTGGCTTTTGGTAATAGACAGAGGTGGCAGTGGGCTTCCTGTCCCAGCATGGAGGCTTAGAAAGTCTGCATCCAGAGATGGCTCATTAGCTAAGGGTAGAATGGGAGAGAAAGAGCTGTGGAACAACCATGGGCTGGCCAAGGCCCAAGCTGACACAAGGCCTCCAGGTGGCAAATTGGGAGGGCATCACACCTCCAATACAGACATGGTTCTGAGTCGGGGATGCCCTGGGAACCAGCTGAAGGCAAACACAGAACCATCAAAGAGGCTATCAGGCACAGGCAGAAAGAGGGGAGAGGGGAGAGAAAATATCCTACTTAAGATGAGCTTACAAAAATAACATCAATGCACACATGGAAGATATTGTTTAAAAAAACTAGTAAGAAAAGAGGACATTCTCAAGAAAATGGAAATAATAGACCAATTTGAAAAAAAGACCGAAGAGTAACATTTCAAATCCTCCAAAATCACAGAAGTTATAACATGGCCCCAATGTTGTGCCCCTTCCCCAATTTGTATGTGGAAGCCTTCAGCCAGTGTGATGATAGTTTTGGAGGTGGGGCCTTTGGGAGGTAAGTGAGTTCCTGTGAAGTCATAAGCATGGGCCCCCGCGCTGATCCTTGCAGGAGGAGTAAGGACCAGAGGCAGCTCTCTCTCTCCAATTTGAGGGGGCACAGTGGGAGGAGGGTTGTGGGCGAGCCAGGAAAAGCCCTCACCAGGAACTGAATGTGCAGACACCACAAGCCTGGATTTTCCAGTTTCCCAAACTTTGAGAAATAAAAGTTTTCTGTTTAAATCACCCAATCTGTGACATTTTGTTGTAGAAGCCCCAGAGCTAAGACATCCTACTACCACCATCACCACCAACACAAAGTGCAACAGCCAGGAGATGATAAAACAGGAATTTCTCTCTCACTGTTCTGGTTTATATCTGGATGCCCACTAAAGCCTCATGTGATCATGGGTGGGATTTGGGGAGGTGACTGGATCATAAGGGTGTGATACCCATCGGTGGCTTAGTTCCCCTGATGAATTTATAGTGAAATGGTGTGCTGGGAGGCAGAGCCTGGTCGGAGGAGGTAGGTTACAGAGAGGGACATGGCCTAAGAGTGTCTATGTCCCTCTCTCTGCCCTCCCTCTCTTTGTGCTCCCAGGTCTCCACACCCACTACCTTGCTATCCTACCTTGGAGCCAGCCAGCTGTGAGCTGAAACCTCTACACACTGTGAACCAAAACAAACCTCTCCCCACCTAAGTTGTGAGCATAGGTGTTTTGTCTCAGTGAAGAAGAAAGTAACTAAAATTCTCAAACTGGGAAAAGATTTTTAAAGTGGATTTGAACTTCAGATACATGGTTACTGAAAAAGGGTCATCCAAAACAGAAAGCTTAATGAACAGGAAAAATAGAAAGTCAAGGTACCAGTCATAAAAAGAAATCATGAAAAAAGCAGATTTCATTCACATTAAAGTATTCACATGCTGCTTAAGTTTCCTCTGAGTGTTAGGAAATTAAAAGACAGGGCAGAATATTATTTTTTCAAAAATTAAAAAAGAAAAACTCAGTTAGTTACCTGTTTAACAAGCAGCTTCCATATGGGCTGGATTTCAACCTCAATGGCATTGGGCCCACACACAAGTCTCCTGTAGGAGATTAATCAGCCATGAGTATCACACCTACAGCCTCAGCTAGTGCACACCAGATAGACCACAAGCCCCTTCTCCCCTCTTTAGAGATATTGTGGATTCAGTTAAATAAAACAATTTGCTTGTACTTTTGAAGCACAAACCAACTAATATATTTTTAAAATGAAACTCAGTGCATAATGAACAAAGTTGTTTTTCTGCTTTAAAAATGTCTTTGGATGTATCCTGTACACGTACCAACTCCCCACCAGGACTGTAAACATTATGTATTACAAACATGTACCAATAATAAAAAATAATAAAAATAGGTATTGGTTTAAAAAAGTCTTTGGCACAATTCAAAGGGTCAAAATTAAGTTATAAAGACAGTCCAGGGGCTGGGGATTTAGCTCAGCAGCACAGTGCCTGCCTGGCAAGTGCAAGGTCACGAGTTCGATTCCTGGTACGGGAAAAAAAAAAAAAACCAAAAAAAAAAAAAAAAAGGTACTGGAAAAAAAAAAGGGGGGAACAGTTCAAATTATTCTGTAAAATAATATGACACAGCTTAAAAAAAAAAAAAAAGAAACACAGCTATAAAGATACTCTCCTAGACTTTTTCATCAGGTAGACCACTCTTGATAAAAATGATCGAGTCTGTTCTGCCTCAGTATCTCCAGCACCTAGGACAGCCCCTTAGCATGCAAACTGAATGAAGGAGCAGATGTACTGAAACAGTATATATGATTTCCACCTTGCAAATGTTACATTACACAGAAGTGTGCATTACATGTGTGCATTACAAAAAGAAGTTCTCGCCCTTGTATAGTAATTTACAATGCAAGCGTTATTTGATCCTCACAATAGTCCACAGGAAAATTTCATAGCCCCACTTTGTCAATGGAGAAACCTGTTTAGTGTGGGTATTTGGTCACAGTTGCACACATTTACTGTTAATCTCAACAATACAAGTTTTAAGCAGTGTCAAAAACTGCATTTAGCCTTTTATATCTATTCACTTCAATCATTTTATTATCCTCCAAGGTTTTATATTATCCCCTATTATAAAGAAAATTGAAGTTCAGATATATTAACTGACCCAGGACCTTAGAGCTAGAAAGAGGCAGATCCAAGCTTCCAACCATGGTCTCTATGATTCTGTTCCACAGTTCCACCTCAGCCAGTCCCAATGGGGAGCATCTGCATGAGGGATCTTTGGTGCCACTGAGGTATACCAGAGAGCTGTACCCAAGTTCATCTGCTTTCTGGCCATGTCTTTAAAACTACAGATACTGCTTGCAAAGGATAGAGAGGACTCACACCGAGATCTAGTGTTGAGACACTAAACCATGGAAACACTAAAGTTTGATGGTGTTAAGAGAAGAGAGTAATCAGCTGTGCTGCTGTGTGAGCTCACAAGTCCCTAAACCTCGTATCTCTCTGTTTTCTAGGAGCGTAACCTTCAAAGGGCATAAAGAGTGTGGTTTGTAAGTATGGTTTCTCTTCTGAATTTTGTTTCCCTGAGATCTGAGGAGTAAGAAGGTAAAGCCTCATGGTGGGTGCAGTCCTCTCTCTCTCCCTCCCGCCTCCTGTTTGCTTCTTTCTCTTCTGATGCTCTGTTTTCTCATGGAAGAGCTTGGAGCTGTGCATTGATGTCAAAAGTACCCTCTCTTTTGCCCACCACTTGGACTCTTTTCCTTTGGTGCTGACAAATACACCTGTTTCATCAGAGGCATGGCAAAGGTTGAAGACTAAGTTTGGCTCTGCAGAATCACTGAGCCCACTGTGAGCCTCTCTGCCCAACTTCTCCTTGGGCGATGGAACACTGCTGACTTGAGCCAGCCATGACCCTTCTGAGAGAAGGAACTCTGTGTTTTTAGCAAGCACACCATGTTATTCTTATATGAAACAAGCCTAGGAGTTACTGCTTTGCTTTTTTAAAGTTTTTCCTCTTCCAGAACAGTATAAAAAAATGAGCCAGCTCCTAGATCAGAACAATACTGAAAAATGCCTTAGAGATGGTATCACTATATGAGATTTCAGAAGTAATGCATAATACATTTAAATACAAAAAGTTTTCAAAGTCATTAAAAAAATATTGCCCCAGCAGCAATAAGCACAAGATGTTTAAAGGATTGATTTTGGGCATTTATGAAATCTCATTGATAGATGGAGATAGAACTCTACCTAGGAAACAATTTTCACAGGAAAGATTGCCCATCGGGGCAGCTACTTCACATTTATCCTTATTTATCAAGTGCTGAGCTTTAATAAACATCATACATAATTAAATTTAAATCTGGTCCACACAATAAAGAACTTGACAATACAATAAGGAAGACAGAGTACAGTTTCCTGAGTTATGAAAAATAGAGGAGATAAAGATAATCTTATAAACATAGGCAAATTTTATTTCATAGGCATGTCTTCATGGTGGGTGCAAAGAAAGTAAGTAAAATGTGAAATATTTTTCCCTTCATTTCTTGCGGTAGGACTGGAGGCTTTTGAAACAAAATCTAAATATGATTGACAGGCTGGTTGAGTGATAGCTTGCTAATTCCCTAAATGTATTTGAACTTGCTTGTATTAAAAAAAAAACATGGAGCATGAAAAATAAAAGAAATGGAAGCACAGGAATCACACATGATGAAAAGCTGCAGAGTTTAAATACAGATTTCTCTGTGGGCTTCCTAACATCCAGGAAGGGGAGAAAATGCACAGATCCTCATAATTCTTAGCAGAAAAAGTATAAATGCACAGATCTGTGTAATGTTTAGTAGGAGAATTCATTTTACCCTGGAAAGAAATTTCCAGAAGGTACCGGAAAGAGAGCAAGGAAATTGTCCCAGGAGGTCACAAAGCAATGTTGTAGCAGATTTCCTCTTAGTTTGAGAATGGGTGCTCTTGGCTGACTAGAAAGAAGGTTAAACAGGTAATATCCCTAAAACCGGCTGAGGAATGAAGATTATTATGACTTTGGTGACACTTTGTGATTGTTCACGGAGATTGGCCACTTTGAATCTCAGTTTTAGGAAACAGGGCTATATCTCCATGGGTAAGTTGGGTAAGTGTTTTCTAATCTTGCCAAAGATATAGCTCAGTGGTGCAGCGCCTGCCTGGCAAGCACGAGGTCCTGATTTCAATTCATGGTATCAAAAAGAAAAAATCTTTTCCTAATCCATGTGCATCTGCAAGTGCCTGTCTTATGAATGTGCCACTATTTTTGCCTTTAGCACCAGTCGGTGGATGTCTCTGGGACAATGACCAAGGGTTTCTTTTTTAGATCACCGGTTCCTTACAAAGTGTGTGGCATATTAAAGACATGTTAATAAGGGAATGGATGTGCTCTTTTATTCGCTTATATACAAATATCTATTGCGCTCCCGTCTTGCATCAGGAACTCTTCTAAGTGCTGCAGATACAGTGGTGAATAACATCACCAACTGAACAGACAAAATCTGCTCCTCCAAGGCTATATGTTCATTAAAAATACAGCATTAATACACTCTGGATCTCAGAAGATGTGGAGCATTACGAGGCTGATATTTATGGAGTGACTGAAGTTTTTTGAGGAAAGAAGTAAAAGGACAACACAAATAAGACTACATCTACAATAAGACACAAATAAAACAAGTCCGGGAGCAAAGATCAAATTGTATTTGACTGCCCTGCCCTTTCTATTTTTTCTTAATAATAAGTTCCCTTCAGAGAATAATTCAGAATCTCTCTCTGAGGCCAACACATGAACTGGAGTTCTAGCAAGGCGGTGAAACATTACATCAACAGCCCGTGGGTGATGACCCATTTAATACTTTATTTTCCTGCCGACAGAATTTACTCTGAGGAACGCTGCGCATCCTACCTGACCTCTTGCTCTTCACTGCTCAGACCCAGCCCGAAGGTATGATGGATGTCGTAGCAGGAGTTGCTATCTTCCAGCAACCTAGGATGGGGTCGGGACAGAAACCACACTTCAGTTCATGACACAAGTCGAGTTCTTCCCTTACGCCCGCTGTGTAGAGGTGAGAAAAGTCGTACTTACCCCACTTTCTGAAACCGCTTCTCCAGGTGATCCCAAACATACCTGATTTTCTGCACTTGGATGCATCGCAGCTGCAATTACAAGTGAAACCCAATAGGTGTCATTCAGAAGATAAAGTTTACTGAAGTGGAGTTATGCAATGCAAGTCTGTAAAGCTCCTGCCTTCTTCGGCAGTAGCTATTATTCCCAGGCCAACAGCATTATACTCAGAGCTTCCATCCACAAACACTTACTTCACTGTTTCTCTGAAATAGCACGGCACTCTTAAAGTCACTTACTTTTAATTCTGGTTTCATTACTGCTCGGTTGATGACAGAGTGGCAGTCAGCCACCAGGGAGTCTTCTGGGTTCTTGCTTATAGGAAACTTCAGTGTGGATAAGTAGAGGCAGACCACCTTCTTCCTCTTATATCTTTGAAATTCATCCTAAAAGAATCAGTCCAGCCTATGAAATTTTCAAGTCTTATTGCATAAGATGCTCAACTAACAACACAACTATCACATGCTAGACCAGGGAGTGCTTCTCAATTTGGAACAAAGGCAAAGAAGAACATCAGCATTATCTTAGAACTTACTAGAAATGCAAATTCCCAGCCTCACCCCAGAGTTACTGAATCAAAAATTCTGGTGGTGGGGTCTCAGTCTGTGTTTCAGTCTAGAGGAATCAGATTTGCACCCAAAAAAACAGAACCACTGGGCTACAGAAAAACGGAGGAAGAAAATACTTTGTAGCAAAGATTTATGTCTGGAAAAATGATTTCCAACTATTTTTAAATAGCACCTAGTTGTTTAAAATGTGTAATATCCTCCTCCAAAATACATATTTCTGAAAAAGTGAATGACCATTCTCATATTATGGTGTAAGAGTTGTGACTCTGACACAACACATTCTACTGCCCATGGAATGGCTAGGAGCACTGCCTGGCATGCTAGAAACTTCACTGGGTTGAAGTGAAGGAAGTGTCCTTTATTCCTGGGCTGAAAAAGAGACAGCTTGCTGCAGTGATAGTTTTTCCTTCTCCTTTTCTGGCCTAGAAAAACTTTTCGAATGCTGGCTCATCATTGGGTAGACCACAGATGCAGTGTAGAAGACATGATTGTAGTTTTTCATTTCTGTTTTTAATTTATTTTTAATTGCCACGTAGTAATTGCCTATGTGTAAGGAGTACAGAGTGACATTTCAATACACATGCATGGCGGGTAATGATCAGAGTAGAGCAATCAGTTTATTCATCACTTCTGATGTTCATCATTTCTTTGTGTTGGAAACATTCACAGTCTTCTCTACTAGCTGCATTGAAATAGTTAATTGTCATCAACCATGGTTAGACTGCTGTGTTGTACAGCTTTAGAAGTTATTCCTCTTACCCTACTGCATGGCTGTACCTGTTAATTACCCATCTTCCCTCTATCCCTCACTCCCCACATACTTCTCAGACTCTGGTGACATTATTCTACTCTCTACTTCCATAAGATCTACTTCTGTAAGCTTTACAACTCCTCATATAAGTGAAGGCATGCAACAGCTGTCTTTCTGTGATTATCATGGCATTTGAAGAAGGTAACAAAAGGGCACACACCGTTGTCCTCAGCAAAACAGTGTCTGCTTCTTGCAAAGGGCATGGGAAACAGGTGGCCCACACCCTCCACTCGGGCCTCCAGTAGAACATCAGCTGAAGGACCCCAATGGTCAACACAGAGAAGACAAGGCACACGGCTCTCCGCAGAGTCTGGGTATGGTATCCAAACACCTCCTGGATGGTAAAGAACACATTACTCTATTTTACCATTTTTGCATAAACACACAATTTTGTTTTAGAAGATACAAACTTTAAAGCACAGGTGATTGTTGTGTTATAGGCAACTGAGTTAGACAGAAACATTATAGGCAGTCAGATAGGGCCAGGCCCTCAAAGGAGCCAGTATGAAAGACAAGATACCTTGCATCGGTGGTAGAGATGGGCATTTCTGCTGTGGGCCAGGCCTCAAGACAAAAGATAAAATAAATGCATGCACAAACTTCCCTAGGGGTGGACATCAAGGATTAATATTCTAAATAGGTAGCAATCATCTTAAAAAGTCACTAACCCAACCCCCTACAGGAAAAACCCCTGTTCTGTATTCATGCCCACTTGCTACATGACTCACTTCCCCATTTGACCCAGATTTAATCAATTTTACCTAAACAATTATACATGTAATCTTAGTGGTTGACCATAGTTTTGTCCCACCTCATGCCCACCTAGCAAGTTCCCATGTTTTCCACCTTGGACCCTGTTATGGTTTATGTCTGTATGTCCCCCCAAATCCTCATGCAGTCATAGGGTGGGTTTCTAGATTTCTGATTGATCCATGGTCCAATGCCAGGATTATGAGTGTGAGTGCTACACCCACCCTGGGGCGGGTAGTTTGCATGTGATATGAGGGAGGAAAGAGTCTTGCTCTCTGCCACTCCTCCCTTTTTGCTCTTGTTACTTTTACTATCTTCCACTGCCATGAACTGTGGCCCTCTGCCTTGTGCCACTCTGCCTTGGAGCCAGCCAAGTATGGACGGAAATCTCCACAAACTGTAAGTTAAACAAACCTTTCCTTCCTTAATTCTGGGTGTTGAGTATTTTGTCTTAGCAATGAGAGAAAAGTAACCAAGACAGATCCATCTCTCCTCATGGTTTTGCTCTATAAAAATCCCTGAAAGACACAGGTTCCCTGGGCAACCCACTTTGGTCTCCTTCTGCCCCTCTCTCAGACAGAAGCTTTCTTTCCCCCAATAAATATATTCTGCTCTTAACCTCCATTTTTCCTAAAATTCATTCTTCATTTTAGAGAACATGAACTTATCCCAGATATCTTTCAGGTTGGAAGTTTCTTTCCCCTAAATCAATTGGGAGATAAATTTGGCATCAGATGGTCAAATCCCATTGCCTGCTTGCAACTATCAGCTGATACAATAAACAAAGAAAGAGTCTTTATTCCCTAGGTTTGTGAAATGAAAACATTACCAGGAGGAGCAAGAAACCGACAGATCTTTTTCCTTCTATGTATTTATAGGAGTCACCTTGGATTTCTATAAAATATTTCCTGTTTCAAACCAAACTTTTAAAAATATATTTTAAAATTTGTTTATATTATTTTGTTCAAGAAAGATAATAAATTTATGACTGATACAATTCTCATAATATCTAGCCTTATCCAGAGTTAGATTTGTTTTACAAACATGATAGTGAATGATTGAGAGTCTAAATAGAAGAACTGCTTACTAAAAGTGTTATACAAATTAAGAGATTACCCATGGACACAAAAGACTTTCAAAACACATATTTATTTACTGTGAGAGTAAGATGCTGCAATAGTTGTACTTTTTTGTAGTACACTTGACATATGATTTCAGGGGGGAAATAGATTTTGTTACTTAAAGACAATTTCTACTTTCTAACTTCTAAAAGGAAGACTGACAACATTATTTTATAAGTTTCAAAAATTAAGATTTTAGTATAGTTTGAAGCCCCTGAGAGATGTTGACTGTAGGAGTTGTCTTTTATGATATTATTTATTACTTTTCTTTTTTCTCACTCTGAACTCCCATGCCTAAATCACAGAACTGTAATATCATAGAAACAGATTTTTATTGCATTTCTATCACACTGTTGATGAGGAAACTTCTTGAATGTCATGCTAGTTTAGATCATGCTGTGTTACAGCAGAGCTCTTTGGAAAAGTTTTCATCATCAGGGCTTTGCTTTCATTAACTTTTCCTTATACCTCTATGGTAGATAAAGATTGTAATAACAGTTGTTGAAAGTAACCCTTAAGGGCTGGGGATTTAGCTCAGCAGCACAGCTCCTGCCTGGCAAGTGCAAGGTTGTGAGTTTGATTCCTGATACAGAAGAAAAACAAAAGCAAAACAAACAAAGAAAAAGAAAGTAACCCTTAAGTATGGTGGGAAGGTCAGAGGCTTAAAAACAGAAGCTGTAAGTTGGAGTCACTGCTTTGCTCTGTTTCAGCTATGTGACCTGCGGTGATAGAAACCACTAGAAAGTGGCTCTGAGCAGAATTTATATTAACCAATTGGCTTTTTATGTTTACCTGTAAGTCTGCTGAAGACCTAGGCCCTTTGTCTGGAGATCGCAGTCTGTAATGGCGGATGAAGCCTTGGCACCTCAAAGGATAAGACAAAGGCAGGGCTAAGGACACCTGGCTCCAAACTCATTTAGCTAAAGACTGTGATGCAGGCATCTCACTCCTGTGGTGACAGCCTTCCTGGAGATAATGTAGTTCTCCTCAATTAGCATAGTATATTACTTGGGAAAGTCTTTAAAGGGATTCCTAAGTCTTGCCCAGATTCCTGCATTTTCTTCAGCCTTCCCCTCCTTTGTTTGATAACATAAATATGGGCTGCCTAGAGAAGTTCTTCGTCTTAAACCCTAGAAAATCTCAAATTATGTGAGAGGGTTTTTTATCCTCTTAGAGCCCTGGAATCATTTCATTTGTCTCTTTTATTTAAGCCTTTGAAGTCCACTCATTTGGGAGATTGTGGACCTGATCGGTCTGCAATAACTAAGGGGTAATATTAGCTGATACTCAGGGAACTCATTTCACCTCTAAAGGGTCCCATCTTAATCTTCTACAAAAACAGCTAGAAATACATGTTGTACAGGTTAGTTGTGCTCAAAGAATGTCTGCTGAGGTGTACTGTAAAGTAATTACAGTCATGACAGTTCCTTTCCACCAGTACTCAACAATGTCACTAATCTGGGAAAAAATAGTCATTAAGCTCACCGATGCAGTCACTGTCTCGAGGTCACCCTTACAAATTTGAAATTTAATTCAGAAAGATTTGTTTACTGTGCTTTTAAGCATATTTTCAACTGTATCTTTCCCTTCTCTTCCTAAGTCCCTATGCTTCTATAAACCTTAATTTATTTGTGAATTAAAGTTTTATTAGACCCAAATAAAAGATATGCCAGTTCCCATACTATGTGATAAATATATATATTCTTTGACTATATATAAAGGGTTATTGCCAAAGCCCAAGTGTGTGCAAAATAAACAGAACTATTTGAAACTTTAATACAGCTTTGTGACTGAAATCAGTGTATTTGCACACTTTTTTTTCTGTGTATTTATGCACAACATGGCCTTGGTAATCATAATTCCAGTACCCCTTCAGTGCTATATAACTTAATTTTTTAAAAGAAGAATTCACAAGAATTCACTGGCAAGATAGCAATGAAATCATTGTAGGTTCATATTGCTAAAACCTGTTGAATTAGAGTAATTTATTAGGGAAAATAAGGCTACAGATGGTATCAAGAATTATGAAGATGCCTCTACCCCTTGCATCAATAATTCCTCATTGGGAAATACACTCCAATTAAATAACAGATAAAAGAAAAAGTGAGGACTACAAAACTTTCAGCGCAGCATTCTCTGTAATTGGGAGAATTAAAGGATAGCTAATAGCTTGGTAGGTTATAAAACACCAAAACAATGGACTGTGATAATGTGAAAACAAATGTATGATGTAAATGGAGAAACCTGGGGCATTCTATGATACAGTCTTCACTGAACAACAGCAAAAAAAAAAAAAAAACCAGACAGAATAAATGGAAACCAGAACAACATCATAAAAGTAACCCAACTATGTCGGTAATTACATGAAAGGTTAGTACTCTTAATACTGTGACTGAAAGCAAAGACTGTTAGCTTGGATAATAAAAGGCACACTACATGCTTTTTCCAGGAAGAAAATCAGAAGGTCAGCACATTAGATATTACCAAAGAAAAGGCAGGTAACATTCAGCATGGCTACATGATTGTTTCAAAAACTCTCAGCAAACTACAACTAGATGGAACTATCCTCAGCTCATACCATACTTACTGATGAAATACTGAGCATTTCTCCCTGAGGTTACAAACAAAGCACTAATATCCATCAGTGTAGGACTGGAAGTCTTCACCATTACAATCAGGCAAGAAAAAGAGAAGGAGATTTTAACAACTGTAAAATTCTATGCATAAATAACATGGTTATATATACTTAAGCATCCAAAAGAATGTTCAAGCAAATTATAACAATTAATAAGTGAACATATTAAGGTTGTTGGATACTATGTCAGTATAAAAAAAAATTTGCTTGTATATACTAGTAATGAGCAATTTGAAAATTAGTCTTTATAATAACATCAAACAAAAAGTAATTCTTATAATAATCTAACAAAATTATGGAAAACATTTAAACTGAAAACTATATATTATTGTTAAGACACAGTAAAGATATAAATAAGTGGAGAGTTACATTAAGTTTGGGAATTAGATAATAAACTTCTATATAAAAATCACCATGTTTGTGCTAATGAGTGAGCTGATTGTAAAATTGGTGTTTAAATGCAAAGGGCTTAGGATAGTCAAGACAACTCAAGTGAACAAATGTGGCAGACTTACACTAGCAGAGGAGAACACAGTAATTAGGAATTCAAGATATACAAAATATAGAGAAAAAGGCAACAAAACAAAACAGGCCAGAAAACATGATCACCTCTCTTACAGCAAAGCAACTACTGCAATAAGCAGGGAAAAGAGGCTTTGCTCAATAAATGCTGCCAAAGCAAAATGAAGAATTCCAAGAAAAAAATGAAGTTCCCCTCATTTACATGTTATATCACACACAAAAATTTGAGGTAGCACATACTTTTTCCATGTATACATCATCTGAAAGAAAATATAGGAGAACATTTTTCATGAATATCAAGAAGAT